CTGTCTTTCTGCCATCCCTTAATTACATGAGCACATGTAATTAAGGGATGGCTTTATCATTATTTAGTTTAGACGATTGGCTGACTCATATTGTGGTTTTTATTAGTCAACAATTAATTTGATTTTGAGTAGAACAACCAAAAGTAGAACTATGTATCAGAGCTGTTTTAGATAAATGTCTGACTTGGATTGGTCAATGCGTTATCTGAAGGAGAGAGCTTGTGTTTGTATCATGAAATTAGTAAAATTCTCACATTTATGTCTACAAATATATAAAACAACAACGTCTTTAGAGTCTATCCAGTAACTGTGTGGTCTTTTGTCAGTATTTGCCACTGCCTAAATTACTGAATGTGCAACATAGATCTTTAGTTGGCTGAGAAAAGCATTAAAGGTTGGCATTAGCCCAGATAATTTTATGTTAAAAGAATTTATGAAAAATCTCAGGCAAAAAAAAATCACTTATTTACTTTTAAGTGTGCTTGTGTCTGGACATATCTTTCTCACAGTAAACACACCCTCCCTGCCGCACACCGTTCCCATTATGTCATTTCCAGGCTGTCATCACTGCTGCCATTACTGCTCCAAATGGCCAGCCCAAATAACACGGGGATGTTGTTTGCTTTTGTGTGCACCTCCATAGCTAGCCACGATCTTATCACAGGGGGCCTTTATTGTTCCCTCTCCCGCAGGTCAAGTCCCTGCACTATAGTCCGCTTGGTCGCCATGGAATCATCACACTCGCCCCCCATCAGGAGTCCATCGTTACATGATGGTTATAGTTCATGTTTTGGGATTGTAGCTTGGAAACCATAATTGGCGTGGCCCTGGTTGCTCTGTCAAAGGATATAACGGAATTTGTGTAATAGAAAGAAAATAGCAGGAAGTTGAGTCAAATTTGGAATAAGAATTTGGCATTAAACCCAACAAACCATCGTTAATATATTTTGCATTTGTTTCTAGTTCAGGAATAGACAAATGGAACCGTTAGAAATAACCTATATTATTCCTTTTTTTAATGGATTTTAATCAGATACATAAAAACTGGAAGACATACAGCCAACGGCCAATCATCATCTCCATCCTTCTCTCATCCCTTCAACCAAAACATGTCCCATTCCAAAAGAAATATCCAAACTCATGTCAAATGTAGTCAATTTGTTAATAGACAAAAATATGTAAACAAAAATAAATGGTAATAAAAGAAAACCACTTCTGGCCCCAACCAACTCTTATATTTTTTAACTTGGCCCCCGACAAAAAGGAGATTGTCACCCCTGCACTAATATAACAAATATGATAAGACCAAAAACCCTTTGCTTTGTAATTTTTGTATTCACTTCAGCTCAGTCATCTTTGCTGAAAAACGTTTGCTTTGGGTCCAACCCTGAATGGAGAAAAACGAAAATTGTACATTTTGCAGTTTGCTTTTAGCTCTGTGCTAATTGAATATATTTTTAGAACTCACTTGAGTGCGTGGGTTTCCAGTCGCACCCCAGCTGTGCTCTCTGCTTCAACATATCATCTATGGATTTATGCTTCTGCTTCTGTACAGAATGGAAACAGTCTTTGCTTGTTGTTTTTCCTGTTTATCTTGAAAAAACACGTTTTACAACGTTGTAGTAAAGTCTACTATGTTCTTTCTCTCTCACTAACTCTGCCCTGTCTGTGTGGGAGTTGAGAGTAGTGCGTGGAGCCTGCAGTGTGACATAGCGACCCGCTGTCTTCTGGCCTTAATGAACTGATGGTGAACTCAGAGCGGCACATCTCATTACCATTAAAACCTCTCTTAGCTGCGCGTGGGCGTGTGTTCCTCCACTGCTTCCATTTTCTCTCATCTTTTCTCTTTATTCACTGCGTGTTTTAATGTGAGCGTGTTCGTCCTTTGGTCTCACCTGATGCTGTCAGTCTGAATCACTTCCAAAGCTCAGACTCGCTACAGGGCTCCGGCTAATCGATGGTTTAATGTCTGTCTGAGGTTGTGTTTATCTTTACAGTGTTCGTCATCGGTCTAATGCGAAGATGCATCTGTGCTGTTTTAGAGATTCTCTCCTTTTAGAAAAATCATCTGTGACAAGTTAATGCCATGTGAACCAATTGAGAGTCTGGGAAGCACAGGGACTGGTCTCCCACTGGGCCGCTGAGGAGCACAGGGACCAGCCTCCTGCTGGGACTCTGAGGAGCACAGGGACTTAACATGGGGAGGCAGCATTTCAGATGTATGCATCTTAAATCTGGAACGGTTTGTGAGAGAAGAGTCTGTCAGTTTCCAAATCAAGGTTGAAAATATTTTTGTTGTTGTATTGTGCATAATTTTAACATTTCTGTATGGTGTTTTGACAATTGTTTTGTTGAATATATTGTGAAGCACTTTGAATTGCTTCTGTACGATTATAAATACATTTCATGGATTGATTCATTGATTATTATCGAGGCTGGTTACGCTCTGACTCTTTTGACCTATTCAAAAGTGGCTAGAACAACATTTTTTGATCATTGTTCATCATGTGTGCCTTTGCTTTGAATGCTTTTGAATATGAGCTTAGACAGTCAAATCAGTATCCTTTATGAAATATTGTACATTAGGCAGAGCTATTCAACTCTGGGATAAAGTTAAATACCCTTAAACTGAAGGATATTAAACCAGGGGCTGAGATGGCAAGGTGTAACAGTTTGTTATATTTCCCCGGTTAAGTTTTGTCGGATATGTGCAATTCACGCCCTTTGCTATGAATGCTACTTGTTGTGGCTCACGTCACAGTATTCCACTAATTCAATGTTATTTTCAAATGTTGCAGTAGAAACTGATGGAATAATATTGCATACATCTGTTCCACAGACTGAAATTGAATGGACTGGAAATACACAGAACAGTGTAAAAATGTTTTCAAAACATGTTATTGTTGATGTTATTTATTATTGTGTCTCTAGGACTTGCACAGTATGTCCCATTACAGTTGGGAGCATGACTATGATCTAAAACGGTTGCTTTTGTAGAGGTATTACTCACAGGAACTCAACAAAGGACCATTTAACTCAAACACAGACATATTTTTTTAATAGATGAAGACATTGGAGCATTGTAACTCTTGTGGATAACAGTTTTCAAAAATGTTTTGAAATTGATTGTCCCTGCAACGTTCTATTGAGCTGCTCTAAATCTCCCTTCACTTTGAACAAACCCCTTACTCAGGTCTTTTTGACACGCCAATTTTCCCCCGTGTAACATTTTACGCTTTTACCGCAGCGGCCCCTCATCTTCTCGTTCACACCGCTTATTTAGCCGCGGGACAAACTCCAGCATTTCTTCCCAGCTCCACACTCTGCCCCTACACACTGCTCATCCTCCCACTCCGCCCCCAGGCTCCTGTCAGTAGGACGTGACTGCACATCCACTGAGCCCTTCAGGAGGACAACGCTACACATGCGAGACGCACATTTGCATGGTTCCAACTGGTTTGTTTCTCAAAGGACGGTGATAAAGCAGCTGCTAGGGACAAGAACACACAGAGACGAGTTATGGGAAATGCATTGGTCTTGATTATTCATGCAGGTGCCATACAGGGAAAAACACGCGTTGTCTCTGCTGTAGTGTTGTTTCTGATGTCAAAGTCATCTTCAGAGATAATCAGCTCTTGACCAGGAGAGGAAAATATGAGAGCTGCCCGACTTTACAAGATGAGAATACCAACTGGGGTTTTATATTTTCCAGCAAATCTATTCTCACCAACAAATATAAATGAGTGAATATATAGTTCAATCTAATCCAATCTTAACCTGAAATGCAGTCTGGTGTTTTTACAACAACTGCTGTTTGTTAATGCACACTTTCCCATCCAAATAAAGAAATAAATAAACTCCATAAACCAGCAAGGAACTAAGAACTCAAGGGAGGCAAGGTTCCATTCCTCTAAACCAATCCTACACCCAGATGGTTCACCTCCAAAAGTGAGTCAGTTCTTCACTGGTCCATTACACATGTTTCCTGAAAATGTAAACAGAATCCTCTCATAACCTTTTGAGTTATGTTGCTCACAGACAACTTTTCCTGAACTATAAATGGGTTCATATGCATTTATATCGCTGCAGCTGTTGCTCTTTTTCTCTGTAAAGTTGTCATTTATTTCCTAACAAACAGTTCCAATCCTCAAACTACAGAGCTGCATGATAATTAGATTAGTTTGGGCAAAATGTCTATATTTTTCTTTTTGACATTTGATTCAATCTTCATGCAAACCACAAGAATCACTGAAGCAAAAAGATTTGGTTGGTTTTTGGCAGTAACTGGATCCATGTGTATATTTGTCCCATGTTACAAAGTGACATCAGCCATTTAAGGTGTCCAACCTGAAGCACAAATGAAACTTTAGACTTGTGTTTTGAAGAGTTATGTTGGAGCCAGAGATCACGTTGCCTTTTGTAGGAGAGACCTTTACTGTTGTGACGGAGGTTCACCTCGCTGCAAGCATGACGGTCTGTAGAGACCCTTTGATAATTATGTGCATTATACTTTGTGTGCCGCCGTAACTTCATCCATCCATGCATGTTCCCACTGAGCAGAGGCTTAAAGAGGCTTCACTGACACTTGTTAACTGAAAGATTTCATGTAAAGAGTCCATTTGCAAACTCAGAGAAGTCATGGATAAATAGATAAAACACTGTCAAAGCAATTTCAAAATAATGACAGTATTATTAAATTGCTTATTACTAAAAATATATACGCTAGAGACACCCTGCTCCCATCTCAATCCCATCTGCAACTGTAAAGCTTTGTGACTCTGGTCTGTAAAATTTGCCATATAAATAAAGGTTACTTACTTATTCCATTCCTCCTCTCTTGTCTTATTCTCTTTTGGGTTATTTTACTGTAGTGTTTCTTGTTTCCTTCAAGCTGGCCTTGTCTCAGTCCAAATTTTAACACATGCTGTAGAATATTATTTTTTTGTTTTCAGTTTTGGACATATCAATATTTTGACTCTATGAATGTTGTTTTCCCACAGAAATCGTTCTCCTTGGTGTTGGAAGCACTGGACTTTGACAACAACACAGCGGACGTGTCAGAATCAGGTAAATTAAAGCGCTCAAATAGTTATCCTTAGTAATTCATGTATATCACATTATCACACAAAAATCACATTTTTGACACATTATAATAAAACAACTTAAAATCAAAGTTTGGCAACAATGGTTTCCCCCTTTCCTTAAAACATAAAGAATGTACAGTAGTACATACGGGGATCAATAAAGTATCTATCTATCTATTGTTTGTAACCATTTTTACATTTATTCTATTAAATAAACAAAACATAAACAAACACACAGGGCCAGGTCAATAAGGAACCTATAAAGATAAATATACACACTCAATTGAAAAAAAAACCCACAGTAATTTCTTTTCACATTTTTCACAATTCCCATAAACTAATATACTGTATATTCTTGTACTTTGTTGTACTACCAACTCTTGTCAAATCATATAAATGAGTTAAATGTATAACTTCAGACATAAATGATAGTGGCAGGACTAGTTTTAAGTTTTACGAAATAAAGAAAACCATTAAGTTATTTTAATTATGCTTTCTTTGTCGTTTATGTTTTGTTATATCATGAACAAGCACAGACATGATAATGATTTTTTAGCCCTATGTGAATCTCTTTGGTGTGATGAGTTCAGCGGTCTTTGAAGCCGGCCCCTTCATTTCCTGCTTGTGTCCTTGTTGTTTCTGGTCATGATCAGTTAAAACTGTGCGACTTAAAGAAGTGCAGACAGATCCCGAAGGGCCGGAATGTCCCCTAGAATCATCGTTTGATCTGCACTGACGGCTGAGATCAGGAGGAAAAGAGGGATTTACATGAATTAGCAAGAAAACTATACACCTAGAATGTTCTTTTTTAAAATTGTTCTGGTTTAGTTCACACTGGGTCCTTGTTAGTTGTTCTGGCTTAGAGCTATGGTTTAACTTTCAAAACTACCTTTTTAACAGTGGTACAATGAATCTATACAGTGATATCATCAGGCTAAGTGCTTGATTTAACTGTTAAATTGATCTATCGTACTTATTCACCTCTTAACAACAGTCAAGGTGTGCGCAGTGGCGTTCCAAGGATACCCCGGGGCCCCAGGCAAAAGAGTCTTTGGGGGCCCCGATACCGACCATATAACCACATAAAAAGGTTAATACTGCAGTAGATATAAATATATTATTTATTTGCATCATAAAGTTGAAACAGAATTGACAAAATACTAACAACAACAAAGATCAGCAGAACAACAATATTATGAAAACATAATTAACAACTAAACAATAAAGCTTATAGGTTGAGAACCTATAAGCTTTGCTTATAGGTTCTCAACTCTGTGACAATACTTCTTTGTAGAACTTGATCTAGAGCAGATTTTGTTTTTAACGTTATCTGGAGCTCATGCCAACTTTTCATCTTATTTATATGGGATTTGGAATATTCATGCTCTTTTAAATGTGCAACAAGGTTTTTCCAGTTTTTAAGCCCTCCTTTAGTTAGAGCATTATTGTCCTTTTTGCCAAATATTTTGCAAGCAAAGCAAAAGACTGAATCGGTCGATTTTGAATATACTAGCCATGTTCGCTTTATTTTTTCACCATTTCTCATGACCATGTAATAATTTTCCTTTGTGAATCTCCGAGGATTTTGTTCATTGCTTTGAGGAAAAACAATATCCGTCACCTGAAGAGGACCTTTTTTCACCAGGGAACTCTTTTCACCATCATTAAGAACATCAGGCCACTGTCCAGGATCAGAAGATGTCAATCTTATTGGTGTTGCTTTTTCTTGGTCTGTGGATACCGTTTGAGCTGAAACAAATTTAAAAAACACATGAATTCTCAAAAGAAAAACACAATAACCATAAAATAATCCTGATGTGATATCATTACTTGAACAAACACTATGTTTAGTCCCTTTTTACAGCCTTTACAATTACAATTGTTGCTAAAGATGGCTTGCTAAGTATGTCCATATTTACATTACTATTTATGTATTTTTAATTTACACATCTTCAAAATACAAACCAACTTAGATATTAATTTATTTTCAAGTATACCTCTTATATTTGTTTGAAATTATAGATATGGTAGATACTACAAAAGGCCATAGTGTGTAAAATTCAAGAATTTTTTCAAACTAAATATATTATTGCACTAATATCATACCTGGAGTGGGTGCTTGTGGTTCTGTTTGGTCCTCTTGGTCAATGGAGGTAGGCGACGAAATGTTGACAATTGCAGTATTGGATATAGCTGACTGCTGCTCACTGGAGAAAGCGCTGCTGTCCAGGGCTGTAGAGCTTGAGGGGGCAGTAAACCTTGGCGTGGCAGTACTTGGGGCTGTAGTAGTGTGTGTAGCGGCAGACTGAGCTTAAAGATAAGACAGTCATTAGACAGTCACTCACCGCTATCATGCTTTCTTTTCTTGTCTTCCTCTTTTTTGCGCTTTCGTTTATTGCTTCCAGAAGGATAACTTCTCTTCATTTGGTCGGACAACTTTGTTTTGCTTTGGGAGAAATGGCACGCTGCCTGCACGCTCCGCTCACCTCACCTCTGTCACTGACACACATGGGGGGAGGGGCGAGAGGAGCGGGGCCCTATCAGGGGATTTGAGACGGGCGGTCAAATTGCAACTCGTCACTGCAGGTACCTGTTGTGGCCTGTACAAGTCGACCGCTTGTGTCAAATCACTCGGCCCTCGGGGGCCCCTGCCGGTTTGGGGGCCCCAGGCAGCTGCCTGCCTTGCCTGTTGGCACGGGACGCCTCTGGGTGTGCGCTGTGTGTGCGTGTGTGTGTGTGCGTGTGTGTGTGTGTGTGTGTGCGTGTGTGCGTGTGTGTGTGTGTGTGTGTGTGTCTGTGTGTGTGTGTTCGTGTGTGCGTGTGTGTGCGTGTGTGCGTGTGGGTGTCTTGTTTTTATCTGATTTGGTTATGGATAGATGCTTTATTGATCTTTTATTGACACTTTATTGATTTGTGAACTATAGGGCAATACACTCAATTAGATCCACGAGAATAGCCTCGGTGCGCGATTGTATGATCCCCTTCCGTCGCTCTGCGTTTGGTTTCTCCGCCTTCTCTGTGAAGGCCTCTACGCAGTGGAATGCTCTTCCTAACTCTATTAAGTCATGTGCTACACTGAAAGGCTTTAAGATGGAATTGAAAAGACACTTAAAGAGTGAGCAAAGATGTGATCATTATCCATAGGCCCAAAGGTACTGATGCCACCTGAGTGTGTGTGTTTGTGTGCGTGTGTAACTGTGTGTAATTGTGCGCTTGTTTGTTGGAATATGTCTGTGATTGTGCGTTTGTGCGTCTGCTCTGTGTGTATCTGCTGACTGTATACAAATGTGTATTTTATGGTATGTGCTTGTGTTATTTTATACCCACCTGTATGTGGAGTGTTCTTCCCTGCCGGGGGACTACGGATGCAAATTAGCCTAAGGCTAACTCCGGTACAATGCATCAAATGGAGGCATTTATGTTCTAATTGTACACTGTCCCTTTTTAAATAAATAAAATTGAATTGAATTGATGTAAGCAAAATCAGGTGTCCAGCCGGTGAAACACATCATCCATACAAAAATGAATAAATACATAATACTAAAAGTTACTAACAATATTAATCAAGTGCACATGATAACATAACTTCTTTGTCTGAAATACAGATGGATCCAGTTAAACAGTCTGCATCTGCTTTATAGAAGACCTGCTTGTCCTCCAAACTAATAAAATCCATTAAAATAAACGATAAAGTTCTCAGCTACAATTTATTTTGTAAACAACACAAAAGATAACCCAAATAAAAATGAATCTAAATCATGTATTGGTTTCCCATTTTAAGTTGAATTTCAGAAATAACTTTTGAACGATATTCTAATTTTCTGAGTCTCAGCACTCCTTCCTTGTTCCCCGTTGGACACACACATAGACAGTCTCCACCTGAGCCCCCGACACACATCCTCTTATAGTGACATGTTGGTATAATATCTGCCCAGTCTGAATGTACTTACCAGTCCGGCTGTCAGTCAAAGGGGATTAGCATAATTCGTCTCTACCCTTTCGGAGTACGTCCCAGGAAATAATGAAAAATATGACATTCATTTGAGACCAAACTGACGGACCTTCGATGGGATTTGTTTTAATTAAGGTGCTAGACACAAAGTGAAAACTGCTTAAACACATTGGGCCATGTTTGTGTGTTTCTTTGTTGTTTCAAATCTACGCAACACATTTTTTCATTTGCCGACAGAACAGACAGGTCTGTACAAGCGCATGGTTTGAAAGGGGGTTGGAAGAAGGACATGCATATATGTGTGTGTGTATATCTCAATGTGTGTATCTAGATGACAATGTGACAATAAGCAGCAGATGGTGACTCATACGGCGATTGTGAGATTTTCTTTTCTGTATGGTTAGATTATAATGTTGACAAACATTCATATTATGATGTTTTATTGTCTCTATATTACATTGAGACAATGAAATGACTCACGCAAAATATAAATACTGTATAATTAAATACAAAAGGCAGAAACAGCACAACGAGCACAATGAGACACAATGCTTTATTCTGGATATGCTTTGGCTTTTTTTAATGGTTTGCATTTTTAATTTGATCTCAACATCAACCAATGTTAATTATGTTTTAGATAATCCTCTATTTTTCTATATTTTTTCGCAAGCAGCAAATGTCTCTTTTTCATAACATTACATTTTTTATTGCTTCATGTGTTTGTACTGAATGAAGTGTAAAAAGCATTTTTTTTAATCCTTTGGGAGGGAAAGGCCTGTCCTGACAGCCTGCACTTACGCCTGTTCTGATGAAACTCTTATTGTCACATAAACGCTTCAGTGCGATCCTGCTTCTCCCAAACATTTTGCCGTGCGCTGTGCCTCTGTCAAAAGTTCTATTTCAGCAACACCCCAGACATCCTTCATATAGCTGCTGTAGTGGGCGGAATATTGATTTTCATTCTTCTTTAAAATAGGTTTACATCGTTTTCATCGGTTATAGAGAGCAGCCTTTTACTGCTACTGACATAATGGAAGACATTCAAACCCCTGATGGTAATGCTTTCACGAAAAAGACCCTTTCACTGCAATACGTCTTTGCAAAATGCTTATAGAAATCTGCAGTCACTATAACTCACCGTGGATAATGTTCAATCTTGTTCCTTTGTTCGACATGTCTCTTCTGTAATGCGGCAACATATTATGATGACATGTTGGTTAATCACACTACTGAATATCTTGACACGTTTTCCGACAGAATTGGTGATTCTCTTCCTGTCTCTTTGTGTGTGGGGAGATCACCTCTTGACTCAATGTCATAAAGTAATTAAAGAGGAAGAAGGTGGTGCAGCTCTATGTTTGGAGTGCAGGTGGAACCCATATTACATCCATGATGGAGCCGGGCCGAGCTCACTCTGCGCCTGCCACACAAAAGCAGAGCATTATGTGGCCAATATGGTCCTGCCTCTGTGATCTCATCTCTAGTTTATTATGGACTAAAAGAGGAACGGAGGCAGCCTTCCTCTTTGTCCATCACACATGGTCTACACAAGAACTGTTAATGTTTTGAAATAAAAAAATATTTTTTTAAAAAAGGGCCCCATAATAGAAAAGCCCATTTCCGCATGTTTTTTTTATCTCTTTAGGGCATTTCAAATAATTTGCATATTTAAATAAAGATAAGATAAAGATGAAGTCTTTACCTGTCATTATGCCTGACTCCTATACCTCCCTGGTATGTAGCCCACACACACATGCAGGGAAGGACGTTCTTGTGTGTGTGTTTTAATGATGGGAATGAGAGTGCCTCTGGGAAAGCCCCTCGGGTCAGAGCCATGGTGGCCTGGACTGGGCCTCTGGTGTCCCCTGGGGTGGAGTATCCCTCACATAATGCTGTGCTGGATTATACATGTCTTCTGTACTCCACAGTGGCAGCTTTGTCTCTGACTTATTGACTATTTGGAGTAATTGTTGTCACAATAGATACTGGATTAGATTCTAGATAAAACTCTAGATAAAATATACAATACTTGATACCAATTTCCAAATCACCACATTTTAGATAATACTGTACTCTTATAGGACCAAAATGTTTTAAATAAGTTTGTCTGATATAGTTCAAAATTGATTAAATGAATTATATAATTATTATATTTTTTCAGTTTAAACTGCTAAGATTGTTATGGTTTTATAAATGGATTCTGTGAAAGATGCTATATGAATAAATATTCTTACTTACCTATTAATGTAGTATTAATTCATATCTGATTTACTGATGATAACATATGCTAAATGTATATAATGTAACTGTGCATTTGTAAATCCATACTATAGCATTTTGCAATGGACTTCTGTTCACTGTGAACTCTTTGTATGTTTGGTGACTGTGAATGATGCTCACAGTTTCTTGTTGTTTCCAGGTCAGCTGATTGAGCGGATCCTGCTGTCGTCGATGCTGAACCCTGGTGAGCAGTGGCAGGTTTACCGGCATCACGGCCGCACTCTCAGTCTGGAGTACCGCCTGCGCTTCCGCTGCGACTCCAACTACTACGGACCGTTTTGCAAAGAGTTCTGCAGAGCTCGAGACGACTTCTTTGGACACTTCAAGTGTGACCCCAACGGCTCCAAGGTCTGCATCGACGGCTGGACCGGCTCCGAATGCAAAGAAGGTAGAACTCTATGTTACAACGTACAGGTTATCTTTATGTTTTTGACTAAATCACTACATACTGGGTAGTATTATAGCTACACTTAAATCACAACTCTTTATGGTACCATTACTATAGTCCGGCCTAAATAGAGTTTTGTAAGGACCTGAGGAGTCCAGTCCCAAACAGAATGAAAATAAAGGTTTAATTTCCATCAATCCAAGATGTGTTCCAATAGACATGTATACACCCGCTGCTGATCAAATACGCTCAAAAAAGTGCCCAGAAATAGTTTCTCAAAAAAAGGTTACTTTCTATATCTACTGTCAGCATTTTAAGTTGCATTTGTGGTGATTTATTTTGACATATTTTATTCATGGAAAACAACCTTCTTTTTTTTCTTTTCATGGATACTTTCATGTGAAAAGTCTCCTTGTGCTTGGAGTAAATGAAAAAAACAAATTGTTGTCTGTCTGTATTGGCGCACGTCTTGAATTGATGAAAATGACATTTTTTAAACAAGATCTCTTAGGAGTTTTAGTGTGTTGTTCTAGACACCTCATAAAAATGATACGTGCCAAAAAAAAAATACTGTTGAAATGTGTTCTCTATTTGTGGCTGGAAATCAGGGAGTTTACCTGGAATGACACTTAACAAAAATGTATATACTTGAGACATGACAATCCATAAACACACACTGAGCTCGACCTTATTCCCGTCTGTGGCTCGTCTGCTGTGTGACCCACTTGTGTGACCTTGCCCTGGAGCCATTAGTCCAGTGTTTATAGTAAGAGGAGGAAGTCAGAGTGAAAATTATGGGACCCCCGAAGGACTCACAGCCAGTCTAAGGACATCCTGCCGTCCTGCCAACCTCGGCCCTCTCGCACTTCTTTGACTTCCTCCTCAGCAGGTAGTTGATTGGTTGTAAGAGTCGCAGGAAGCCTAAATCATTGGTTACTGTCTTTCTTTTACCCCCTGCAGATTTACTCACAAGTACAATGATTTTTTGGAATTTCTACAAACTTGCTCATGCTTATATTTAGCTTTTTGATCATTGTTGTTATTAAAATGTGTTTTGTAAATCTAGTGAAATCTCCGGCAGTCAAAATTGCAGGTTTCCACGCTCTGTAAAGCCACGACAGACTCATTGTTAGTCCATAGTTCAGCTTTAATATCTTTATATTTGTGTTCACAGCTGTGTGTAAGCAAGGGTGTAACCAGCTACATGGCCTCTGTAACGAACCTGGTGAATGCAAGTGAGTGTTGTGATTTCCACTTTGATTGGACCCCTTATAAAAGTCTGTCTGATCAAATATCAACACATGAGGCGGATGTTGAAGAGAGCCTCATGTGGCATGTGTGAGCCTCATAAAGGTTCAAACAGACTGTTGTGATCCAGGTGTCATTACGGCTGGATGGGGCCGCTGTGTGACAAGTGCCTGACATTTCCTGGGTGCACGTACGGAAGCTGCACTGAGCCCTGGCAGTGTGTCTGCGATGTCAACTGGGGAGGACTACTATGTGATAAAGGTACATCAATACTATAAAACTATTCAAATATTATAAAACTATCCGAATGTTGACCGTTCATCTTTCCAGGAATCTAGGGCCATAAAAATATTAGATGTATTTGGCAGACAACTTTATTACCGCAGTTTTGGTACTGACGTTGTGGCTGTTTAAATCTGTCACAAATGACTTGAATCATCATGAAGTTTAAAGCTGGATTAACTCACTTTGTGACTTTGAAGCAGCAGTTTCAAATGTAAGCGCTGGCCTCGCTCTTTCTGCTCCCCTCCCTGCACTCACGAAGCTATGGCCCACAACTAACTCCCTCCTACAACAGCACATGCGCGTGCTCATGTGCTGTTGTTTACGTAGTATCACAACATTGATTGCACATTTGAACGTGGATGGCGAGACCATAGAATAATGGAACCGGGAAGCGCGAAAGATGAGAGTTTCTTTTGGATGTTCCGCTGTGTAAGCAGTAACCGGTGCCGAAGACACAGGAAGCTTTAGGTCAGCCTCCGCCGCTTGTTTACCTGAGCTGTCTGTGCTAACCAGAGACCTGTAGCTTTTCTCAAGAAAGTGGGGGCCAGTGGTCCGCTGTGATTGGTCACAATCTGGTCCCGAAACAAATGTTCTTCCTTGTTGCACAATAATTCAATCTAAAATAAAAAATGACAGTCCAGCACAAACCTGCCCTACTTACAGTATTCTTCAAAAGAACGTATATCCCAATGCACTGCATGGATATGGATTGAATTTTGTAATAAATACAAAAATGAAGTGAGGTAATCCAGCTTTAAGGCACAAGAGTCCGGAGAAGTTTGCTCACATTAGTTCTGCACTTATGCTCTCACCTGCTTCTGTCGCAGCATGAGAGCTGAAATCTGTGAGTAAGACGAGGGCCCACAGGACAATACATTGTGGAGCGGAAAGACGATAGCCTTGGGTGAGGTGAAAGTGAGCGGGGCAGGGCTCTTAAATAGGTGGGGTTCTGCGGTGAGACAAAAGCACTGGGAACCATTTAGAGGATGTCTTAGTACAGAGCTGTAATCACCCCGAAGACAAAGGACTGGTCCATGGTAGTCATTGTAAATACTTGACTATGTTACAGATCTAAACTACTGTGGCACCCATCAACCCTGCAAGAACGGAGGGACATGCACCAACACAGAACCTAACGAATACCAGTGCGAATGTCAAGACGGATTTAAAGGGCGCAACTGTGAAAATGGTGAGTGTAAGATGAGTTTGTAAGTAAGTAAGTGAATAATCTTTATTTATAAAACGCATTTTTACAGACTAAGGTCACCCAAAGCGCTTTACAATGTTTAGAGTTCAGAAATTGTTCCATTCTCTCCACACTCGGTGATGACGGAAGTGAGACGCCGAACACACCGGCGCATCAAACCCCCCCCCCAACCAAACACCATACATTCACTCACTAGTTACATTTATTGTCCATGTTTTTGGTGGTAGGGGAAACCGGAGCACCCAGAAGAAACCTAAGCAGACACAGGGCGAACATGCAAACTCCACTCAGAAAGGCCCTGTTCCGATCGGGAAAATATGAGTTTGTAATTAGGCTTTTGACGAAGCTCGCTGGCCTCACTCTCTTTCTCCCTGTCTTCAGTGGAACACGCCTGTTTATCATCTCCCTGTTTGAACGGAGCAACATGTGAAGAGAACCCCTCGGGCTTCAGCTGCACCTGCACGGATGGATGGACCGGGCTCACCTGTGCACAAGGTGATACTCAAACACAGACCACAGACATCACTGGAGCCTTGACTAGTTATTTTAGGATCACAGCTGGTGTTACGTTCAAATCCTGTGTTCAAAGGAAGGTACTTTAGCTGAAACAAAAACAGAATCAGCTCTAATCAAACTCGACCTCACCCACTCCGTTTTCTCACGCTCTGTGAATGTCAAACCCAGACAAAGCATCTATTAAATAAATCATGTTTTGCTACTTTGAGGAAATCACTACAGCCTTGTTTTGATATAGTGTTGTCATTTCACAGGACCGTGATTAACTTGATTCGTTTCAGTTTGGGGAAACACAAAATACTGGTGCTTAGGAGAACCGCGAATATATCAGAAATCAGACCTTTTCATTAGAGAATGTGCCTAGATTAAAACAAGAACAAGGTTTGGTTTATCAAATATTATGATATACCAAATGTTGACATGGCAGCTTATAGGACAGTTAGAAAAGTCCAGTTGATCATGAATATATATATATATTTTCTTTCTAATCTCTTTTGGATTTGTGTTTTAAATTTAATGCATTTTTGGCTCGAGTCTGTCTTTGTTTTGATACAAATGCTGCTGTGAAGAATGAGGATGTAAATAAAGCAAACACACAATGCTTTCTGTGGGTCATAAATGTGTCCAACCTCCATCATGGTGAATAACACACACCACAAGCATTTCACTCATGCACCACGAGAGAAAAGCAGTATGTATTTACTTTGGATGGACTCGGCTGGTTTTTGTTTCTCAATGTGATTAAATATTTGAGGTGAATTGTCTGTGTCTGTGTTTATGTTGTGGGACACTCAGGGGAATACACAGGAGAAGATTGTTAGCACTGACCACAACACATGGCTCTGTTTCAAATTGGATTTATAAATAACACTCTTTGTATGTTATTAATTCCTGTTTTAGCTGGGTGGTTATTGAGCTATGTGAACTGGGGTCAGGAGCGTGGAAAATGACTGTTCTGTGAGGCTCGGCAAATGGGTGTTATGAGGAGAGACATTTGGAGATCCATAAAAACGCAGGATAATTCATCTGTTAAAATGTAACTTCATATTTGAAACGGCTACTCTTTTTTATGCAGACAAGCATCCGTCCTCTTTAAGTTCCCTGCGTTATTGTGAAGCCAGTTTTTGTTTATATACTTGTAAACACCAATTTCCCACTGTGAAGCCATGTGTCAAATACAGTATCTATTATCAGTGAATGCCCAGCTGCAGGAGTCAGCGAGATGAATAAAGCATTGCATCTCTTACACACACACACACACACACACACACGCACACGCACACGCACACGCACACACAACACACACAGCTGAGTGGTCTGTGTCTGTGTGCAGTGGTGAGGCAGTGTGACCGCGGTCCATGTGGACGGGGCTCCACGTGTGAGGAGGCTCCAGGAGGTTTCCGTTGCTTGTGTCCGCCCGGGTGGAGCGGCAGGACGTGCCAGCTCGGTTAGAAACACCTTTTTTTTGCAGCAGTATGTTCTAGAATAGTGTACAGAGGCTAGGGGGTATAAAAACTAGACATGGCATTTTTCAGCTTGACAGGCCAAACCTACTATTGGCCTTAGAGTAATATGTCACACTGACACTTGGTATCACATCACAGGTCACAGCCTCCAGTGTTACACACAAACTGATGAAGTCTAACAATCAAACCAAACTGTAGTTATGACCTGAAAAATACTCAGTAATAGGCAGATCTTTAGATATAGCGGTAATACATAGAAAATATGACTTTGGTATATTTAATTGTATATTTACAATTAAAAGCAAAAATGTTTAAAGCATTTTTCCCAATTATTACTGATTAAATTGTATTGCATTCGAATATTGAACATGTGAAGGAATACCCTGATCTAGTACATATCACTGTACGTACAAGTAAAAGTAATCATTCTTTGTTGTTTGTTATATTGTACAGATTGGATTTTAATGTTTCATGGCCTAAAATGTTTGGGACTGTATCACTTTTAAACTACGTTTGTGTTCTTTTATTTGTCTTAAATTCATTTAAATTATTTTTAGACACTAATGAATGTGAACTCAAGATATGTGTCCATGCACGTTCCTGTCGCAATCTGATTGGAGGATATCTGTGCGACTGTCTTCCAGGATGGACGGGGCCTAACTGTGACGGAAGTGAGTTGGATCACACATGACATTAGATATGATAATTCATTTGGTACACTGACCAGTCTTTTGTTTCCTACATTTCAGCAAACAGCAGCTGTCAAGGTTTATGTTTAAATGGAGGTCTTTGTGAGGTATTTCCAATTATACTTATAACACCTATGAGCATAAGACCAAATGTCCTGATTGTACACAATCTTTGTGTTATTGTACCTTAGGATTTTGCCTCTGGGTCCAGATGTCAGTGCCCACTTGGCTTTTCAGGAAAATACTGCCAGGAAGAGGAAAATCTATGTCAGAGCTTGTCCTGTCAAAATGGAGGACAGTGTGTGGCAAAGGACCGAAAGAATCCAACTTGCACCTGCCCCTTTGGCTATGCAGGGACCTATTGTGAGGTAAATGTGAGTGGTGCCAACACTGAGTATACATTTCTACAAGTATTTCAAATCTATTTTCAACACTAAACAAGGAACACTTTGAAACAATGCAAAGAGGTCACTGCAGAGCTTGTATACATTTATTGCCCTCTCAAGTAAGTAAGTAATTCAACACACAGCCATTACAGGCAAAACATGGACCTGAGTTGTTTTTACATTCAACCATGAGGAACTTCTGGCTCAAATTTGTGCAAAAATATCCCTTTGTCACTTTAGTCTCAAACTTGTCATCACAGATCCTCACAATATAACGGCATGAAAATGGTTGTTGCCAATTTCTTCTTTCCGCTGCATCCAAATAGAAAAGCAGAGTGCAACTTCCCTTTTCCGCCTTTAGGTGGCAGTATTGGTGCATTCTACTCATCTCTTAATTGATCATGTGTGTCTGTATAAGTACCTCACCAGCAGTATTGCTGCTTTGGTTCATGTTGAAAGTATGTATGTAATCACGTGATTGTAGAAAGACTTATAGGAATATGCTCTCAGAAATGATTTCAAAATCATGTTAAAGGGACAAAATAATACAAATATGGATCATAATTTTAATACTATGCCATCTTTATTTAGATAGCGCTTTTCACAGACCAGGGTCACAAGTGCTTTACAATTCGTACATACACCAAGCCTCCACTCACTCATCTAATGTCCAAACTATGCCCAAAGTGAATTGTACTGTATGTGTGTGTAGACTACATTACTTTTCAACTCTGCACACACACAAACAAAGGAATCTTGGCATTCATTATTATTATTATTTTTTATAACTCAAGCAGTTTTCACTGTGTTATTAGAATATCTTGTTTTACAAGTGTGCTTTTCCTTTTTCAATTAAATGGTAACTACGTGAAAACACCTAATGTGCCCCGTTGGAGGCACCCCTGATCTGGCGCATCCTCATGCATTCACCAGGTTTGTGATGTCATCATGAGCCATCATGATGACATCATGCAGCTCCGTGGCCATGCAGCTCCAGGTCAAAGAGAATCACAGCTGTGCTGAATATTGAAGATTTGGGGACAATTTGGACATTTTTCTTTTGAGTGTAAACTAATATTGCTGCACAAGCTGCACAGCCACCATTTTGTGTGAATTGTGTATGCGCAATTTATGAAACTTATGGACAATGTGTAGGGTGTTATACACTTCTGGTTTTTTCCTCTGGCAAAACTACAGAGGCAGATACCAGCCATTTTTTCACATTTTCAAAAAAACAAAACCAAAGATTTATTGAATTGCTATTTATTTTCTGCTCATGGTTTTCCATTGTGTACATAGAGTATATGATGCAACCTGTTGTAACATGTTTTCTCTTCAGATTGCCCCTGATCCATGTAACCCCAATCCCTGTAAACAAGGTGTGCCCTGCCACAGCTCAGAAGGCAGGTACATGTGTGTATGTCCAGAAGGATTTTATGGAAATGAATGTATGACCCTGAAAGAGCCGTGCATTGGCCTGCAATGTCCAGGTAAGAGACATTAAATATGAGTATGGTGTAAAGATGTATGGTATTTCATTAGTACCTTTTATATATGTCCAGATTCAAGGTCTGCCACCACTCCTGGTGGACTAAGCTTCTACGTGGTACTTGTGGGTACGTTGGCTTTAATCAGTGTATGTGGATGTGCGGCCTGTGCCCTCATCGCCTCACATCTCCATCAGAAGAGGAAAAAGCAGCAGACTGCCCCACCTGAAGAAGGAATAAACAATCAGAGAGAGTTTGCCAACCTCATCAGAAATGTGGACCGTCCTGCACCACAAATGCCTCCTACAGCCCCTCTGGCCAATGCTACAGGCATGGCACCTGTGCCTCGCTGCTATGAAGAGATTGAACTCACACTGCCACCGTCTCCTGCTCCTTCACAACCCTCCCCAGCACTCAAGCCACTACACTCCCACAAACTGGACATTTCAAATCAAGAGCGGGAGAAACTCAATCGAATCCACAGCACAGAAAACCAAGAGCTTGAAGTTTGACTCAAAACAGTGTCGTATTGTGGCTGTACATTAAATGGAACAGCTTTGTTAACCGCATGTGCACATTTTGGAGAGCACCTATGAATAGCTAATTGTGGCTGTGTCTTAATGTGTGAACATTCTGTTGGACCACACAAGGCCAATGATCTTTTCTACACCTTCTTTCTGGAGGCTTTTTGTTATGCCACAGAGTGCCTGACATTGACTCAGTCTCTGGGCGGGAATGAACAAATTCTTATTTATAATTAACTTTGTTGCCTGTGGGTCATCATGGAAAGATGTATGTCATTTATGATTACTGGTCATTAAATACACGTTACACACTATTGCCTGTAATATTTCTGTAAAGGTGCAGTTGTGAAAGATGTATGTTTTTTTTCTCCATGTGTAAAGATGTTATTGTTTATAAATATATTGTACATAGTGATGTCTCTTTTGTATGGTTTGTTCTTGTAAATGCATTACAATAACCAAATCTGGTTTGTAATAAAATTCAATTTAATATCCATTCGATACATTTAATATTGAATCCATTTGTTGGCTTCTGCCAATACTCAGTGTCAGGAATTATACAATAAAGTTTATAATTTTGAGGGGTAAAAACAAGGCGTCGGATTAATTTATTACTATAGATCCATGGTCGGATCAGAGTTCATTATTGAACGTTCATAGAACCTGGGTCTCAGACGGTGACAGTGCGCCCTCTTGCGGCAGGCTCGTGAGCTCACAGCCGTATGCAAACTAAGGACGAGCAGGAGGTTTTCTCTCAATACTGTGGCTGAACCACGTCCATTTCCTTTTAGTGGTCAACAAAACAGGTATTTAACAACGTAATGCAGCTGTAATTATACATCTATTACGTTTATTTAAACGTTTGTATCAACGGGTTTTCATTTCGCATCTTTGCGGGTAAATAAGCAAGGCTAAATGTTGAGCTAGCATTAGCTAAAGCGACAAACTGCGCTAACGTTAGCTAACATGTGCCACCAGATCGCATTTTAAGAACATCTAAGTGTCATTATCGGGGGATCATTGTGTCAACTTTATTTCCTGGTATCAAGCTGAAGTTGGGTGGATTCTTAGACTAAAAGCTCACTAGCTAATGTGGACTTAGCGTTTGAGATGTTAGTATTCTGCCTGCTGCATCAACGACCAATGCACAGTCCATTTTACTCTAGGCCTTAACGATACTATCTATTATCAGGAAAGGTTTGTTTCTTTGTCTTTGTTCGGTGTAACAAGCGCCTGCTGTTGTGTCCTGGGGCAAGACTTTTTTTTGCACACGCATTAAGTTTAACGTTAGCTCCTAGACCAGTCTATGGTTTATCTCCACCGTGAGCAGAAGGTAAAGTGCCATTTGAGATGTCGAGATTCGATTTGTCTCTGTCTTTGATAGTGGCATCGTCATCATCAACCTGCCGCAGGGCATTTGTGGCTGTAGTAAATACCTGCTACAACCTCACTGTTGTGAATAATTCATGTAATATATAATGTAATCTAGCGTCTAAAAACAGCCATAAACATTATTTACGTCAAGCGTGGTTTCTATAGTTCTGTTTCTATAGCTCTTAGAGCACTGCAAAGCTAAATTCAATTTAATGTATTAATAGCACAGAAATAACTGGTTCATATTGCGAAAGAGAGAACGAAAAAACAATGATTGTATTGCACATTATAATTCTTAGACTAATCAATTTTCCCTGCATAATTATGAAAATATTTAGAATAGGTTGTTGACCAAATTTTTTTTTGTCGTTCACCGGTCCCTCACCTGTGCTCTTAGCGATTATTTTCTGTGTGAGGACGTCAATGAGGTTTAGAGTGATAATATTGTACAGAGGTGTGCATTTCTTGTATCTGGAGAACATACACCTGTCACAATACAATGCTTATGGGCAACTCTTGCAGGTTTGGGTTTGTTAGATAATGGTGAGCAAACAGACTTTGCGTAACTAACTTTCATTGAGAGGTATATTGATTAAAGTATTTGGAAACATTAAAAAGCAATGTTTTACTCCACTTGCAGCAGCCGTGCCACGCCGCGCCCCCACCCCCAGCGGAGCCGTCATGTGGCAGGAGGCCCGCAAACATGAGCGCAAGCTTCGCGGTATGATGGTGGACTATAAACGCAGAGGCGAGCGGCGGAGAGAATACTATGAAAAAATTGTAAGTTTCACTATTGTTGCCGAACTGTTTTGAAATACTATTTTTAAAATTTTCCTTACGGTTTGGGCAACACATAAATGTCGGACAATAATTTGTGTTTTTTCTTCATAACAGAAAAAGGATCCTGCGCAGTTTCTTCAGGTCCATGGCCGATCTTATAAGATCCATCTTGATCCTGCAGTGGCTCTTGCTGCAGAAAGTCCAATTAACATGTAAAACAGTGAACAACAATCACATTTTTTATGGCGGGCACACTGATAGGCAATACATGCTGTACTTTTTATTATTAGGATGCCATGGCAAGGTGATACGAGTAATATGATCGACAGATTTGATGTAAGAGCTCATCTCGACTACATTCCCGTTTACAATCCTTCAGTGGTTGATGATAAGTGAGTGTAATTTAAACTTGCATAAACTTATATTCAAGAAAACTGGTTAGAAAAGTTACTATACAATACATTACAGCACACCAGAGCATGAGATGGAGGACAGGAAGTGCAACTATGAACGATATAGAGGCTTGGTGCAAAATGACTTTGCCAACAGTACGTGTTTTTAAAATACTTAATTTCATAACTTGTATAAGTATTGTGCGTGGATATATGTGCAATTTGGTGAAATATTAAATTTTTTCCCTCTCCTTTAAGTTTCTGAAGAGCAGTGTTTATACCAGATTTATTTGGATGAACTCTATGGAGGACTTCCAAAACCAAATGAGGATGAGAAGAAAAAGTGGGTTCTTCAGAGACAACAGAATCGATTTCACTGGACTTTGTTGGTTTGACTAATACAGGCTTTTTGAGCAGACTTGCTGAGAAGAAGGCAAATATTGGATATATTTATGAGGACAGCACCGTGACACAGCCTGAACCTCAGCCAGACAAAGAGGAAGATGACTCTGAGAATAGTGAATCTGAGGAAGATGAGGGTATTCCAGACATAGGTATGTTAATGTACATTTATCACAAATTAAGAAGTCCTGAACAAACAAAAGATTTTGTTGACAGATGTGGAAGTAGATGTTGATGAACTGAATGATGAACAATTGCTGGACCTTAATAAAATTGCAACTCCGTATGGGATGGCTGAAGGAGATTTTGTCAGGTATTGTCTAACTCAGATACTTTCATTGTTTTTGGCGTGGCCTTCTGCCCGCCGCACAAACTGATGCATGTGAATTGCAAACTCTTGAGGATTACATTCGGCGCAGCCACTCAAGCTCACACCACGCTTCAAAGTCGCCTTATAAATGTGAAGTGCATTGTTCTGAAGAACAATCTTTATCAATTCCTGCCATGAAGTTAAGGATTGTCACATACTGATTACTTACTTGTTACACAGTAATTCACTTTCAATATTGTGTTGGAAAGCTTCAATTTAAAGCTGCACTAACTGACTTTGGGATTTTGAAGCCGTGGACTCGCTGGCCTCGCTCTTTCTGCTCCCCTCCCCGCACCCACGAAGCTATCGCCCCCCACACACACTCACTGTTGGGACGGAGCTAGTGTCTCCCAATATGGATAATACATGGATATGGATTTTCACGTGGATGGCGTGACCATAGAACGATAGAACCGGGAAGCGCGGAGGAACGAGACTTTCTTTTGGATGGCTGTCTCGCTGTGTAAGCAGTAACCGGTGACGAAGACACACGAAGCTTCAGGTTAGCTCCGTCGCTTGTTGTGCTAACTCAGCCGTCTATGCTAACAGGGACCTGTAGATTTCTCACGAAAGTGGGGGCTAGTGGTGCGCTCTGATTGGTCACAATCTGCGACCCGAAACACATTCTCTTCCTTGTTTCATCAAAACTCGATCTAAAATATAATGTCACGCCAGCACAAATCTGCGCTAATTATTCTTCAAAAGGACGTATATCCCAATGCACTACATGGACATGGATAGCATTTTCGTAATTAATACGAAAATAAAGTCAGTTAGTGCAGCTTTAATGGGGCCTTTGTATTCTTTCTTATTTGTAATCCCTTTGTTTTGATAGAATGCTGAGAAAAGACAAAGAGGAGGTTGAGGCCATTAAGCACGCCAAGGCTTTGGAGGCAGAAAAAGCAATGTATTCTGTAGGAAAATTACTATTAAGACATTTTTTTCATTATTATCCTTCTGCCTTTAAAAAAATAAATATAAAAAACTTTCTGTCCTTCCCTCTCTTAGGGTCGACGTTCACGTCGCCAGAGACGAGAGTTCAGAGAAAAAAGGCTAAAAGGACGACAGATCAGCCCGCCCAGGTAAAATTGGGATATTAAAGTTTCATCAACTAAAAAGTTATGGTCATTTTCTTTTTCTGCAGTTATGCCAGAAGAGACAGTCCGACGTATGATCCCTACAAACGGTATGATGATCTTTTTCTTAATTACTCTTGAATTATGTTTTTCTTTAATAACATTTGATTATTTCTGATCTTTCAGACCAGAGTCTGAATCTAGTTCTGAATCCCGGTCTCGGTCAAGGACCCCAGGACCTGAGAAGATCACCTTTATCACAAGCTTCGGAGGCAGCGATGAGGAAGCCCCAGTAGTGGCTCTCCCTGCTGCTCCACAGTCGGCCCATAACGCCTCCAATGCGCAGCACCCCGCAGGTCGTAGCAGGGGCTCCCGGTCGGTAACTTTCCATCTCCTTTGCTTTTACATAAAATAGCTTGTCTTTGACAAGTTACAGCAGCATTTTAGGTTGAAGTGGTAGGTGGTGTAAATGTTAACTCGAAAATAAGGGCCTTTTAAGTTTGCATGTGGTTACTGAAGAATTAGTTTTAATTTATTACTGGCAGCACACTACACGATTTTTACCTCAATTTTCCACTTGCGGGTCAATCGTAGACTGTAGAAGGAGTTGACTACCAGTGCTGACATCAGCCGTGGCATTTCTCTTGTGGCATCTTCCTTGCAACCAAACATCTGGTCTGTTTCTGCCGTTTGCTCTCCAAAGCCAAATTCAGGGAAGGAAGAATCTGATCAGTTGTTATGTCAATATAATTACCTGGACCATGTGTAAAGTAGTACATCACATTTTGAAAGCGTAGTGAGTGTGAGCTAAACTGTTGTAGAGTAAATGGTGTTTACTTTTCAATGTAAGGTAAGGTAAAAACTTTTCCCATGAGCATTTCAATATAAGACTTTATGAAGCAAACAGATGAGAGCACTGTCTACACCTTCTGCAGTCAATATGAGGTCAATGTGAATTTATTATGACTATTCATTGGATCACAACTTCTAAACCTCGTTGTGAGGCGACATGGCATGAGGGTAACAAAACAGGCCGTGGCTACAGATATATAAAACATTGTTTTTGTTGTGTCTATGACTGAGTTGAATACTTGTTTCAAAATATACTTTAGTGTATGAGCCAATATTTGGTAAAAACTTATAATATATTAAAATCGTGTTGTGTGGCTGTGTGTCATTGTTTACATGGGGTGCAGGAAAAGCGCATAATAGTTCTTATTAGGGCTGTCAAACGATTACATTTTTTTAGTTGATTAATCGCATAGTAATGGTGAGTTAACTCACGATTAATCGCATGTTTAACATTCTATTTCAAATCCACTCCAATTGAAGTTAAATTAGATTATCAAATATAATGACCAGTGTTGGGTAAGTTACTTTGAAAAAGTAATTAGTTATAGTTACTTGTTACTTCTTCCAAAAAGTAATTGACTTACTGAGTTACTCCACTATAAAAGTAACTAGTTACCAGTAAAAGTAACTCTTGCGTTACTTTTTTGTTTGTCGTGGTACCGAGCTTTAGCTGGCTGTAATTTAGGATAACTTCTAAGTAGATTAATTGTTGCAACAACCCCACCCTATTTTAGTATGATATGTTAGTTTAGGGAACTGTCCTGCAGGCAAACAGGTATAAGACAGGCCAAGGTGCCATTTAAATTACATTGCATTTATTGTTATCCAATGATCAAACAAACACATTACAAAACTTGCAATTGAAAGAGACTATTTTAAAATAATTAGTTCCCAAAGACACACACGAGCAACACTTGCGCCTGACAGACAAGAACCAGGGAAAATACAGTGCGCAGAGCGCTGAGTATGTGAACCGAGCAATCGCTTGCTGCTGTTATTATAATATCTAGATCCCTGCTTGCAGCCCGCGCAAAGCTTGCACTCACTCACAGCCGCTAACAACAACCAGAGCGGCCACGGAGGAGGCCATCTCACACGCAGCATTCTGAGTGATATTCTTATGTATAAATGGGCGGGTCATTCGGACATGCGTTAATGCGTTTTAAAAAAAATAACGCGTTAATGAAAAATGTAATTAACGTGAGTTAACGCGATAATTTTGACAGCCCTAGTTCTTATACATTTTGAAATTATGAATCAATACAATGTATGCACACGTGGTCAGGACAGTTTGTTGTAGGGTTGTCGAAAAAAATCAATACCTTGGTATTCATTTCTACTCACTAGGTTCTATCAGATGTTTTTGGCAAAATTGATTCCCTTTAAATAATTCTTGTCCTTTGGAGACTTTTAAACACTAAACAAACATAAATTTAACTTTTACATTGCCGCAATATTTTTTGTTTTTAGAATTTACTTAACATTCAAAGCGAAAGGGTTACATACATTTCATAATATGGTAGTAGGGGTGTCACAGTATCCCTATGGCACATGGGGCGCCTGATTTAGTAGCCTGGGTCTTGTCTACTGCATCCGACAAGAAAGCATATGTTACCTTTGCATACTTCTACAGGTGTCTCCATTTAACTTAAAAGGGCACTAATGTTATTAAACTATTTTTTTTATCTGATAAAACACATTAAAAACATGTATTTCCCACCTTTGCAATGTGTTTTCGTGTTAAAGATAAGTAATAATCCAGTGAAATAACTTTTTAATATCAACGCCTGTGATTGGCCGGAAAAATTATGACGTACTTGTAGGGGTCGCAGCTCTCGCCTCACTGTTTATGGCGTTGCTCCTGCTGCCGCTTTGACACAAATAAACCTTAAAATGGGTGTATTTTGTATGGTCCCGGGATGCAGCAATGAAAGTTACCAAAAGAAGAGTGTAAACAACAGTCCCTACGATCTTTGACTTATTCAGAGAAGGCCACGGTCCAAACAAACAGAAGACACCAGCGCCAGTTCCATGAAATTAGTTCTATCAAGCTCCAACTAAAACCAATTTTACGAGTTTCAACCCAGTATTCAGCAACTGTCATTGAACCATGAATCCCTGTTTCACTCTAACTACGTTTAGTAAAAGATATAGATATGACACACACCATCATGTTTTAGACTTTAGAACCACAGACACACGTTTAGTATACCTCCAGACTTTTCAGTTCTGTCCACTTTTACGGCCGGGATCTTTCATTTCACTGTAGTCACTTTTACGCTTCTCAACTTTTCTCTGCACTACGATGTCCCTGATGTACTATTTCGTCTCTAGCGCTACCTTCGCTAACACTTAAGCTATTTACACTCACTCCACTCGAACTCAAACTGACCTCATCCGCAAACTGGGTCGAGACGGGTCGGACCATAGATTTATGACTCCAGCCCGTGGAAACATTCATTTCTTGCAGATTGCTCCTCATCTGAACCGAGTGAGAGTCCTCATAATCAGTTTAAACGTCCGTATACAACGTTATGGCTTACAAATGCATATCAACAAAGCCCAATGACCCCTATGTGTACGTCACTTCCGGTCTCTGCAATTTCTCCGCAATTTTTTTTGTGCATGATAATTATTGATAGTTTCACCCTTAGCGGTTTCTATCTGTCCAAATGAGTTTTATTTAACACAAAAAAAGACCACAATATACCAACAAAAAAGATTAGGTCCCTTTTAAAGCAAACTTATCAGAAGCTTTCAAGGCCATGACATTGGTAGATTTTTATTTTTCCGACTAAGGACAGGGTCATGTAGGGTATGTAAACTTCCGGTGTACACTGTAAACAGAATTAGAGATTGACCCAAATAACACTTGGCCAAAAGCGCTTTCCAAATTCTTCCCATGTAAATGTGACAAGTGAAGCTTATTAGTTTGGTCATCTGGGATTGTAAGCAACTTGGGTTAAGATCTGGGCAGGTAAATAATATATTTTTATTTTTGTAGGAGACAGCGATCATCTTCCAGTGCCAGTTCTTCCTCTGATTCCTCATCCAACTCTTCATCTGGTTCCTCATCGCACTCACGCCGTGGGCGGAATGATAGGGGTCGAGACAGACGGCGCTCACGCTCATATTCACGGTCTAGACGGCGCTCCAGATCTAACTCACGGAGCAGAGGCTCTGGATCCTGGAGGAGACGTGACAGGACAAGATCTCGATCCAATGATAGAGGCAGAGAACGGGATCGAGACAGGAGAAGATGCTCTTCACATCGACGCTCAAGGTACTTCTGAAATGTTGTTGTTGTTGTTGAAATTAGAGATGCACCGATCCAGCTTTTTTACTACCGATACCAGAGCTATGGGTTTCTGCCGATACCGATACCGGAAATGATCATGCTAAAATGTATTTTATAATTGAACTCTTTGTTCAAGTAACTGCAAAAGCAGTGGATGAACTAAAGCGCTAAACTTTCCAGATAAAAATGGATTCAACATAAATGTGCAATACTGCAACTATAAAGAGCTGCTCAATGTTCACATTAAACATTCCAACACTGTATTATACCTTATACATTTATTGAATATAAATGTACTTATATTAACTGTGTTTGAATAAATAAACACTTACAACAAACAAAACACGCTGCATGAAAATGTAAATAAATAATAGTACCGTAGCTTTAACTGGATTTCAGATATGTATTTGGCGACGGCATGTACCTGGGTTCCAAATGGTCTATGGGGCTGCGAGCCCATGATGAACTCCAACACTTTCGGGTTGTTGCTGAAAAGCTTTTTGTGACGCTGCGTCAGTGTCATCTGTGTCTCGTTATTTTCACGTAATCTCCTTTCGATGCAAAAACTCCCCATGCTGTTTCTTGTGGTGCTTAATCGTGTTGTATTTCGCTAGTTTACCGCCGCGTGAACAACGCTGATTCTTTCCTGCGCTCCATGCTGTGTTGTTGTTGTTGTAGAGCGCCACGAGGAAGTGACGTGTACGTGAGATCTGATAAATTACTTTTAATTAATTCATTTTAATACGTATATGTACATTATGCACAATGTATTTTAAGACATTGTGCGGTACCTGGTATGTATTAAAAAAAATATATAATTTTTTTAAAAAAAGAAAAGAAAATTGATTGGCAGCACGGCGCCTCTCTCTACGCAGATATCCGATCCAGTATTTTTTCTGGTATCGGCGCCGATATCGATACCAGTATCGGATCGGTGCATCCCTAGTTGAAATATCTGTTATCCTCTGTAAACTCTTCCCATTCAGCCCTAATTCAGCCCTTTTGGGGCTGGCTGTAGATGATCCTTAATGTAGGGCACATGTGAAAATAGTATTTTCATTTACAGCTAATACTAGCTAAATTGATATTGTTCTTTATTGAATCTGGTAGTCGTTGCATAGGCACCCCTCTCTTAAAGGCCGTTTCCACCGGCTCGACTCGACTCCCTTAAAGAGTCAGTGGACTCTGCGTTTTCACTGACTCGCTTGGCCCTGGTTTTTACCGGGCACCAAAAACAATCTGACATCGGCAAACAGCTGGTGCGTCAGCTGTTGCGAAAAACATAACAAACAATAAGTTGCCTCAAGTTTCCTGCTGAAAACTATAATGCCGTCTGTACGGAAAACAAGAGTATCTGGAGCTGTGCCATGGATTCATTATATTATTAACCGGTGCTTCCGTATTGGCAAACCTGTTAGCGGCAGTTGTATACATTGACAGTAGAATGTCAACGGGGTGAAGACGTATGTTAACAAGCACTGCGTCCCCATTGTCAGCCCTGATTTACTCCTGGTTTTGCTCCCTGGGCATGTGGACATCCGTTAATGTCGAGCCCTGCTATATACAATCACATTTCTCCACTTCCTTCGCCCACATAGATTGATTCTATTTGGGAATGTGTTGAATCAAAAATCTAACTTTCAGTGCAAGGTTCCTGTACCATGTAGCACTAGGGTTTTGTACTTTGACTGAATCTCGTTCTTTACAGATCACGCTCAGACTCTAGACAACGTGGTACTTCATGTCGTGGGAGTCGCAGCAGCAGAGGAAACAGCAGATCAGAGTCTCCCGGTCGTCCCACCTACAGCCCCTCTCCTCCTCATAGAGGGGTACAGCCCTCCGCCACTTTTGTCTCTGATAAGCTCAGAAAGTAAGTTACAATACTTGAAGAAAATACAACCTACTCTACTTTGCCATTTTAAATTATTGTGTTCCTTTGCCTCCAGGCCTGATACTGTGGGTGGTAAAGAGACTGGAGCCGCCAAAGTCAGTAAGAATTTAATTTAACTGGGTTTCTTACTAAAGTCTACGCCCCCCTCAAATCTGACGAGCTGTCATGATTGCTTACCAGGCTGGGATGTAGAAGCTGTGAAGTCCAGAGATATTGTTGATAATTCATCACACACTGTTCGAAAAAATATTTTTGCTATAGTTCACCACAATATAACCTAATTTTTTCCTACAATTATTAAATGCGAGTCAGTTCTATTCTGAGCACAATGGTTGTCGGTGTAGACCCATTTCTTGGGTTTAGTACAAAGAAAATGCACTGTTTTGGGGACGAAAGCTCAACAGTAACAACTTAGTTTAGTCTCCACCTGTGTTTTTCTTTTTGGGTGTTTTAATGTCATTGTTGTGGTCCCTAACTGAAACACAAGCAGCAGGTATGCAGTCTACTCACACATGTGAATTATCAAAAGGATAAAATTATGAACTATTACAAATTTGATTGAGTTACACCATTTTGAAATATTTCTAAAAATAACGTATCCTTTTCAGGTAAGAATTACCCCACAGGAGCGACTAAAGTTGCGAATGCAAAAGGCGCTTAACAAGCAGTGTAAGTACAAACATACAATGAACAAAGAAAGGTTTCACTGCTAAAAATATTTGTGTGTCAGGTTGTTGCAAATCATGGAATAATACTGCTATTGCACCTAAATGCTATTTTTTGCCCTTTACTGGAACTGGAAACCCAGGTTGTTAAATATGTTCTATAGTTATGGTTACATCTCAATACTTGGGTGTTCACCGACATAGTGCAAATAAACCCAAACGGCAAAAGTGGCCTCATCACAGGTAGTCAGTCAAATAAAAAAATGCTTTTGTTGTGCATTTTCACAGCGAAAGCCGACAAGAAAGCTGCCCAAGTCAAAATCCAACAGCAGGAAAATAAGAGACAGGTGTGTACAAGTCTTGACACTTTTCAATGTTCCAATGGAGCTCCTGTAGCTTAAAGTTTCATTTTGCAGGAGAGAGAGGGAGAGCTACGAGCTATGGCACGGAAAATACGGATGAAGTAAGTACAAGTTTTGTTTTTTTAATTCATGGCGTCTGTCAATTTTACTTTGACAATTTTACCCATGCCTGGCGTCTATAGAGAGCGAGAGCGTCGTGAAAGAGAGAGGGATGAATGGGAGAGACAATATGGCAGAGAAAGCCGCTCACCTTCTCCATCCAAATATAGTAAGATAACGTCTGTAGTTTAAAAAGAAATCACCTGCAAACCTACAATTGTTTATATTAATTTGAGGCACTGATTATTATTAGCAAGACATTGTTTTGACAAAGTCTTTTTCTCCCTCAGGTCGAGAACACGACTCTCCTAGAAGGTGCGTGGTGGCCAACTGCACTTGTACTGGTTAATGTTTTGGTCATGTTGTAATGATGCAGAACAAATCATGGTTACACATTGTTCACCTCCAAATACCCCAGTCTACCTTTGTTATAGAAATTAGGAAATTACCGTAGGTTCTACTTTCTCAGAATGAGAGTAACACGAGTGTTCTGACCAATCTGCAGATGGCAGCGCTCGCTCTCACGTTCGTGCAGTGTGGATTTATAGAAAACCAAGGGAGGACGAGAGGAAGCTAAAATATCTGCAAAATCTTTTGAAAGCTGTTCCCTGGCAGCTGAGAACGAGCTGTTTTGGTTCATATTAAGGTTTATGGGATCATCTCAGGCACAGCACATGTGAATTTAAGCAGTAGTGCCTCTTGTTCATGCTGGAAACTGGTTTAAGCTAGCAGCAGCCTATCTAGATAATAAAGTAGATCCATGGTGATCAATCACAAAACCACTACCTTGAAATATAGGAGACTGTGATGTCCCACTTCTACCGCTAGATGGCGTGCATTCTAGTCATCATTGGTCTAGTCAGGATTAGTGTTTTAGTCTACTCTTTTTACATACTAGATCAGCCAATGCCAAGGAAATATTCTCAAGATCTTATTTAAGGTACAAAAGTGACACAAATAATCAATATTGGTTATTTAATGAAAAAGCAACTATATTTTTGTGAAGAATTTATTTCATTTTGATTATTAAAAATATTTTAACGAGATGGAAAACACCAGAAAGAGTATACTCGTGTCAGAAGATGCTTGGGTAATATATGATAAAAGGGGCATTTTAATGCAGGAAATAGGAGCGAGAATCTGAATTGATGTGTCTGTAAACCAAATGTTTTTATTTTTTTGTGTGTAAAATGCTTAGTGCGACCTTTTTAGAGTACGTTTGAGGTTTGAGTTGTAATCTTACTGACTTACTTGTTGCCCATTACACTATTGACATATTTTGAAATGTATGCAGAATCCTCCAAATGCAAATGACCTTGCATCTACCAAATGCATTTATATGTTTAACTTAAGTTGATTGTGATGCATTTTTTGTCTGTTCCTCACGTTTGAGCTTGTTGCATGACTACCTCTTTGTTTCAGAAGATCTCGCTCTCGATCGCGGAGTCCATACTATCGACACTGAGATGACTTCCTCAAAAGACACTAAGTGCTTTCTCCACACAGACTTCAGCCCATAAACTCCGCTTAATGAAATCTGTTTTGTACATTTGTAAATCCAACATTTTCTGCGAGTTTCTCTTCTACCGTTTTGCTTGCCAATCTTATTAACTGGTCACATGTTGTCATCCCCTCATTCAGTACTAATTACAAAAGGGCAAACATTGCTTCAATCACGTAATATATTAGAATGCAAACTAAATGCTTTAACAGAGGTTAAGTTTGTCCATGAGAGCCACCTGTTGAGAAACGCCTGTATTATGAGAAGAAATGAATCGCATGCTTTGCACTGTTCAGATACTTCTGTAATGAGTGTGGTGATGTATCAAATGCTGATCCTTCAGAACACTTTTGTTTTTCAATCAATATGGTTTATTCTGTACTTTATTTACCTGAGGCTGTAATAAACATACTTGATATATTTTTTTGTTTTTGTTTTTTTATTCACTTGGACGTTATGTCTACTTGTCCCAAGAACCCAATTTAAGATGTGTTTCGCTTGTTAGTTTAAGCACAGCTTTCAGGCTTCTGATATTTTGGTGAGAATTGTTTATAACTCATAAAGTATGACTTTTCAATTGTTTCAAGTTTTTTTTTGGATCATGCTAGATATTAGGAGCCCTGTGCCATGCAAGCGTGTTCCAGGTTAGAAGCAGATGTGATGTCGTTCATACTGAAAATACAAGTCGATCACATCTATGATGGAAACTATACTACATTAATAATGTCAAAGATTCGTACTGACTGCTTTCAGCACTAGGCGGCGGTAGGACCTTATTATGAGTAGGACGCTTGACCACCGCACAAACATATTAAAGCACATTTTAAAGAACTCATCAAAACATCAACGAATGTAAACTCAAACTATTTGTTTCTGTGATGGGACTTACCTTGCTTGGCCCGTTTAATATTCTATGTTTTATTTCGTTTTTACTTTCTGATTTCTAGAAAACAAAATGTTTCCCAACGAGAGTTTTGTAAAAGTATATTATTTTAAAATGCTTTTTTTTAGTTTGCGTTTGAGGGGAAATAATAACGTAGGTTAATTGGAAAATACCAAAATGATGCAAAAGAGAATGTGACTGACATATTGATATTATATGATATGATATTACAGCTACTTGATAAGATTGTTGTGAACAGGGCGGGGTCTGAGTCTATGGGGCGCTCACGGCGGAGGGGCGGGCACTACGTGGCCCACGCTCTGCCCTCCGCTCTCAGCGGGGGAAGTGTGAACTTGAACGCAGTTAAGCAGTCATACGCGTCCAGGCAGGTCTACTGTCATCTACAGAGCCGTACACGGTCAACCTATTCAAGCACAAGTTCAGATAGTTCCCGTCTTCACGGCTTCTGCTTCGGACCAGGAGGAGAGAACGGAGCGCCATCGCCGTGATGTCCAGGAGAAAACTTGGAAGCCGACCCCAACACCTGAGTGCAATTCAAGGTATGGACAACAACTGTGGCCACCGCATGGCCATCACCAATGCATGCCATGGATGGTCAACATATTCATAATAATTCAAAAAGATAATAAGATAAATGGGTTTTGGGTTTGAGTCACTATTTTGAACTTGTATGTTGAAAACATGTTACAGTTTAAAGCTTGTATTTAATTAGGTTACATGGTGATGTCTGTTTGCTCTGTGTCCATTACTGCTGAAGCCCCAGGGAACAGATCCGTTTAGGCACGCTGTTTTTTTAAGTCTACAGGTCCGAACATGATGTTTAATATTTTCAAGTTGGACGCTGATCAAGTTTCGTGTTTGGCCTCTGGCTGCATCTGACAGGTCTCCCACCACTCACCTGCAAGAGCTCTCTCAAAATGAAACTATGGTCATTCCTGCTTTAGTAAAAAAAATACCCAACATTACATGGTGTCTTGATTATTTGAGATTTGTATGATATACTAAAACAAACTGTGCCTTTTTATTCTTTATAATATTTTCTGTGTGGGCCAACGGTGCGTGTCTGGTCTGATCTGACCACAACTATGTGTTTGACCGTGCTTTGCAAGTCTGCACAAACAGCAAGGCCGAAACAGGAACGGTGACATTTTTATCTAACAACAACTGGGGAGATCCAACTGCAGACTGTACTCTCTGTACGTTTCCTTGCCTGGGCAGGTGGATCCTGTCCAGGCATCAAGGTGTGTCCGTGACCGTGTTGTTGAGCAATGTGACCCTCCCCCATCCTCAGTACAGAGCCCTGCCTGGCCTCAGGTGAGCTGCTTCTTGAGAAATGTCCACAAGTTTACTCAGTCAGGCAACAAGCCAGTTAAGGCTGGAGGTCTTATTTATAATGGATCATGGTAGACACACCAGCGGCCCAATCTGCAGGTGGGCCCTGATGAAACATGCACATTAAAGTTGGTCCTGAAACAGGAGTTCTCTCTGAGAAATGTTTGACTTCATGAAAAGTGGATCACTAAAGTGTATAAAAGTAATAAAAGCACATTTGCACTTGTACGCCATAAAAGACCCTGCATGTGAATGGGGTGATGAACTGAGATAAAGATTATTTATTAGGATGTATTGTATTGCAAATTAAGTTATAACATAACTTTTGGTTCACAGTGACCTTGAAAACTGAAAACAGAATGAGGGAAGATTAATTGGTACCTCTGTATTTGAGTACTGAAGGTTCATTTGTACTTTCTTCAGTACTTTACCATCTACTCTCGATCTTATCTCGAACACCTTCAGTCTTTTTTATTACAAATCACTTCCTGTTGAGAAACTCGTCCGCACTCTGCTGTTGGGTAATATTGAGTGACAGGTGGAAGCCGTGGTCAGAAAGTGCTACTTTAGAGGTTTATTTTTTGTGATTAACGGCTCTTGTAGACGCTGAAGTGGGGTGCATGGGCAGCAGCTAAAAGCATTTTTCTTTAGGTTATTCGAAGGAAGTGTTCAGTGCTGGCGATACATGTTGTTGTTGCTTTAAGGGACAGTGGCTTGTAACTGAAAGTGGCTCTTAACCATGCATGCTTGTTGTTCCACCACGACAGCATTAGAACTACTAACCTATTTCAGAGCTGGGCAGAAACATTTCACCTTATCGCCCACAATCTTTAGAGATTGTCAAAGGCCAGTTATATTTTTGATAATGAAATTCTTGGCTGAAACACAAAACATTTTTTTTATGCTTAAATAATTTTCAATGAACCAATTAACTAAACGTGTCAGAAAATATCATATACGCAGTATAGATAAAAACAAATTATTATTTATTATAGTGTAGAATAGAATAATAAGCATTACAAGTTCAGTCTGAAGCACTTTCCAGTTTGTGTTTAATCAGTGTGAAATCATTTTCACAATTGTTTTTCAGATGACAATGCAGAGGCCGTCTTGTGTGAGGAACAGCCACAATTGGCTCCAGCTGAAGGCCGAGACCTGCTCACTTGTGGACAGTGCAGCCAGTCCTTTCCCTTGGCTCATATCCTGGCCTTCATTCAGCACAAACAGGGGGGCTGCCAGTCAAAAAGCCAAACTGTCCCCGCAACCAACACTCCCCCATCACCTGCAAATCAAACTCACCGGGCCACCATCAGGAGGGATAAGCAACCTGGCTTCATCGAGCTGCAGCGAGGGAACACTGTGAACCAAGCTTTGGGGCTGGAACTAGTGAATGTGAAGGCAGAGCCAGGCAAGTCAGGTGAGCATGAGAAACCCATCACTAGTTAAAACTATCTATTTTGTCTTTTATTTGTTACCGCTTCACTCTTCTTTTCACAACAACTGCCCTCCCTCTCAAGTCTTTCTCGTTAGATATCCGTTGCCATTAGCAGACCTGTGTGAGTTAGTGATGCACAGGGTAATTGCGTGGAAAGGAATAGGCGTCGGGAGCTTTCGAAGGGCATGGTCCCAGAGGGCTGCAAGCACAGCACCTGGGCTCCTGTGCTCCTGCCATCTCCCCAAATGCATGTCTCTGAGGTGAAGTGGCCAGGTAAACATGTTTCAAACACTCTGCCCTGGACATGCTTATGAATATCAAGTCCAGAGCACAACTACTGTGGGAGACGATTTACTGCAGTGTGAAATGGTCAGGAGTAGATCTCTGAGGCGGTTGTTGCAATAGTTGTCGCTGTCATGACACTTTACTGGAGGATATTGCATCATGTGTAGCCTCCCTATGTTCTGCCGTGGGCCAAGCCACCTGAGCTCCTGGGAATCTCTTGGCCTCTGCCTCTTCTTTCTTTGCCTTCTCCACAGATGCTTGTTTTGAACTTTTATCATTTGCGAGCCTGTCAAATACTACAGTTGCAAATCAAATACTCGCTGTAGAAAGTACAGTTCCTCTGATCCATGTGCCCTTAATTGCTTCAATCAGTGCAATAATGGTAATGCTATGATAATATAAATGAGAAAGCACTTTTCCGAAAGAAAGTTGTTTCTCAGTTTTGTGCTGAACATCTCTGAGCACCTTACCACTCGCTGATGGTGTTTTTGCACAGTGCATATTTTGTAACTGTTGCAGACGCATGTTGAACTGTTCCTTCTTTTGTGTCTTATGTTTACATGCATGTTTGTGTGTTGAAATGCGCAGGGAACTGGTGGCAACGTGGGTCTACTTTGTCTCTAACACTTAAAAGTAAAAGAAAAGTTACAAGTCAAGTCAGTCTTGCACACACGTTTGGTCAAGTCGTGGCTGTAGGAGTCAAATAGTGATGAATGCTCAGTGCAAGAAGCATTAGATGTGATTTTCTTTCCTTTCACATATGAAGAGCTCATTTGCAAACGCCTATTTCCTTTCTTTTTATTCTTCTGTGTAATGTGGTTAATCTTATCTTATATCTCAGATTTGAAAATTTGTCAAAAAGTTGTGTTCCTTAAGCTACAATCTTCAACATGTTTAGTTATTGGCCAGAAGTTTGCAAGAATTTGCTAAAGAATCGGTTAAACTTTGTACGGAACTAACATTTATCTGGATTTTCCTAAAACTAAGTAGACCTAACAGTCAGGCAGCCAAAGTGTATTTATATTTAAGCAATTCATATAAAGCAATCTTATGAGTGGAAGAAAGTAGTCTTCAATTTGAGTAGGGGACAGTTTTGTTGTGAGGGGAAACATACATGTAAAGCAGAGACATGGTGACAGAAAGTGAAAGAGCAGTTATCCCGCAGCAGACAGGCCCTGTGTCGTGCGCCTCGGAACAGAAGAAGGGGGTTGAGTGGGACGGATTACTGAAGAGCCTCATGCATCTGTCTCATTTCTTTTTATTTATGCTCCTTGTTTGTTTTTGTTTTTTTTCCTTCAACCCCCCCCCCCATGTCTTGTTTCTTCCCCCAATCTTCAACACACTTTTGCATTTGCCCTCTTTCAATTTCTCACCCTCCCCTCCTTCCATCGTCTCCTTCTCTCCTCCCCCTGAGTCCCGGGGGAAAAGAGATTCTGCCTGCTGCTCGTTAGTGCTCCCAGCCAATCTGCATTTTTAATTAGTAGTTATTGCTTCTGCTTAATATTCAAGTGCTTCACCCCGGGCCAAATGGGAATCCTTACCAAAAAAATGGGGAGAGAGTGAGGGGAAAAAGAAGCCGCCCGGGTATTGTATTTCACTGCAGGACCCTGAGACAAAAGCCCCCACCCCTGAGGGAACGATTTGGTGGATTCAGGGTGCGCTGGGGTTGGAGGATGGGTCTTAAGTACAATTGAAATGGTGACATTTTTTCTCCAGGCTTCCATGGACCACATTATAATCTTTTTTATCTCATCTCTTCATTTTTTATTCCCCTGAGCCCTGACCTACCTATGCTTTTCTTCAGATAATAGTTTAAAAGGAGTGAAAATAACACTGTACCTCCAACTTCTCCTGGGCGTCCTCTGTAGGCTATGCTAAAGGACATGAACACAGCAGCGCCTCTCGTCTCCAGACACAGAGGCAGAAACAGTTGCTCTCTTTTTCATCTGCACACTCCTCCCCCTCCAGTGCAATACAGAAGGATTTGACTTGAGGAAACATGAAAGAGGCTTATTTCAGACTCTGCTTTGAACCTCTCCAAAAATGAAAAAAATGGAAGGATAGAAGAAAACGAAAACTGCCCCCCCTCAATTTGGGCATAATTTTTCCAATTTTGATATATGCAGAGGCGCCTCATTTGTCAAGCAGGCTGACTCAGAGGCTAATTTGCATAAAGCGTTCATTTTCATCGTTCTGCTAATTAGCGATTTGCAACTTAATTGGAGAGTGGCTCTCTCTTATGAGACAAAGCTCTTTGTATTAAAAAATATCTGTCGACTTTAGTGACACAGCTTGTGTCTTGGGTTTGAAACCTAGGGCCTACCAACCTCTAGAGGTATTTATGACTCATAGCTCATCTAAACAATCAGTGATTTATAAGCAAGCAGTCAGCTAAGGAAAACTGTTAAAAGGTTTCCTTTTATAATTGAAGCAAATTAGGTTAAGCCTGGACATATGTTGTGGATGCAGATAAAATGCCTTATGACTATTAATGTGTTTTTTGTTATAATCTTTCTATTGCAGTGTCTGAGGAGCCAACCTTATTCACCTGTCAGCAGTGTGGGGACATCTTCCCCTCTGCGTGGGCTCTTCTGCAGCATGCCCAGCACACACATACCTTCAGCATTTACCAGGAAGACAAGGCTGAAGTGGATAGAGAATTCACCCTGGACCGAGACCACCTCAGCCAGGCGCTTGCCACAGCATTTCAGCCCTCTCCTCTTCGCCTGGCCCGTTCCCGACGGTCACTCCCCTCCATGTTAACAACAGCCAATAAAGAACTTCAGGCCATGAACTTCTCCATGCGCCTCAGAGAGCTGGCAGAGGTTACCAACACAGATACAGCGAGTAGCTCGACCTTACATTCTCCATCTTCATCTCCACCCGCTGCATCTCCTTTCCCCCAGAACGAATTCCGGTGTGAAGTGTGCAACCAAATCTTCCCCTCTCTTCGGGCAGTGTCGGCACATCGGCGGACCCATGCATGTGACAAACCCTATCACTGCGGCGTGTGTGGAGAGGCCTTTGCTCAGAGTGGACAGCTCGCTCGACACATCAGGAGTCATCACAGAGATACCACAAGCAGCAATAGCTTTGAGAGTGTAGAGGCGTCTCTAATGGACGAGGAACTGGGGCGGCAAGCCATATTCAGAAGCAGGTTTCAAATACAGCCAGTGGAGAAAGATGTGAGAGGCTCAGAGTTAGACCTGTCCCTCCCTAAAGAGTGTACCCCTGCCTCAGCCATGATGCTGCTGAGTCCACAGGCTGCTCCACACCGGGACCTGCTGAGGCTGTACCAGCAGCCAGCCAATGTTGGGGAGGAAGAGGACACCCCAGAGGCACAAACTGAAGCCCAACACACATCGCCCTGCGCCAGTCCTTCAGAGGGCTCTCTAGAGAGTGGAGAGACAGGAGGTAGCGGAGAGAGTGGTATCGCCAGCGGTAACTGCACCCCGAAGCGCCCGGAGACCAGAGGGCTGGAGTGGGACAGCGAAAGATCAGAGGTCATGGGAGAGGAGTGGAGCAAAGTGAGTGAAGTAGTGCAAGAGTGGCAGAGGGAGAATGAGAGGCGGTCTTCAACAAATACTAGTTCAGGTCCAGGATCCAAGAAGAAGAAAGATGAAGCCTGTGAGTATTGTGGTAAACAATTTCGTAACAGCAGCAACCTGACCGTACATCGGCGTAGCCATACTGGAGAAAGACCATATCGCTGTGGTCTTTGCAACTATGCCTGCGCCCAGAGTTCCAAACTCACTCGCCACATGAAAACACATGGGGCACAGGGCACTAAAGCCCCTTTTCTCTGCCAGCTGTGTGCTGTGCCATTCACTGTGTACGCCACTTTAGAGAAGCACCTTAAGAAGGTGCATGGCTTAAGCCATGCCAGTGTGGGAGCTTATACGCAGATGAGTGTCTCAGACCCCATGTCTACTGCTAAGGCAGACGAGAATAGCATAGTCTTGAAGATGGAGGAGGATGAGGCTTGTCCGGAGAATATGGAGACTGCCCACAACATGCTCAGTGATACTGTGGACAACAGTCTGAAGCTAGAGACACCTGTGGATAACGTGGCCTAGATTCTCCTCGCTTTGATCACGTCTCCATAAATAGTTCTTATTTACCTTAAAAAAAGCACTCCACAAATACTTCCTACTAGTATAACTGACAAAAGCACATTAACGTCTTAAAGGAGATGCTGCACCAGCTGAAGATTATTTTCTTGCAGTGTCCTCTGCCCTGACACTCCACCCCAACTGCATGCCTCACGAATAGTATGCAATGGGCTGGTTGTAACTAAGTGCCTACAGTAGTTTAGACCACAGACAAAAACAAGGTAGTGACATTCAACAGGGAGTTTACCAGAACTCTAGAACAGGAAGTGCCCTGCCACAGTCCACACCAACACAGGAAACGGATCCCCACGTTGCAGCGCCGGAAGCAAACAAGTGATTTATCTCTCTGGTGACCATAAGTGCAGGTGCATGCAGATGAAATGTATATGAAACATGAACAAAACATACAAAAAAAGAATATAAAGGCATCACTTTGCAGGATTGGATGACACTGTAAAAGTATGTTTATGCAAATGTGAAAATGATTAGTTGTCTGAGGAGACTGAAACTTGACACTGTCCACCTGCAGGTCTTCAATATTGCTTTAAGGCCTGGCTCGTCTCAACATTTGTCACCTCAAATATTAACTGGACTATACCTAGCATAATCCTTCTGGCCAAGTTCCGGTAATGTTCACTGACTATTTCAGCTTGTCTTTTACTTGTCATAAATGTAAATATGACAACTTTTAAGTCCTGTCTATTCTTGTTTGCTGTGTTTAGTGTCTATGCATAAAGAACTGCAATATTTTTTGCAGTGCAAGTAAAACGGGTGACTTTCTGCTTTATGCAAGTGTCATATTTCTTCAGTTGTTTACATTTGTGAAGTGCTGAACTGTTTAAAGTTTACGCATGTTTGCATCTATTTAAAATTTCCTCTTTGCTTGTTTAAATATCTTCCTAATTTATGTAAGCTGCATGTATCTTTTTAAAAAGTCTATATGCTGATCTACAGGGTAACGTGGTTCGCTCAGATATAATTGGAATTATTTTAGCCTCCAAGTAAGCACTTGAAAGAGTTGTTTTTGTGTGTAAATGGACACTCCTCAATACGACGACATGAGCAGGATTTAGCTTTCTAAAGGTCAATAAGTTACAAGTTGTTTCTAAATAAACCATAACATAAATGCAGACTTGAATAACACTGGAGAAATAATGAAACAATGATGTGAAAGCTACAAAAATGTTCAGGGATAACATTATGTACATACAATTTGTTCTATTAGAATTGTTTATTTTTGTTGTATTTACTGCCAAAACACAACTCTGACTAATTTACTCTCTGCTTTGTCTTTTTACACATTTTCTATTCGACCTTGTAACAATCAAAGTCTAAATAAAGACTTTGAGAAGAAATGTCTTTGTATTGTTTTATTGTAGCGTTTCTTTCATCCAAGTTCATGTTTATTTATTAAGTCCTCTTCTGCTTTTTACTGTAGAGGGATCAACACCAAAGCTTGTGAAAGTTCTCATCTCACCAGGACGTCTTTTCAGTCAGAGCAGCAGCCTCTCTGTGGGCCACAGTCAGCGCTCAGTCATGAATTTTTAATGCGCATGTTTGGATAAGAGACCCTCACTTGTTTACATTGTTGTGATGTTAGTGTCTTTGTCTTAAATTGCACTACCAGTTTATCTGGAGCACAGCAGTCTAGTCTGAGATGGAGAGATGCTTGGTCCTCCACCAGCGTAGGGATGGACGCTGCTGTGATGGGACATGTCGCTGGAGACATTTCTCAGGAAGGAAAATATATGATGGGTGGTGGCATTGTTAAGAGGGAGGGGCTGTCAAGGGGCCGGTATAATTGCTGACTCCATTTTAAGGACATAAAAACCTACAGCAGCATCGATGGCCTTAACCCCACCCCCTTATGCTACACCCCTTCTAATGAAAATAAAATTCTATGATCACTCCAGTCTAGCTCATTAACGGCAGGTTTTTTAATGAGCTTTCAACAGGGTGGGGCTGGTGGATGAGTAGAGGGGCAAGTAGGAGGTTAGTGCACCAGATGCACACACACGCCCACTCTCACCAATTACCAAATGTGAGGACAAAACAGGACAGGAAACACACCTCAACATCCCACAGAGACACACAGGGACATGGGACAGTGGAGGGTGCTGGATCATATATGTCTCAATATCTGCCACACAACGCAATTTATTTTGTGCAAAAGAACCTGATTATGTCAGGTAAGTTGATCCAGAACAGAACACAGTTGCCCCTACAGCAAGTGGATATCTGTTCCTTGTTGTGCTCTGGCCTTTGTTCTGGCCATTGTCTCCCCGTGGTCCACACCTCTCCACTGTGCAGGCCGATACCAGTGCCCAACAGAAGACCATCAAGATCTTGTCATATTGTTGCTATGCAATGACAGACACCAAATCTGTAAATGTGTGTTTCCATGACCTGTCAGGGCATATTTAATGGGGGGTGGTATGATAACCATGTGGGATTAAAACGCATTTATCGTCAGAAAATTGTGGATTGACCCCTGAACTTATAGAGCCCATTAAAGTGTCAATGATGGCATTGGGAGTGGTCCTCAAAGTTGTTGTAAACAAGTGTACAATTATTTTGGACCTGCTCTCAATGTTCTTTTAGCAGTGATTTTCCTCCTTTTTTTGTTGTTGTTATTTGCATTTTTTTTTTCCAAATGAATTTTCAAATACAACTTTAACAAAAAACAAACACAGACAGACAGGTACAAAGTGAATGTATATGTTGCTTGAGGCTATAACAGAATACATGTAATTGAATTAAAAAATCTCTATAGATATAAAAAATAAAATCACAAGAAAGTTCACTTGACTTAGTTAATTGTGTTTGTCCAGACTGGGAAGAAGCTCTCCTTAGCTCCAGATATGGGCAATGTCTCCATTTCTAGAATCTCTTACAGGAATTTAAATGGCCAAACTTATTTTGCCGATATCCAAAACCAAACTGGTTTAGCATTAAAAGAGGCCTCCATTTAACCAGCACTGAAATGCATAACAGATTGAAAGGCCAGACAAAGTATAGTTGAGACAGTTTTCTTGGACTAAAGAATTGGTCTGGCAGCTGCTTCTGCTCCAAGTGCTCTTTCTTGTGCCCCCTCTCTCCTATATCGAACAAAACCCCTGAAACCTTTAATGATGTGAGGTGCAGATGGTGCAACACACATGTAAATGATAGCACCGCATCATAAAGGATTGGCCTAATTGTTGCAGAACTGAGGCACACTTTATTTAAAAAAGAAAACCTTGTATGCAGCTCTTTAATTCTATGTATTTTTACAGAAATTGGGCAGAAAAGAATAGCCTCTTGATTATTCTGTTAACATTTTCAACAGTCAGGCATAAAAGCACCCTTATGAAATAGTTTGATTTCTGGCTGAAGAACTTCCCACATGATCAGCCTAGAGATGTGCTTAATAATAAATAAAATAGAAAATAATTGTTCTATGGCTCCCTTTTATGTGAGGGGAGGCCTGCAGCATGAAGAGGCTCTCAGTTATGTATGAGAAGATTGTGTATTATCATGTAAAAAGCCAATTAACCATGAGTTTTAATTACAACTCTCATCACATATTGTGTGAGGACCCCAACCCCCTGTTCCAACCACCCCCTTTCTCTCACGTGACCATGAAGACACAGAGAACAGAGAGAGATGCTTTCGGGACACAAAAACCACAGGACTCCTCTCTCTGCTCTTTATCCCATGTTAAGATTCCCACAATGGACACCTTTCCCTGGTCGTCCTCGCTCCACAATGACCGCAAACTGAAATCTGAACCCTGAGATTACTGCCCTGTCCTCCCACCAGAACCCCGGCCCGACATAAGAGTGTGAGCAGAGAGCAGATTCGTGGCAGATATCCGTCAATCCACGGCCTCTCCTCATGCTATTTAACACCTTCGCACAATAGAGTAGGAAAGACTAGGAGGCTTCTTTGACATAGGGCTTATGTGAGGAAGCCGACCGAGGTGTGTCCAGCCAGGGCAGTCAGGATGCATATATGAGTATACTTTTTGGTGACAATTTTGTATTATTTACTTAAGTACTTTCCTGGTATTTGTACATGTTTCTGACAACATTTACTACTAACTCTCAAACCCAAATATCCTGCACTTTAAGCTCCATTCATTTAAAGTAGTTAATTAACATACGACATACAAACATGACACGACATAGCATTTTAACTTGAGTTAAGTTTATTTTTACAAATGATCTGCCAAAATTAATAGAGGCACGGTGGCTGAGTGGACAGCACTCTTGCCTCTCAGCAAGAGTGCCAATCCTGGTCGGAACAGGGCCTTTCTGAGTGGAGTTTGCCTGTTCTCCCTGTGTCTGCATAGGTTTCCTCCAGGTACTCCGGTTTCCCCTACCACTAGAAATATGTACAATAGTTCAGGGTGAATGAGTGTGTGTTTGTGAGTGCAAATGTGGCACAACGGATGGAAAAAAAAGCCCATGGCTACAATCCGGAGTGATGTGTTCCTGTACTGTCCCAACCAAATAAATAAATATTTCTGAAGCGATATGTTGTTTCTTAGGCAATGCTTCAAATGTCTCAAATAAATATATTGTCTGTAATTTTTTTTATACATTTTACACATACAAAAGCTTGTACATTTATACTTTTCTTTAAGTAAGGGGGGTTCAATACAATGCCTTTTACCAGAGTTGATTTGTGTACTATCTATTCTTAGCTAGACAATTTTGAAGTTATAGTAAGTGTAGCCTATGTGCTTGTGTATATTGTCCCCAGGTAAACTATTATCAATACATTCACTATAACATCATTTGTTTGCTTCACTTTCCAACACACAAAACAACTATTGAGGTCATCCAGTGCAGTTAACTGGCCTGACTCTGTCTAACCGGCTCTGACCACACAGCTTCCTATGTCGTGCTTACAGTCAGTGAGTTGGGACAGAAGTAGAGGCCTGCTGCAAATGAAACCATTTTCAAGTGTAGCGGCGCGTAGGGCCTGGGGCAGGTGAGCAGACTCTAACCGCCTTAACCGGACTGCCCACATGCACTGACTCAACATGCTCTTTCACATGATCTTCCACTGGACGCCATTCAGCAGCAGAAAAAAACATTGTCTGGTTCTCTGCTCATATTTTCACAATTAATACCAGTCAATGAGGGCTGTTAGATTTAGTAGGGATTTCTTATAACTGCAATAAAATACATAGAGCCGTGCCATTAATTTAAGAGTTTGTGTACTTAACAATATCACAGACAGTTTTCTCATCTGTAGCATTTTAAAGAGAACTGTAACAAACATAATGTATTGTTTATATTATTATTCTTTATACAAAACATTGAGTGGTTTTTCATATTGGAGTATGTTATCAAATGATACTTTTATAAATTATTAGTCAAATAATTGTGATAATGATTCTTGCCTCGATCAGAAACCTGAAATTATATTTGGGGGTAAACATCTGAGAAATAAAGTCTGGTTCCCCCCTCATGAGAGGTAAATATAGGCAACAAGTTGGGTCTTTTGGTTTGGATATTTTAACACAGAGTATGCTTACAAAATAAAAAATAAAAACTGAACTCTATTCGGCGTTGTTCCCAAACTACTCTGACCACTCTGGTTTAGACAGAGGTGTCTCCAAACTTTGGCTTTACTTCGGAACTGGATTGGAAATATAATTCCTATCATACAAATAGTATAAGCACAATTTGACAAATCATTACATCTCTACAGCAGAATATGTTTGATTTAAAGTTTGGAGGAACTGTGTACTTTATTAAAGCTGCTTCTAAAAGTCCAAATACATCCATTTCTAATATCAACAAGGCTTTTCCCCAAGGCTCTATTGGGCTACAGGACCAAACTATACGGCTGATCATTACTAACATCGAATTTAATACAATGTAATTTTGAATGTATATCTGAACATCCTCCTGATTTGGAAAGGTTGGGCCTTCTCAGAGCCCAGTTTGAAATGTCATCATAAGCCTACATGTAGTCTATTATGTTTCTTTGCTTACAGACAAACGGGGCCAAGCCGACATTAACCGTCCCAGGAAAGAGGCGGTTAACCAGAGGGACCCCAGAGACTGAGGCTCCTTGGGTCGTGGGATCAGAGCATGTCACGGCGGAGTGGGTGTGTGCGTTCAGCCCTGACCTTTGTCCCCCGCGGGTTTCTATAATCTGCGCGTCAAAGCTCCATACGGACAAAGTAGAGGGGCCATGAATAGAGTTTAATGGTGACCATTAGGTGGATCTGTGTCGCTATTCTTCTTGTTTGTTTTACGCCGGCCCTCGCGAGTCTCTCGAGGTAATCAGGCGTGTAATAGATCATGGACGGACGGTCACTCTGAGAGGCTGTGGAGAGGACAGGCGCAGCGCTTATTGGACACGGATATCTAACCTGAAGGAGTGAAAGACATGGGACACAACAGGCCGGAGCTGGGGCCAGCGAAAGAGCTGGGCTGCTAATTGGATGTCCACTTCACATTATTAGGCTCATAAGTGTTGAGGCACTTCAGAATGCACAGGGCTATGAGCCCAATGAATTGTCGATTGACCGCAAGTCTGTCAATAAAGCATCAATCTGCCAGTGTCAGACCCACATAAATAAACAACAAACAACTAAATAAACACGACTCATTTCAAAATGAGAAGTATACATAGAATGCATGGTCAATGGTGGCGCCCTGTGCATGGACACCTTGCGAGGGGTGCAAGTGAATGTTTGGCACTGGGCCAATGGCGCCCATTGGCACCAAGTACAGAATGAATGAAAGTTTGTGAGGGGCAGGTGCTCATATGCTCTTTGAACGTCTATGCTCAAAGCACAAAAAAGTTCATAAAATATGCTTGTATTGACTGTTTTGTTTTAGTATTTATACATTCACTGAAAATGTATTTTTGTAAAGCTCTAAATCACAACAGCGTCATACAGGTCAGACAATCAGTTACCCAAAAATGTATTATTCTTTCTTGCTCAAAGAAATAATTACACATTACTTTGATAACACTTAGTAACCCAAAGTATTTAGTTAAGGTATTGATTACTTTTTTTATATAACTTACCCGACACCCGTATTGAGGAGTCAAATAAATAAACAAAACCTAATACACTCGAATATGTTGCATTAAAAAGCAGCCCATTTTGAGTGAAGCTCATCAACGCACTTTCCCCCTCTGAGCCCCTACCCTTTGACCTCTGCACCATCTGACACCACAATGTGAAAAGCAGAACATGAAGTAAATCCTGTCCATCACACTTGTTTGCCCAGTGCAACTCACATTTGTTAAGATGACAAATGGAAAGAACCTTTATTCGCAAGTAAAAGCACTCAGGAAAAGCAAACATCAAACAAGATACAATATAATCATCTATTATTTAGTATAATAAATAGATAATAAACTCTAGCCTTTCAATCTAAACTTAAAATCTTACACAATGTTTGCTGATTCTGGCGAGAATAGCTCTTGTAGTAATATGGAATATGACTAGAATAAATAATAATAGTAGCAGGTAAAGTGACCAGTGAATTGTCAGTACAGGTGACTGGTGCAAACAGGATCAGCAGTTCTTGATGTACAATCTGACAGAAGAACCTCTACTTCTCACAGCGAGGGTGGAACTGTCTGTCACTGAAGTTGTTCTCCAGAGCAGATAGAGGGTGACCCAGCATGGATCATGGAAGTTAGTTTGTCCAGGACCCTCCAGGCCCCTACCGGTCTTTCTTTTTATGACATTGCAATGAATGCAAGCAATAAATGCTGCTGCTGGTACAGTTTAGATAAGGCTTGAATGACTTAAAATGGCTCATAATTGGCACAATTTCTATATCATGACAGACATCATTGATATAGAACATTAGAGGGTGTGAGATTTGAAAGCCACATACAATGTGTTGTGTACATGGGTGATAGTGTGTTGATAATTAATAGACAAGTCTAGTAACACTATGGTTATGAACTGTCCACATAAACAACCAGAAAAGCAGTTTCATACACAAGGAAGGCGCCATCTAGCGGTTCCTCTTCATGTCTCCACTCTCTAGCTCAGGTCATTCACAAGTGCTTACAAGACACAACTGCTCCTCCTACGGGCCAAGCATTGAAAACAGACATTATTACGTTCAATAGCGATTTACTTCACTGGATCTTTTTTCTTGGCACTCCAAAATGTACAAGTTCTGACAAACAAGTTCAAAACAAGTGAACTGATGGACTTCAAGGTTACATGTGTTATTTCCACAAATGTAACTCACTGAAGGCATTCACTTGAAGGTAGTCCGCAGGTACAAATTAAAGGACCATGTCGGCCGTAACTCTGAAGATGAATCGGTTGTAGGCAGTGGCTGTGTTATTATAATTTAGGAGCCTCCGGGGCTCCACATACCTGACCAGAGCGCACACAGCAGTGGGTGTGTGAGTGGGACTATTTAAACCCAGGCTGAGCCCTCAGAGCCCATCCACGGCGCATCTCCACCACATCTCAACATGACTTCCGACGGATCCAGCGACCCGCTCAAGTTCAGGCAACAAGACTACAAGACTCTGCTGGACACAAGCCTCGCGTCCGGGGAGCTCTTCTGTGACCCCGTCTTTCCAGCTGAGCAAAAGTCCATCGGGATGCCAGAAGACTCCGACCCCCAAATGGAGATCAAGTGGTTAAGGCCAAAGGTAAGTGAGTAATAACGCCCGGGGTCAAGAGCACGTCACTGTGGTCCCGCAACGTGACCCCCGCTGCGTGCTGTCGTCTCAACAAAGAATATATTTGACAAGTTTAACTATTTTACAGTGAAGGGGAACATTTCCTTACACGCCTCTTGTAAGGTGTGGCCATTCATGTCAGTGTGTGCTACAACATGCCAAAGGAGAAAACTCAAAATCGAACAACCCAAAATCTTCAATCAGAAAATGTTGAAGGATCACTTAATTGTTGGAGTCTTGTCTAATGTTTAGACTATTATTAAACTATTTTAGCCGTTCAGTTCAATTTGTGTTTCAAATTCTTCATTCATAAACAAGAAGGAAGGGGGAATGAACTAAAATCTGTATTATTTTAAATTAATGTCTGGAGATTTTTGGAGGCAGACGTGATATTAATATTATAACTACACTAATATGTTAACTTTTTTTTTTTCATTGTTCCTCAAGGATATCACAAAGGCTGCAGTATTTGTGGATAGCACTATTGGGACCACTGACATCTGTCAGGGCCAACTTGGTGAGTATAGCAAAATGCTTTTGTTGATAATTGTTCCCACATCTCCACGTTTTGTTTTAGTCCAACATCCAGACAGAGTCTACTGGGATCACATTGATTTACTAAATGTGATCCTTATGTTTGGAAATAAGAGGAATTTGTGTGCACCATGGGATTTGAGTTTAAAGCAAAGCAAGGGGTAGATGGGAGTGGTACAAGAACTGGAACCGCCCTGTAGTTTAAAACATCAAAGATCTAGAGAACAACTACGTTATTTATGTTTTGCAATGACATTCTATTCCTCTGTCTGTGGGATTTCTCCTGCACTTTTCTCTTTTGTTTACTAATTCAGACAATAACTCAAATTGTTTTCCTGTCTGTTTTATGGCAGGATGCACTTCATCATCAAGCTATAATTTCTTTTGTTTCTTAGGGAACTGCTGGTTACTGGCTGCTCTGTCCTGTCTGACGATGCACCCCAAGCTCTTCGTCAAAGTTGTGCCACCAAACCAGAGTCTATCAGAGCCATATGCAGGCATATTTCATTTTAAGGTAATAAAGCCTCAATATATTCTTGCCAGAAAATATTGTAAGAAATCACACCTTTCTGTATTGACTGCCTCAAAATGTCATTAATTTGATTATTTATGTAGACTTTAGATTTGGACAAAGAGTGAAAGGAGAATGTCCACAGCTTTGAAAGAATGCAAGATTCCTCTGACTTCGCAGTCGGAGGAAATGTCTGGTTCAAACTTAAGAGGCTCTACCTTTTCACCTGTTCATCTCCCTGCAAATTTATCTTTATGTAATTGTTCCAAATTCAAATAACCATTGTAAGTATATTCAATGTAGATATTCAGTCTTCTAGTCAACTCTTTGCACCCAGGATTTCCTGTGGGCAGGGAAACCTCTGCAGTTTACTAGTAACTTGGTCATGGGTTACTATACTGAAAACATTAAGGCCATATTGTGGAACATTTCGGACAGAGCTTCGGACAGGAGGTCCATACATAACGCCACTCGTGGGGCTGAAGAATATTCTCACTGTTACAGAAGAAAAAAATGTGAGCCAGGGGCAGAATGCCAGTGTGTCTTTGCCTCTGTTCTTTCAACTAATCTTTCATTGCTTAACTTAGATATGCACGCATTATTTTTAATTAATTAATTTTGCTTTAAGTGTTCACTCCTTCTTGTGCATAAGGAAACATCCAATGTCGAACAGAAACATTTAAAATCTTTCAAGATCAATCAATATGAGAAAAAGTGATAACATTTTCCGGATTGCTCAGGCTTCTTGGCATTTTTTCTTTAAGCATTTATATTTACACAGACAGCAATTGTTCAGTTTTTATCTTGTGCAACAGCACATATCTGAACATTGTTGATACTGGCAATAACAACCCAGTAGCTAAAGAGATTATTAAAGATATAATCATTAATAAATAGCAATTCAGTAATGTTCTAACACGTCCAAATATTTGAAATATTATTTCATTAGATGCATGCTTAATACAATACTTAATTTAATAGTTTTTTTAATGGAATTTGTTCCATTGTTACAGAAAATGAGACATGACAAAACATGAACATAGACAACTTGCAGAACAAACTGCCTTCACTTGATGGAGTGCAGTCTGAACATGTTTCCCAAACATCTGCAGCACACCTCCCTTTAAAACCATACTGTAGCACAAAGGTAATGAAGACTTAAGCTCACTCGCAAAAACTAACATTCCTTTAGTTTTCGTTACAAATTAAGAAGTTAGGACTGGACGATCCGGGGGAACAAGAAAAGCAACCTAATCCAACCCAGAAGCTATTGTAAACTAAAAATATTCTGTTTTGTGCTGGTGACAGTCCATACTGTATTATGTGTCATCACCACATGACTGATTCTGGTTCACTTCATTGTACTTCATTTGTGTGACTGTAAATGAATCTCATGTAGTTACATGCTTGGGACTGTCAGCTGTAGTGGAGTACATCAGTGTGTCCTCTTCCTGTCCCTGTTCAGTTCTGGCAGTATGGTGAGTGGGTGGAAGTGGTGGTGGATGACCGACTGCCAGTGCGCCAGGGCCGTCTGCTCTTCAGCTACTCTCACACTCGAAATGAGTTCTGGAGCGCCCTGGTGGAAAAGGCCTATGCCAAGTGAGTTCAGCATATGTCTCTGCCTCATAATGTCTGCCATGCCTTCTTGTGCCAGGCATTGACGTGTACATAATCATGTTTCTACTCTTGTGTCCAGGCTCATGGGGTCATATGGGTGTCTCAAGGGAGGCAACATTTCAGAAGGAATGGAGGATTTCACTGGTGGAATTGCATACTCTCGTCCTGTCTTATCCCGTACACCTCTAGTGTTTTGGAGGCTACTGACAAGTGCTTTGTCCCGAGGCTGTCTACTGAGCTGCTTCATTGAGGTGAATCACTAATGCATAATTACAAAATCCTACAATGAATATTGAAATCTGCTAAAATAATGTCTGGATTTTAGGCGAAACACTACACGGAAGTGGGAGTGGTGACAAAAGAGGGGCTGATAAAGGGTCACGCTTATGCTATAACAGACGCGGACAAGGTATTTCATTTTACATTAAAATGCATTTGTAACATTCATGATGTTCAAATTTGCAACATTGAGGTTTTTACATTATTCAACTCATAATAATAAAACCTTCATTAAATACTTCCCACATATAATTGGCTTTGGTTCATTGAATACATTAAAGTACTTTATGATAGTAACAAGCTATTGATAGTTAATAGAAAAAAAAACACATACATCATTCATTTTCTCCAGGTGCAGAGAGGCTCTGATGCGGTGTTGCTGTATAAGTTGAGAAATCCCTGGGGTTTTGTTGAATATAAGGGGCCGTGGAGTGATAAGTAAGAGTGATTATTTTATGATAAAACGGCTTCAGAATGAATCCTTGTTGATATGTTTTTCCATGACTGCAGGAGCAAAGAGTGGGACAATGTGGAAGAAGCTGAGAAGAAGAAGCTGGAACTCAAAAGAACTGAAGATGGAGAGTTTTGGTACTAACATTTAATTTTAAAGGGTGTGGGTCACATTTTTTTTCTTCCTGCATATCACAAACACTTTTTCTGTTCAGGATAAGTGCTGAGGATTTCAGTCACTTCTTTAACATAGTGGAGCTGTGTAGTGTCAACCCGGATATGCTCGAGGGCCACTCAGCTCCTGAATTAGCATGGACCATCACTGAACATGAAGGGTTTTGGGTGTCGGGGAGCTCAGCCGGAGGAAGCCGTCGATACAGACGTATGCACTTGGTTTGAATAAGAAACTCGTAAAATTAGTATATCGTTCAAAAATCCCTTCACTTCTGTATTTCAGCTTACAATGTGAAACTATTGTTTAGGGTGAATGAGTGTGTGTTTGTGAGTGCGAATGTGGGACAACGGAAGAAAATTAGCCCATGGCAACAATCCGGAGAGGTGTGTTCAGTAACATGCACTGTCCCAACCAAATAAACAATAAGTAAACTAATATCTGACAGACTTATTAAATGAAAATGAGATATATGACACCTTTATTCGTTATAACGTTGATGATTAGCTCACAGCTTGTAAAAACTCTCATTTAGAATATTGGACTGGTATATGTCACTTTTCTAGTTTATATGGATTGAATTACAGAAATAAACAATATTCTAATTTTCAGAGTTTTACCTGTATATTCTTCAAAAGACGTTATAATAACAATAAAGCATTACTTTCTCACATGCATAGGCTCTTTCTGGACGAACCCTCAGTATGAATTAATCCTCTCTGAAAAGGACCTCGACGATGACATGGATGAGGATAATGAGGAGGATGAAGAGGGTGAGGAAGATGAAGAGGAGGAGACTGTTGTAAAAGAAAATAAGATGAGTGACAAACAGGAGAAGAAGGCCAAACAGTGCACAGTGGTGCTGGAGCTGCTGCAGAAGGACCGCAGGCAGAAGAACAAAGTCAACTTCCTTTACATTGCATTTCACATCTACAAGGTAAACTAAGGTTGGACATTTTGACACACAGCTCTGGTACATTATAGAATTTATATTATATATTTTGTGATATGTGTGTCTGTGTGTTTTTAGGTTCCCATTGAGGTCAGTCCTTACAGAGTCATTCAATTAGCAGCAAAAAACTCAATGTTTATTACTTCCAGCTTCAGGGTAAGTGCCTGGACAGCTCCTTCTTCTCCAAGACTCGTCCTGTTGCCCGATCTGGTAAATACAGAGCACAAAGGTGATTCCGAAATCGATTCAAATGATAATCAAGCAGAGCAAACCCTGAATCCTATTGTGCCTAACCCTGTACATACGTGTGATCTGTAATTTCACATCTGCAGGGGTGTGTGGAGAAAGGTGCACTTGGACCCTGGATACTATGTCATTGTGGCCTCCACTTACAGACCAAATCAACCAGGAGAGTTCTTCATTCGTATCTTCTCCAAAACTGGGAACACACTGGGGTAAGAGACTAGTGACTAATTTGACAACAAACATACTCTTATTCTTATATTTGACAAAATTGTTGTTTCAGGAATCAGGATTTTACTTGCTCTTCAGATTTTCTTCAAGTGAGTTCACAAAATGAATCAAGCTGGGGGCTGTCTGTGGCTTAGTAAAATATATAAAGAAAATTAACATTATAAAATGTTGTTAGGTTATGGCGCTTCCTGCTACTCCAGAGGATCACGCTCGTGTTGAAAAGATATTTGATGAGACAGAAGCTGGTGTAAGAATATAAAAAATGTTTTTCTGAAAACTTTGATTGACCTTAAGATATTGTTTATCTTTTTTATAGAATGATAAACTAAATTCCAAGGAGCTGAGAAAGCTATTTAACTCAGGTTTGACTTATCTATCATATTCCATACGAAAAAAAAAATAGTTTTCAACATATTTGACTGTAATACAAGTAATGGCCACTAGAAAGAGTTCAAACAAATAGGTCTGTTATTTTCTGATTCCAGTTCTCAACCAAGACTATCATCTGCCCATGGAAACATGCAGACAGCTCATATTTGCAGAAGATGTATCCTTTATAGTGTTTTCTTTCTTATTTCTAGTTTTGTTATTGATAATGGTTTGTCTATTGTGACACGGTGACACAGGGATACGTGGACTCATGAAACAACAAATGTAAAGTATAACATATTCAGTCAGTCATTCAGCAAGAGGCTGGGTCGATCCGTGGACAGGCCTTCGAGTGAGTTGCATTCCCCGTCTGCGAGTTCCCGGTACCGGTTCCTACACAAAAATAGTACAATAGTCGGAGTGCCTCTGCAACCCCACCCATCCGTGGAGTGAGACAATGCCAAAATACAATTGTAACCGCTTTCAGTCTGCAGTGAAAGGCGTATATAAATCTTACTACTACATATTTGATCAAATTATATTTAGTGTCCCTAACTTGGCCTCCAGACCAAAGGTTATGGAAGCCTAAATCGTAAACAAGTAGAGCATGTGCTGACCAGTCTGCGCACTCTTCAGGTAGGCCTTCCTCTTTGTTGGTAAGACAGGTGTATAATCACATTTTCAACAACATTTCAGGAGGCCTTTCTCAAATTTGATGAGGACAATTCCGGGACTATGAGCCCCTTTGAACTCCGAAATGCTCTGACAGCAGTTGGTATGCATGTGCACACATACTCAACTTACTAAAACATTCTAAAGCAGTCTGTGATTGATTTCTACATCTTTCCTTGCGCTAGGTATGCAGTGTGATGCCAAAGTGGTGCAGCTCCTGTGTGCACGATTTGCCTCTGGAGAGCCGCAGATGCCCTTCCATGGCTTTGTGACCAGTGTGACTAGACTGAACAGGCTTTTTGGTAACACAGATTTATTATTAGATTTTTATTATAATAATAATAATGATTAATTTTCATAAATTCACCTAGAATGTGATTTGTATGTATAGTTTGCATTTCTGGGAAATGTAGAACAAAAATAAAATAAAATAAATCTGAATATTATCTTGAAATGGTATAAACAATGAATTAGAAATCATGAAAGAAATCATGAAAGAATTATGTCTACAGTAACAGTCATGTTAAAACCGCAGTTTTCCATTCTTCTTCAGCTTTGTATGAATCAGAGACCAGCCATGGAGTAAAAAAAAGAGGCATAAACGCTGTGAGTGAAAAGTGAAATATACGCATCTTTTCTTCTATTTATAATAACAGTGTATCTCTTATTTCTCACAGTGGCTGCTCAAGTTTTGTGCCATCTGAGTTTCTGTCAAGTGGAACTACTTGGACTGAGCTCCCAAATAACCTCCTTTGGATATGTATTTTAACCCTGGGAAGTTAATTAGTAGTTGTATACCGATAAGTTTACTTCATAATAAAATATATAAAGAGTTGACAAGTGTCTTTGGACTGACTGAAGCTGTGACATCACCGCCCCCATGTTGCATGGGACACATCTCAGAGGTAGTCAGTCAGAGTGAGTAGTGTAGGCCCACGGAGGGTGTGAGGGTGATGTCTCAGCTATGCTCACCATCATCTCTATTCTTATCGCTGTGACGCCACGTACAGCGTCAACACACATCGCCCCCCTTCCTCTGCTATGACCCCCCCACCGCCGCCACACATACTCTCTCCCACACTATCAAATAACTGGATCTCAGAATCATCATCCTCCTGTTATACACAAAGGTGCTCACATATTCATCTAAAAAGTGAGCAAATGGCCTTTTCTGAGAGTGCTGCTATTAATAGATGCTTCCCTCTCTTCCTCACTCACACACACACACACATACTTCCTGTTCATCGTCAGGTGAGTGCACACTGGTTGCCCTCAGCAACAGTCCATTGTGGCACAGAGAGAGTAGACAGAGTCCAGCGTGAGTGTTTCAGCCTCTTCTCAAAGAATTGGCCTCTCCATCACCATCAAGTACCTATTTATCTAACTGTCCAGAACATCCACTACATTGAGTCATAGTTTAAGAAGCTACTGTACCACATATTCACATGGATAAAACAACTTTCAAAGCTCTACTCTCTCATGTAAAACCGCTTCACATCATGAGTGGCAAGAAAGCTTGATTATCAAGTCAAAAAGTTCAAAAGCTTTGGAGAAAGATAAATTGATTTAAATTCTCTCTTCTGAAATGTTTTATTAGTACACAATCTGTTGAAAAAAAAATATATTTTTCTCACCCTCCACCGGATGTTTTATCCCTCTCTAAGCTTGGTTGCTCTACTAGAGGCTAGAGAGTTTGGGGGTTCTGCACAGTATCTTTGCTGTTCCTACAGCACTGCACATTTCTGGACCAATTTTTCTGAGGTGGTTCCTAGGATCTGCAATGAGAAACTCCACCTCTAGAGGAGTTTCCATCGTGACATTGGGGTTTCCAGCCCATACTCTGCACAGATGTTCTCACCCTATACCAGCCACTTGGTTATGGCGTTCCATGTAGGCCTTCCCTGCCAGCATCTTGCACCCTGCATGTGTTGGATCGTCTCAGGTGCCTCTTTGCACAATCTGGGCCTCTATCGCTCTGGTGCTCAGGGCCTGCCCCTGTGCAGCCATGATGAGTGCCTCTGTGCTGTCCTGTAGACCACCCCTTTCTAGCCATAGGACTTTTTGAGATAAGTCACTGCTCTGTTCTGGTGCTGTGTACCCCCACCATCTTGCCACTGTCATATATATAAAAAATAAGATATTGAAAATATATGTGTGGTATAAAAAACACAAGGAAGCCTTCCTTCAAGACAGGTATGAGTCAGGTGTATAGAGATGCAAGCCCACTCACAGTTGTGTGCTTCCAGTGCTCAACCTACTTTTCTGTGCCATAAAAACTTTTATAGTGGACCAGCACTCAACCTAGATTTTAATTCCCAAGTTTGTATGCAATAATGTATGCATTGCACTGCAGGACTGAAATGTAACTGTCTCTATTGAGTACACATTGTTTTGCCATATACAATATACATTGTATCTCCTGTTAACCACCTGCTCTCCTTACGGTCCTCCCTACCTCACCCTCCAGCTTTCTGGTGGGATGCGATGACGCTTTGACAGGCTTGGCGTCTGTTCTTGGAGATGTTGGTATTTTAGTGCCTCTGCGGCGGGGGCTGCTACAGGAATAGAGGCAGAGTTGTAGTGTCTAGTGTGGGGGTGTGAATCTGGGGAGGGCTGGGAGATTCAAACAATTGTATAGACAGGCAGAGCAGAGTATTGCGTAAGTTGAAGCAGATTTAGCCCGGGCTTGCTCACGCATAAATTTGATGAGCAGTGCGATCACAGACGTCAATGCTGGGTATTTAGAGATGGCAGATATTTACGGTATGTATTTATTTACAGGATGTGGTGTGGAGCAATACAATCCAACGCAAAAAGCAACATTTGCATCTATAGAGCAACACCTCTCCTCCACATCATTACATTCTGTACCATGTTTCCATTTAAGATATCTTAAACAGGAAATGACCAAAACCCTTTTCCTTATACTTTAGGCAAACTTAAATTAATGCTAATATGATACATAAAGCCAAGATTACAGGTATTAGCATAGAACAATTCATGCACAAGGAAATTCATAGTGCTTTACAAAATAAGAGAGGAAACATTAAAATCATAAACGGATTAAAAACACAAACACAAAACACAAAAACAACCACACATTGTGTGCACTGCTAAAATGTACTGTTTTACATTTTCAGAAATGTAAACAGCTGCAGGAATCTGGAGTCACCGTTATTATTATAGATCCATGGGAGTCACACACTGGTACAGTAGGAGGCCTTCTGCTGGGGACCAGCAGGGGGCAGTCCCTGCTCCTCAGAATCCCCACGTTAAGTCAGAGTCAGTCCCTGTGCTCCTCAGCCACACATTTTAAAACAGGCAGACGCATGGTTCAAATCCAGCGAAGGAAGCTCGAATGAGCGCAACTCTTAATTTTTTTTTGATCATTCAACTTTCGAATCAATCAACCTTGCACTGCTAGCTAAATTGTCACAATGTTTCTTAAAACAAAGAAAACTATAAAAAACGATAAGAAAACCCCACCACCCTAAACATGCATCTAAGGATGGGTCAAATGTAGAAGAAAAATGTCCCTACATGGACAATAAATGATACCTTACCATAAACATGTATTACCATAAATCCCACATCAGAATGACCCGGTCATGGCAACCTAAGGAATGAAGAGGAGATGAGAGGGGCTTTAAGACCTGGAATATTATAGAGAAAATTACAATATTAACGTAATCATCTGGAACAGGATTTTAGTTTATCTTCTCTTACTAGAGATAACCTTTTCTGTCATTAGGCCTACCTGCATGGTTTAAAACTTGTTGGGACTGAGCTGTTCTGTAATGCTTCTCACTGCATGGAATTAGTACAATGAGTACAATTTATTCAAATAATTTAACACCCATCCATCCATTCATCCATTTTCTTCCATTTCTGGGTCGGGGGGGATGGCAGTCAGAGCTGCACCCAGGACACAGAGCACCAGCCCCTCACTGATCCTCCTGCAGGTGCTGAGTCCACAGGAGCTGAGATCTTTCAGTGGGGGCTTCGGGCAAAGTGGGGTTAAGTGTCTTGTCCAAGGACACAACGACAGCAGTCATCAGTGGGAGTCGTGAAGTAGGTCTTATGGTGGGCTTGCACCCACAACCTTCAGGCTCAAAGGCCAATGCTCTACCAACTGAGCCACTGTCGCCCATATAATAATAATAATTGAACATGTTTAAAAGAAAACCCTGAAGAAGTACCTATGGGGGAAAGAGTTCTCAGCACGTGTATGTGTATGTGTGAGTGCGTGCATGCGTGTTGTGTTTTATGAGTGAGAGGGGCTGGAACCAAACGAGCGTTACGTCCAGCCCCTTTTCAAACTGTGCATTTCAGTTCATGTTGTATCCTGTTTTTCATAAAGGAGAATGCTGCTAACAGTGTCAATCATAACATGTCATAATCTACCGTTATTCTTAATTTTGCTAGCAAAGAATAAACACTGATAACGTATGAAAAGCAAAGGGCTTCTTACAAAAAAGTAGGACAGCCAGCGAGTTATGCAATGTGAAGATATGAAGCCAGCAGCGGTGTAAACAAGTCTGAAGTGGGCCAGGCTAACCGTTGCCTAGTAACAATATTTTGGGCAGGAGAACAGGCAAACATGGCCCGCCTTCCAAAGGAAAAGAGGGGCAGGCTCATGGGCATGCAGAGAGTTAGTGGCTTCCCGAAAATATGCTAAGAGACAGAAGGCAACAAAACAAAGCACTGTAGTTATTAAACAACAATGGTATTTTTACTTACCATGTTGGTAATCTACAGCACAAATATACTCATTAGCCAATATCAAGGAAATCCTGCATGTCTTCCATTTAACAGTTCACCCCACTGAGAGAGGCTACTTATATAAGCTATTTAGAAGTACATGGGAGAAGTGATCACAAGTAAAACGACACAATTCTCACTTGAGTTAATGTATAAGGAACCCAAAAGTTGTCTTCCAGTTGCTTGCTTTCCCTTCTACTGATAATGGCATTTGTGAACCATACGTGATGAAACAGCACTATTTCATCAGGCTACTGCTGCTATGGCTACTGTCACTACTGCGACCATCAGTCTGAAACTTCAATAGGGCTCCATTACTACTACGACGACGACAACTGCCTACTACTACTACTACTACTACAACTACTACTACTACTACTACTTCTACTACTACTACTACTACTACTACTTCAACGTTACTGTCGTTGGTATAAAAACCATAGGGATAACTCAAATTGGTGGAACTTTGTTTTAGCCTGTTTAGGGGCTTAAAAAAATGAAAAAAACGCGAACAAGTCGTTTGAAGCGTACGTGTGTGCTTTAACGAAGACAATCGCTACATTCTTGTTTGCAGAACTGCTCTAACAACCCGGAAGCCATATTGTGTGTAACCGGAGAAACCAGAAACCATGGAAACCGGTTGCACAACAAGTTAGACGTTCTAGCGTGTCCATGGCGACGTCAGTGTAAAGCTGCATTACATCCCAAATGATTAGTAAATAAGACGGACATTAATATTTATACTGTATACACGAATATATGTTATTATCAAATGATGATAAATACTACTAGCATTTTTCTGTCTTTTATTTCAAAGCCACCGGGCAGGACCATTGACACAAGACAATCGAACCCATTTGAAACCCAAGAGACTATTTTAGAAAGCAATAATTTTACTAGCATATAATTAATAATTTTCGTGTGTAAAACTTACATCCTCAGAGTCATCCCGTTAAAGCCGCTCACGGCAACTCGTCCGCCGAACTGCCTCTGACGTTGTAGTATACACTGACTAACACATTGTTATCCCCGAATCCTCCATTGTTTCACGTCATAGTTATGCCGTCGCGCACTTATGTTCATTGTCATTTCAAAGACCTTGCAATGCAGTCCTATTCCAAAGCCAGCCTCCCACCTCCATAACATCGACTCATAATCCTAATGAATCACTAGAGTCACAACAAATCAGTGACCACTGGCCCCAGTTCATAATAGCCAATTCTCCAATTTCCATATGCATAGTAAACAAGCCACTCGGCTGCTGGTGTCTCGAAGCAAAGGGTGCAAGATTTTTTTTTTCAGATGGATTTCCCTCTTTGCAAACGTAATAACGACTGATAAGTCTGAACTGCAAGATAAGTCCATGCAGTTACAACATCTGGAAATGCACGTTGGTTATTATCTTCCGTTATTCCCTAAGAAATATCTTGTGCCTGGGAACGTTATAAAAATCCTTTTCTTTCCCGCCGGGTGCTTCTGGTCCGTTTCAGTGGGAGAGGGATTCCCTCAACGTCACCAAGGATACCAAACACAACACAGAAGGACAAATATGGGCATTTACGTCATAGCTCAGCATAGCGGAACTCCGAAGGCGGGACCTAATGTAGACTTCTTAGTTGTATGAGAGCTGTTCATTCATAAGACAGGATCAGCTGCAAGACCGTAATATCGACGGACCGTGGCGTGGACACCTATAATTCATGGATTTACTTTAGCATTTCTTGGTTAGAGTTCTTCTTTTAATGTTTTACACCGGGTTTCGTTTCCCTAATCGAAGGGAACGGGATTAAGATTCTTGATGCAACTTATTTGGAAAGAAAGCAGGAGCTTCTCCCAGGGATTAAACGAGAAATTAACCGGTGAGTTCCTGTTTCAACTTTCATGCACAATATGCACTTAACTTTTGCTGTGGTCTTTACTGGAGGCTACTTTGGAGAGAACATAGAATGCACCCCAGAGCTGCAAGGCTAACAGACCTCCATCTCTCCCACAGTACCTCTTCTAAAGTAACCTTGTGTGCCGCTACATTGACGTGCAGGTGACACCTCGCTCTGTGCGATCGCTACAGGTTCCCCTCGGGAAATGTTCCAAGGCTTCCTTGGCGACCCTGACTGCGGATCCCGTGGGAGCTCATCACCGTCCATTGAGTCCCAATACCATTCCTCGGTGGACTCTTTCGGGAGTCCACCAACCACCAGTGCTCCGCAGGTAGGTTTAAGTCTATAAATGATAAATTAGCACGTTTTTCTGATGTTTACCCATACAAATAGACTATTCGGATATTGGAATTATACAACACACGCGGCATTTGTTCACATTGTTGCTGGGTCAGTCGTTGGCCATTTTCTAAGATCCACTTCTGAGCTTCCCACACGGGCCATGCTGATAAAGCGTGGTAAGGTTTTCACCGTGCCGGCAAAGGACGTCCAAGAAATCTCCAACGTCAGTGTTCTAGTCCCGCCCTCCGCGCGCTGTCCTCTCAGAGCCTCGCGTGTGACGTAAATGCGCGGTCTATTTTGGAGAGCTACGTAGCGTTGCTAAGGGGAACACCGGAGGCGTGACGGGGGAGGAGGATGAGGGAGTAGAAGACTGAAAGAAGGGTGATTGGTTGTGGTGGCTGCCACTACTGATTTTGGAGGCCTAACCCTTCTTCAACTACAGCTTACATATTACTATAGATACTATTATACATTATTATCATTATTATAATCTTCATCATTAATATTATTTGTATTATTATAAATACAATTTGTATTATTATGACTACGCTATTATTCTTTGACAAGTTTGTTTTCCTTTGCTCAGGAGTGTGTTTCAGCAGGAGCTGGTTTGAGCATAGTGAGCACCGTCCCTGGATCAAGTCCTGAGATGCCAGGTTCATTTGTGCCCACTGTGACAGCCATTACCACCAGCCAGGACCTGCAGTGGATGGTACAACCAACCATCATCTCCTCTCAGGCCTCTGGACAGAGTGTGTCCACAGCTACTTCTACTATGACTCAGCCCGTGTCGCAGGTTGATCCATATGACCTACCAGGCACTAGTTACTCTTCAGGCCCTGGAATGACCCTCGTGGGTTCAGACACAACAGGGCCAGGCCCAATGCGCCAGTCAAGAACCCGTAGCCGTCGCACTCGAGACGTGTCTGTGAGTGAAGATGGAGATGTTGATGTGTTAGTAAGTGTGTGTGCTGACTTGTTTTGAAGATAATTGTATTAAGTTAGTGTAAATATAAAATATGTATTGTGTCAAGCCTTGGCCTTTTCTACCATATTGTGTGTTATAATTTTATCATTTGGATATGAGAAATTTACCTTAGCAGAAAATATTAACCATAATAATATGTAATCATTGTATAAAGACATTTAATCCTTTTGAAAATGTAAATGTTACCATTAAGAGTGCAAAACTTAATTTGTCTTCATTTCAATACAGTTAACACCTGAGGAAGAGGAGAAAAGGCGTGTACGCAGAGAGAGAAACAAGTTAGCTGCAGCCAAATGCCGAAATCGCAGACGAGAACTCACAGACAGACTTCAGTCGGTAAGTTTGCAAAGTGTATTGGAAGTATTAACTGTTGTTCTGAAACTGTGGTACGGTACAACCTATTCAAAGTCAATTTCATTCACATGTCTTTCTTATGAGATTGTGAGTGTATTTGATTTTGACAACCCCGAAAAATGTTGGACACATTTCCCATTAGTTTGCTTTAACTAATCCGGTTTTCTTGTTAGAGGATCTGATGGTATTTAGAAGGTTACTTTATTTTCTTAGGTGATACTGAATATTAGTGGGGCAAAACCCACCTTACTTATTATGTTTTCCAGAATTCAGTTTACTCCACATCTACCTGAAAGGGCAAGCACTCAATCTATTAGTTAAAGTGTCATAACAGCAGAAGTAGAAAGAACAAACTTTTGTTTAATTTCTGTGCTTCAACTGGTATCCACCCCAACCATACTGCTCTGGCCATTTGCTGACTAATGTCTTTTTTCAATAATTAAACTTGGTGGGGGAGTTAGGAGAAAACCTTATTGGATCTCTCACCTTGTTTTTATTCTTCTCTGTATATGTCCACAGGAGACTGACATTTTAGAGGAAGAGAAGGCAGAGTTGGAGGCAGAGATCTCTGAGCTGCAGAAAGAGAAGGAGCGTCTAGAGTTTGTGCTGGTGGCCCATCAACCTAACTGCAAGTTGGTGTATCAGGACCAACCATCACAAAGCTCAATGCAGCTGCCAGCTCCAACCTTACAGGGACCAGTATCGATTGTGGGTTTGGCCACGAAGGAAGACTCATTTTATCTACCCCCCGCATACTCCAGCCACCAAGCCTCCACACTATCCCAGCCCGCAGTCCAGCAGCAGCAAGTGCAGCAAGCGCCACAGCCAGGACTAATACAGGAGGTAGAGTTTTCTAGTTCTTTCTATGGCTCATGTGAGCCAGCATCTTGTGGGCCTTGCCTTATGACCAGTGACAGTGGTGGTGGTAACCATGACGGTTCGGCCATTGGCTACAACACCTCATACACATCTTCATTTGTGTTCACCTACCCAGAGGGAGCCTGCGGGGTCAGTGCCAACCAGCGGAACAGCAGTAGCGAGCAGTCGTCTGATTCCCTGAATTCACCCTCGCTACTAGCGCTTTGACTGATGACACACACATATTCACAAGATGCATTAACAAAGTCTGCCAAGTACATAGCACTTAGTTCACACAGTTCCAATGAAAGGTATTGGAGTGAAGTTTAGAGATAGCAAATTCATTATCACAATATTATCACACAACCCACTAAACATACATTTCTTAAGATACATTATGTTGAATATATAGAATATATATTACATTTTTGTATTCCCATTAAGTGCACCCACATTAAATAAGATTTGTAAGCAAGCATCAGAGCCCCACTCTTGTTCCCTCTGTTGACTGCCTCTCTTCATTAGCTTTCATCTTTCTCGTGCTCTAATCCTCCTTTATCAATTGCTGGTTGTATCAGTGCAAATATTTAAATAGGATCATTGGACACGTGTTCCAGTTAAGAAATCTGAATCCTCCTCATTTGCTGTTATCTCTGCATCCACTCACTCCCTTCTGCTTTTTCATTTGCTTGGACTGGGGGATTGCTCAGACTGCATTTAAATTAGTACCTTTTGTTTGTTCTCAAATCCGTCCACCTGTCTACCTGACATGCGACCCATCTCTACCCAACTTTGTTTCTCCTCTTCTGTCTTTGTTTCTTCCGGTCTTCAAAGTCTTCGACCCCAGAGAGACCAGAGACTCCTTCCAGCCCTTGGGAGCTTGAATGAATGCAGAACCAACTAACTCTACTTTTCCCAACTTCTCATAAAAGGACTGGGAAGACACAACCTAAAGAGATGAGTGCTGTTTGGTGACTTCGCTGCTGTAGATCATCTTTAATGTAAAGAGGATCTCCACTCTGCATTGAGATCCATAATCCAAGATGGCCACACTGTCTTCAGCTGAGTGGGGACAGTACAGTAGATAGATGATGTGCTGGATGAAGAAAAAAGCGCTGCAGCAAATGGAGATTGATTAAAAGGAAAACATTCATCAACTGACTTAAGAAACCAAATGAGAACATTAGAGCCAAAAAAACATGCTTTTGCAAAATATGTTTAGAGGGAAACCTCACTGAAAACCTCACGCCACAGAGCCTACTATGCGCATATTAACAAAAGTATCTTGAGGAAGGCAACTTTGTTGACGTTGCACACCAGCTCCTTCTCCAGCCTTATTACTAACCATTCAGATGTGAATGAATGCCTTTTGAGAAGACATTTTATGAAAACAACCTCTAAATATTGGGTCAAGCGGTGTCCTTTCCTTCAGCAGGATGAGAAAGGGGTGAAGTATTGCTGAGTGCCTCAACTCAGAGACACCGGGCCTATTTATTTCTTTCTTTATAGAGGTTGTTGGAATCAAAGGAATACAAATAAAAGACCAGATAAGAGGCTTATATTGTACATGGTCTTTGCCTGTGAATTTAACCTGTTTCTTTTCCTGTCTTAAATTGAATATATTGGAGTGTTGGTATGTGTTTTACAATGACTTTTTGTTCTCACTTGTACTGTTGCTGTTATTTTAGATGGAAAGGTCTCTGCAAACTGTTACCATTACTATGGCATATATTGTTTTGTTGTATCATTATTTGGCATGTTGTGCACTAAACTGTTTTAAGCGTAACAATGAAATGATCTGTCTATACCTTTACATAGGCATTTGTTGTGCATTTGTGCCATGATTGTATTTGTTGACCAGCGATGTAAAGATTTAGTTTTAAAAATAATATTTTTCTACATAGAACGAAAGGTTCCAATAGTGCCCGTCCCTTGACATGAAGAACAATGTCAGTGCCGCCATCAGTGTCTCAGTGTTTGTATAGCATCAAACATATTCTTTCTCGTGAGATGCTTCTGTTTGTCTGATCCAGATGAGGTCTGTCCCACAGCTACCGACACCTTAATGCCACTTGATATAGCAGCTGCACAAAATGTAAACCAAGAGCAAATGATTGTCTTTTTATATATAATTACTAATGTTAAATGTTAAAATAAGTTATCATATTTAATGTGTTACTGCAAGTATAAACATATCATTCCACGTCATAGTTTAATGAGCTGTGCTTAAAGTGTTTCGTCAATAATATTTATGTGGTAAATATGTTGAATCGTAAATGTAATTGTATTTGAATGATAACATATTTTATTTTCATTAAATAAATATGCCTTTTATTTTGGTGGTAACAATCGTTTGACCATGGTTGTCAGTAATGGGGCAGACCTTGGACCCTTGGCATTATTAAACAAAACCAGTGTTGCTCGTATTCCTAGCAATGTGATGTGCTTTTGTCTCCAAAACAGATTGTATTATATTTTTGAAACTGAGAAAATGAGTACAACAATAGTTCTCAAATATTATGCTGGTGCTACTTTGTAAATGTACGAAAACTAAGAAAAATAACTTTTCATTTATGCATATTGATTTCAGAATCTTTTTTGTGCTAATGGTAATGACTTTGATGCACCAAGGCCTTGATTTTATTTACATTACAGCTTGCAAGTAGACAAGGATGGATATGATGCAGACATCTGGTGGCCTCAGCGGGCTACATCTACCTATTTTATGAAGTAAATGCATTATGAATTGTATTGCTCCTGCATACATATACATTAAGTCAGAGCCATGTATGGAGTTTTTGAAGAAACAATATAATGGAAGTGAAACTGCTAACATTTACTTGTATTGTATTGTAACTTACTTGATTTATTAATAATAAGACTATTTTTCTATAATAAATATAGAACATACTGCTGTGTGCACCTATCTGCTTTTTTGTTTACTCTACTTCCTTTTATGTTTAAATGCAATACTCTTTCATCTCTGGGTTAATGTAATGTAGCAAAGAATATATAGCCAATAAGTCTGCTACTTTTTCCCATTCAGGTGTTTTTAGAAGAGATGCTGTGATAAAAAACATCTAATGGGTCAATATCTATGTATTTTCTTTGTAAGTATGTAGTCTAGTTTATGCTTATCCTATTTGGTGCTTGTTTGGGTCAGATTAATCCTGATTTAGACCAGTTTTCTCCTGGTTTAGTTACTAAACCAAAAATCTGTCCATTTATTTTCATATGTAAGCAAAAGCAAAGTCAAACAAACAACTGCATTTAAAAATAATTTGTTCTGCAAACCGCTATTCTAGGCCAACCAGACAATACATTGTTACTGACCAAACTTTTATTTGTAAGCTATTTTGTGTCATACTGAGAAGGTCCCACAAAATCCATGTACAATCAATGCCCTTTGGTTAGAAGAGGGTACCCTGCCTTCCAATTCTATGAATGTGATGCATTACTCTTGTGCGATTGCATGGATACAGTTTTGTCACATAAATAACATGAAAAACAGACAATAAAGGTTTGTTTATAATGTACAAAGGACTGTGTCAAAACTGTTTTAATTCAGTGCAAATAAAAACAGGACTATTGTGACTGCTTTAACTGTCTCACAGCTGGATCAATGTCTTGATCCAGAAAATCTAAGGACATCTCTGGTCTAAGTACTTAAGTAAAAGTAAAGTAATATAGAATGTAATTATTTGAGACTTGGAACTTTAAACATTGAAACCACTTTCTCCTGCAACTTTGTGGCCTGCACTTTTGTTTGCTGATCTGGTTTTATGTTGTGTCATCGTCTGCAAAATGTCAAGTCAATTTTCTGAATGTAAGATGTAGAAAGTACAGATGTTTGGGGTTAATTTGTAAATAGTTGTCAGGAAAATGAATAGTCAAGTAAAGTACAGATACTAGGAAAAACAACTTGTGTGTATTATTAATGTAGTATATGCTTTACTTTCCCTCTGACAATCAACAATATGTGAGGTCCATCAAGGGGACTTCTGTTGTGATTTTGGGAGCTACAGAAAAGAAATAAAATTGGATTAATGATAAGTTGAAATAACAAAAGGATTCCAAGCTTTGCAATATACCTGATATTCAGTTTGACACTTGGAGACAAGGTTACAAAATATTACTAATCAAAAGGAATGGCAAGGAAATGGCAATGGGTTAAAGAAGCAGGTTAGTGCGTTGATGACATGATGAGTAATGGAATACATATACTGGGAATATCCATTGCATCTATTGTGTTATACAAATTAGCACAATTGTATTCCAAGAAATCAGAATACAGCACTCTGATTGGACCCTCTAAAGAATTAAATTATATATATATTTTTTTTTTAAAGCAGGTATTCAGAATGAACTAAATACATTTTATGTCCATAAGTATTGTCCCCATTCCACCTCCTCCATCAAGCACTGACCTTCAGAGTTTGTGGTCTTTGTCGCCCTCTATCGTTCACCACATGTAACTGCTTTTAATAAACAGGAAGTTACGTAACGCGGCAACCCTGACGCGCATGTCCGTGATGCCTGTGTCCGTTTGATACCAACATGGCGTCCGAGAGCACAGGTAAGAAGCGAGTGCAAAACCAATTGTGTAAGACTCCTACGTGATTTAAGCAACACGATAATGTTGTGTGGCTATATCTTTTAAATAGATATGTTTTCAGAGCTAGCTTTGTTAAAACTGCATCATACAAACTACAAAAGGCATCGGCTCTGCACAGAGAGCTAATATGGCTAATGCTAACTTGTCTAATTTACAGATGCACACCATAATAATAAAATGGATTAAAGCATCCATTCGCCTAAACTGCATCGACTAGTTTAGATTACGCCCCTCCATTCTTGAACTATGATTTATAAACCTGTATGTTTTAATGAAAGTCGTTGCACAATGCGCGTTTAGATTCGTTAATTCATTGAGCATATATGGTTACTTAGTTATTAGTATTCGGCTCAGAATTTAGAATCTTTCCATAACGTATTCTAAATGTAATTGTGAGTCACAGGGGCTTTACGCAATCCTGTTTAGTAAGGCCTTGTGCGAAACAGCTGTTCCCCTCAGCTGTGAATTCAATCACTTTCAACAGAATGCCACCAGCTACATGTGTAGCCCATTTTATTTTAGATGTATTTTTGGCCTTTTGCTTCATACACTAACAGTATTGTCCATTATGGATGTATTGTCTTGTCTACTCTAAACATGAACATACATTTTTGTCCTTTCTAGTTACTTCAGAGTGGATTCAATTTTTTAAGGATGCTGGTATTCCCGCTGGCCTTGCTGTTACATATGCAGTTTCATTTGTAGACAACAGGTAACTAATTTACATTTATTGTTTTTAGAATATCCAGAGATGTCCTGTGATTTGATTTGTTTGTTTTAATACAGAATCCAAAAGAATATGCTCATGGACCTGAGTAAAGACATAATGATGGACCTTGGTATCACAGTCATTGGTGACATAATTGCCATCCTAAAACATGCCAAACAAGTGTACCGACAGGTATGATGATGAGATGCTGCTTTTTCTTTTATTTCTGGAAATTAAATCTTGTCCCTTTTTGATAGGACATGTGCAAAATGGCCACAGACGCCATCTCCTCAGGGCAGACCAGTGTGCAGGCTGAGCTACGAAGAACTGCAAATACCCGTAAGCCTCGAATGTTAAAGGCATTAGTTTGGATACATTTCTTAAAATGACAAACACAAATAATACAATAAATATTTTTCAGCTGCCACTCGCATGATTGCAAATGCTTTAAGCCATGACTCTCCACCAGCAACTCCAGTGCGACGAGGTGACCACCGCCTTTCTGTTACAGTGTCCAATGTCCCAGGAAACAAAAAGAACAAAGCAGGTTTGTGTTAACCCCTATTCATGATATGCTACAACATACACACCTCAAATCTATTGAATAAATGTTGTGCACCAGTTGTAAGTCAGCCAGCAGATGAAGTGAAGAGTGTTCCTGCTGCGAAGCGGCGACGTGTGACTGCTGAGATGGAAGGCAAGTACGTCGTCAACATGCCCAAAGGCACTACGGCACGCACACGCCGCATCCTGGCTCAGCAAGCCAAGAAAGGTAGGCCCGGCATGTGAAGCAGTGAGCAGCTTGGGCTCTCACTCCTACTAATCCCAACTAATATTTTCAACTAATTAAACTGCTTTCCTCTTGCGGTTCTTTCAGTGTTCTCAAAAAGATTTAATGCATGTTGATGTGCTGGCCAACCTGAAGATACAAATAAGCCAAGGCAGGATGCACATAATTGTAAAAATAAAGGGTCACATTTATTATATATATAATGTATAATTAAAACAACTAGTTTGTTTGATATGGTTCTCTAAATGGTTGGGCAGGGTTTATTGTATGTAATTAAGTGCATTTGAAAGATTTTTTTTTTGACGACTCCAAATTTCTTGTGAAGGTTTAAAGCGCACTTCTGTGTTTGCAAGGCTTGGAGCTGAATCAAAGGTTGACACAACTTCAAGTAACAATAAAGTGAGTTTTTCCTTTTAAACATATTTTATTAAATGCAAAGTTCAATGCTAACTGTGCACATGTTTTAGCCCACTGGAGTGTTCAGCCGCCTGGATTTAGCTCATGAAGAAGACCAGACAAAGCTGGTGCACAGAATAACTGAAGGTGAAGAGAGTGATGGAGAGGGATCTGTGCTTCAGTATGCAGGCGTCCTCAAAAGAAATGCCCCCACTCCAAAGAAGGAACCTAAAGTGTCAAAGCCCACAACCCTACGACGACTGGGAGGCAAATTCAAACTGCCGCCATCTGACACGCCAACTTCATCCACCATTAATGGCCTTCCCTTGGCAAAAATTAGTGTGCTCCAGAGACTTGGCACGCCTCTGAGCGCTGCCTGCCCCCCTCCTGATGAACAGGACAATCGAGTGACGAGCACCAAGCCAAGAGCCCTAGAGAGACTGATAATCGCCAGCTCCAAAGTGAGCAGCAGCACAGGAGCTGTAGCCACAAGTGACGGGCATGGGGCGCAAATGGATGCACGTGCTGTCAGTGTCTTTAAAAGACTTGGCAACAAAAACACCTAACGCATTGTTTTTACTTAAGTCTTTTTAAAGATTTTCTGAACTTGATCCCGTTACCTGTTTCCCTGACATCAAAGATGTTCATACTTGATGACTGGAGTTATCACCATTTTTAAAAAGGACGATACAATAGTCTACAATATCAGGGCAGCTGTGGCAACAAACTAGTTTACCACCACAGTGTATAGAGTGAACAATGCCATCTGAAGATTCTTTTGGGTGTCATGAAAAACACTATATACATAAGTAGTATGCAACCAGGTTACCTTATTTATATTTCCATAGAAAAACATCCCAGAAGGTTTCCTTGCACAAGAGTGTTGTCTGGATCCTTTTGTTTTACAAATTGATTTGTATTGCATGAGACTGCCTGATCTTTTAAAGAGTACATTTCTGTATATATTTATGATGACTCTGGATCCCAATGTTAAAATAAAAATGTCCACAGAGCAACAGTTAGTGTGAATACATGACTGGCAGTGGAAGAATGATTTGGATCTTTGATTTTTTTTAAACTGGTTAGTTTATTTTAAATATTAAAAGCATTGCCTCCAATGTAAATTACACTTTTAGTATGTGCAGTATTTCAGGCAAAGTGTAGCGACTTATATTTTTCATTTGTTTTAAATGCATTTAGGCAGAAAAGCCTACTATTTATCAAATGCCACATTCTTTTATAAATGTAAAAAATACTGAATGCTATTAAAAAATAAAGTAAAACCTTTCTGCTCTAAACCTATGGTACGAATGTTGCATTCAAGTGAAATCAGATCTGAGATACAATCACTTCCCAAAAACTGGAATGCATCTAGAGATACCGCTTTGCATATCTTAACCTTGTTTCTTGTTTAGAAGGGTATAACTTGATGTCCTCTTTCTCAGGTCTAAGCCCGAGATGCGCAGCAGTAAAATTAATAAAAATACCACTTTATCCTTTTTATTGATCTTTGTCACATTAAACATGTAAAAAGCTATATTATGAAAGAATCCATGGTAAAAAGGTGCAACATTCCGCGTGACCAAAACTGGATTCACCTCCTTTCTTAAAGGATTACAGCTGACGATTTCAAACTGCAGGTCAGGATAAGAGAGATCATTTTAGTATTTTTAGATGCAACCAGGTTCTTAATTTCAACACGTTTGCAGATTCCTTTTGTCCACTTGATGTCACTGCACTCTCACTTTTGCCTTTCATTTCAGCGGTCTTGCGCCCAAAAATCGTCTCAAATTCTCAGCCTTCAAACTGTTTGCGCTATAATGTTGAAGTAGGTTTAAAAGAAAGGAGTTAACTGAACAAACCCATCACGACAGTTTTGGCTGCACTGCCTCTCTCAGGCATCAACAACGGAATGACGTAATCCTCGAGCCATGCCCCAAGTGTTCGGTAGTTATTCTAATGACTATCAAAATTATCGACGATAAAGCGGTAGTAGATGGATGGGGTGGCGTCTTAGTCAATTGTAAAAACATTCTGACCAACAGCGATACACGATGATGATTATCCATCTCTTGTTTCATCCTCTTTTAAATGTCTCACATTTTGGGGATAATTGTTAAATTCGATCATATCAGCTCGCTTCCATCTTTGCTTCAGTGTAAAAGCTCGACTGCAGCATCCCCTCACGACTTTTGTGTTTCCCACAGTGCTTTGCGGCAGGGGTTATGCTGTGTGCGCTGTCCGTGGTGCTGAAGCTGCGCTTACCTCGAGCATCTCTCGCGAAAGCACCTCACAGAACAGGTCTGTTTTTCTCGTCACGGCGTACGCTGTAGGGAATAATATCTTGAATCGCTCGTACGTACTTTCAAATTGAGGCATTGTGGGGCAAATACACGCCTTTAAATCGAAATCGTATTTTTTTTATGTTCGCTTTTTCTTGTTTTCTTTTTTTCCGAGGTTTTTTCTCTTCTTTATGCACTGCACGCTGCTGAGGACATTGAAAACACGCATATGTGTCCGAGCAGCATGGCCCGCTCCGACCGCTGTCACTGAAAGGCATGGAGGCCAAACAGCACCAGATCAAAAGCCTGAAGAGCTACCCCGAGCCCAGCGGTCGGAGTCTGGCAGCAGCTGCCGGGGCAGGGCACGGTTCGGCGGAAATGGATATGGAGGCAAAGATACAGAAAGCTATCGACTTTAAACTGGAGGGTCATCGCTGTTATAAAGAAAAGAAATTTCGGGAAGCGATAGGTAAATACCACCGTGCACTGCTGCAGCTCAAAGGTGTGCATGTGGCTGACAACACCACAGGCTCGGAGGTTAACCTACTGAACCAAGCGGCGGCGGCCAAGCTAAGCGAGGAGCAGCGCTCCGCCGTGAAGAGCACGGAGATCGAGTGCTACGACAGCCTCACAGGTGAGACATTCGGCACAGGCCTTGACCACAGTCTGTGGCCTGTACTGACCTTTCAGGGGCTACTGAGAATGTGTTTCAGCGCAAGAAAGGAGCTAGATCCTAGCTCCTAGGTCCTAGATCACAAAATAATTGAATTCAAATGTTCTGTTCAAGACTTATACATCTTTAAATTTGAATTTTCAACGTGTGACAACGACCCCACGTCTGGGGTTGTCACATGTTAGTTGAGTAATTGCTTGAAGGTTTTAATTTCCTTTTAATTAAACATTTCCTAATGTCCTAGACTCCAGGGAGTTGAAATTATAAGCACATCACAAGAAGCAGTTACTAAAAGCAAATACCCTCCACATAATTTTGGAAACATATTTTCAATCTGGAAAGATGCATTTTAGCGTAAAAAAAACCCAGACCTTCTAAAAAGTGTGGAAATATTGTGAATCTCAATTATTTGTACGTGTGACATTTCAACCAAATAAATATTGAACAGACTTGAACAGAGTTGGGGCGCTGGGCCTTGCTGGGGCACAGTGATCATTGTTTCAGATTTAGCTTTATTAAAGTATTAAATTGCACTGAACACAATATTTATTCAATACTAAACAACAACATTCTTGCATGTATTGGAATTATGTTTATGGGGTGGGAGTCGACAAGTTTTTACTTCCTTCCCACTCCATTTCGAGCTGACTAATTGTAAATAGAGGTTCATTTGTAAATACATATTGATATTCATATTGTAGATATACATCACATGGTGAAACTAGAGCAACTTTTGCTTGATTGTATAGTTATGTTTATATATTTTCATGTATAAGTATATACTGTAAGTACAGCAGGCAACATGTATAAAGAATCATGTAAACTAAGGAATGTAAATATTGTAAATACTGTATACTCGAATGAATAAAATCAAAATAAAAAAACAGACTCAAGACAACCAACCCCATACATGTTTTAGGAAAAAACAAATACATACACCTACTGTAACTGTAGTAATTTGCAAGTGGCACAGTTTAAAAACACAATGAACATTGCAAGAGCAGATTTAGTGTCTAAAGACTTATGACCAGTGCTTTCAATTAGCTTAACTTTAGTTTTGAGTAAATTAAATCTCTTTTTGCTCTCTTCGGGGTAAAACTGTAAAACTTGATCACCAGTTTCCACATATGGGGACCATGAGAAGCCAGGCTGACATGGAAGAATTGTTTGGGAGGGGGACATTGAGAGAAAGATTACCTTCAGAAAATAAATAGTCACTAAATGTTACTAAAAAAGGGGGCTCCAATCACCATGACAACATCAGTGAGCCTTTCACATTGCTGCCTCATAAAAATAATGACCTACTTCAAGGATCCAGTACAATTTTAATCTATTCCAAATTGTGTCAAACAGAAATAGATTCATTAAAATTCCCTTCAGGCTAGACATGAACCAAACATTCATATAAAAAAGCCTAACTAACTTTTCTCATTAGCTATTGCAAGCTATCAGTTTGCAAGAAGCAAATCTACAGTGGCTGTGACTTTCATCCGGCAATCCATTTTCTTCTACTTTATCTGTTGCCGTGTCGCGGGGGCAGTAGTCTGAGCAGAAATGCCCAGACCTCCCTATCAGAATCAGAATTTTTTTTGCCATGTAGGTAATAGGAAGTCACAGACTAGGAAATTGCTTTGGCTCCCGATGCAAACAAATCAAAAGTAGAGATAGAAAAAGGCATAAAAAAACATTTCTAAAAAAGTAAAAATATTAAGATTACTATATACTACAAGTGCACTCGGTGCACACAATATACATCTCTTTAATAAATACTGTGTTTCATAAAGTCATATCTGTGTCAGAGCTTATCTGTGGTGAAATCAGACATTTTGATAATGCGTGTGACGTGGAACACGTCTGCTGCGTCATTTGCATATTGTCCCGTAGATCCAGGGGTGTCCCAATTCTTAGGGAGAATGTTGTGAGTGCACTCACCACTGGGAAGGCACTTTTCTGGTGAGGGCACTCACACCTAAGGGCAAGGGTGAGAATTGGGACGGGGCCTAAGCAGTGCAGTAAGGTGACAGCAGTAAAGTGACTTTATAAATAGAGACTTTATAAAAGTGTTCAAGAGTCCAAAAGTGGAGGGGAAGAAACTGTTCTTATGGCGGGAGGTTCTGGTCCGAATGGACCGTATAGCCTCCTGCTTGAGGTGGAGTATAGGTCCTGCAGCATTGGGAGTCTGCGGCCGATCACCTTCTCTGCAGAGCACACAATGCGCTGTAGTCTCTGTTTGTCCCTGACTGTGGCTCCAGCGAACCACACGGTGATGGAGGAGGTGAGGATGGACTCGATGATGGCCGTGTAGAACTGCACCAGCATCTGTACAGGCAGCTTGGCTTTCCTGAGCTGCCGCAGGAAGTACATCCTCTGCTGGGCCTTCTTGATGAGGTGCTGCAGGATGAAGTGGAGGGCCAGGTTTATTGTGTTGTCTACAGATCTGTTGGCTCTGTAGGCGAACTGTGGAGGATCCAGGGGGAGAAGGTCCAGACACTCAAATGACTTCATAAATACAGATGTCAGCGCCTCAGGTCTGTAGTCATTAAATCCAGTGATCCTGGTCTTCTTGGGGACGTGAACAATGACAGAGGATTTGAAGCAGGCCAGCGACTCGTTTGCACAGTGTCTCAGGGTGGCAGGTGAGACGCCCATCTGGGCCTGGTGCTTTTCGGAGGGACATAGTCGAGAGACATCAAGCAGCATGTGGAATGATGCGGTCACCGTATCGGACTGCTGTTGTGGTGAAGAGGGAGCTGGATCGAAAGGCAAAGATCTCAATTTACCAGTTGATCTACATCCCTTCTCCTATGGTCATGAGCTTTGGAGAATGACCAAAAGGACGAGATCATGGATATGAGGTTGAAATGAGCTTCCTCCGCAGAGTGGCTGGGCGCTCCCATAGAGATAGGGTGAGGGATATATTCCGAAACGTCTCCCCGGGAGGTAACCCCGGGGAAGACCCAGTACATGTCGGCTGTGAATACAGTGGCTAAATCTGACCTGAGTAAACCATGCAATCAATGACAGTTTAACAAAAGTCTATATAAACTAGAAATTGACTCACATGCTGCTTAAAATTGATGCGACCCCTCTCGTACTACGCAGAAAAATCCTAATTTTCTGTACAGTAATTGAAAGTACAAATAAAAACAATACAAAATCAATTTCTGGATCGGAGGGGTGTGACAGCCAGAGCTGCACCCAGTACAAACAGCACCAGACCCTCACTGATCCCCCTGCAGGTGCTGAGTCCACAGGAGCCTTGATCTTTCAGCGGGGGCTTCAGGCAAAGTGGGGTTAAGTGTCTTGCTCAACGACACAACGACAGTAGACATCAGCGGGAGTCGTGAAGTGGGTCTTGTGGTGGGCTCGAACCCACGACCTTCAGGCCCATAGGCCATTACTCTACCAACTGTCACCTGAATAGCCATTCAAGATCTACAGTAAGTGCAACAAAAAATATGAAAAGGAAGTAAATTAAATATGATAAATTGACCTAATCTCATTATTATTTTCTAGTGTGAAATTATGTGTCATTAAGGTTTACTGTAATGACACCCTGATCATTTTAATGAAAAACTGGCCTATACTGTATGTGATAAAATGTGAACACTGCTGTTTATATTCATCCACTCAGCTTAACACTGACAGTCTCTGTCCTATCTGAGCTTTTCTGACCTGACAGCTCCCATTATCTCTGGAGGACCGGGCTTGACTTTGAAATTGTGTCCTTACTACACGGCACTTTTGATGGCATTGAATACTAAAAGCAAGATCGGAAAGGCGTTTGATAACCCCAGCCAAGGACAAGTGAAGCAATGGCCCATTCATGTTATGTTACACAAATCAAGACACTAATCACAGGGCCGAAGCGGAAGGCTAGTTTTTCCTTAAAAAAACTATGTCTTTACCTCTTTCTATTTTCTTATCACAAGTAACAAGCAAATATACACAACATTTAAACATCAAATTGCAAAGGGAAACAAAAACTGTTGTTGAGGTTCTTCTATGAATCCTGTAGTGTGTGAGAACTACAAAGTATGACAAAAGTGCATCACATTTCAATGCCTGCGTCCACTCTAAAATGTACTGCTCTCATACAGCCTTGGCCTTGTCCTTTTACTGGATCTGGATATTTAGGCAGTTCAGACATCATTTTTTTCACAAACTAAATTATATTGAATCATTTATGTAATTCATTGTTTTATATTAGTAATGAACAGAGATTTTAAATGCTGTACTGCATCTGGACAGCATCTTAAACTATGCTAACCACATTATAGGCAAGCTTTGGCCCACAACTAAATTATATCTGTGCCAGGCTCAATTATACAGTAGATATATTACCCAATAAATGTCCCATCTGTGCTTTAATAACTGTATTTATCTCATATTTCAATCCAAGTTGGTTCTCAAAGTGTGAGGGCCTTTGAATGATTAATTTATTCAACATTAATCTCTTGGATAGAACCAAGCAATGTTAACTGCTGCTTTATATCAGAACAAAACATATAAAACACTTGACCCTGATGGAGCAGTGATAACTGGTTACAGCTGGAACTACTCAGAGTTGTCAAGATGCCGATCTTCTTCCTGTTTTGATGTTCCAAAACATGCAAGGTCAACATCTTGAATCAATGTGGTTTGTCTTTTATTTTAGCGCCAAATCATCATTTTCACAACTTGTGTTCTATCATTATTATTATTATGATTATGATTATCATTGTTATTGTTTTATTTTTATTAGCTCTTCTAACTATTCAAAACATTACTTTATTAACCCTGGCATTTTCAAAGAATATGAATGATAAGATGATCATTTTATTTTACACTTAAAAAAATCATCTTGGTCAGGGTTAGTTTCTGTTTTCAAAAGAGTTAAAACAAAATGGCTTCATCTAACCACCACAAAGAATTTTTTGTTTATATTTCTACATTCTGTTTTTATGGTTATATTCTGAAAAGCAGACATGAAATAGACAAGATACTTTAATCTGTAATCTATGATCTGTATTCTGGACTGGTTATCTGGACTGTGCTTTGAAAAGAGGCTCAGAAAAAGTAAGAATGATATAAAAACAAAAACTGCTTAATCAACATAATGTTACATTTAATAACAAACACATCTTTGCTCATGGGCTTTTCTTGTAGCCAACTAAAAACTAAACACTTTTATTTACTCAACAAATCATATATAGCATCAACAAATCGAATAGTCTAGTATGTTACTTTCAGCCCTTGTGCAATCTCTGCCACTGAGCACCTAAATTAAGGCACAATGGAAAATAAGACTAATCTGAATCCTCAAGGAGGATATTGATCTAACTGTATAAATATTTAAAGAGCTAAACATTTATCTTGAGTCGGCCACTATTTTGGGCAGTGGAAAATAAGCGGAAGATGAAATTTGATAAAGCAGAAAAGATGATCTAATATAAGATTCTAATGAGGCTTTACTCTTAGTTATTTTTTAGAACATATACTGTATAGCATTACTATAGTTCATTGTGGCCCTTGTCCTCAGCATGTCTCCTCCCTGGACACTTTCAGATCACTTTGCTTCTGATGATCCTATCATTATTTCAGCCTTAATGCATCGCACCACACTCTACTTTTCCCTTTCCGATATGCATCTGCCTAATGGACAAGAAGGGCGAGGCCAGAGAGGACCTACTTTAAATGACTAACTAAAACTACTGTATATCAAGGACATACAACTCTTACAATGAAAACAGACATGAACAATACATCGCTGGAAATGTGAAGTAATACAGTACATGCAGTACATACAGTACATACAGTACATGCAGTACATACAGTACATGCAGTATATACAGTATATACAGTACATACAGTACATGCAGTACATGCAGTACATGCAGTACATGCAGTACATGCAGTACATGCAAGGCAAGGTTAACATGTTTCTTATCTTAGCTATATGACCTTCTGTCACAAAGTGTGACAGAAGGCCAAAATTAGATTTTAATAATCAGAAGATGTATAATGTTTTTCATTTATCCAAACCCCTCTTCTGTCCATTAGTAGTTGCTAGAAGATAACGGTTTTATACATTAGTCAAATGTTCTATCGTGGCTCTGTTTATTTGTGTAACGAACGTGATCCTTTGATGGAATGAGCTGCGGATGTTTGTAACATATTTTCAGATGTCCACATTTGATGAATAGATTTGTCTTTTTTACACAAAGTAGAAACAAAGTGATTACTTTCATTAGGTAAACCAATTAAATGTGAAACCAGACACTGATTTTTTTCTAAAGTTTAATTTTTTGAAAAAACGGAAACCTTCACATCCATTACACATTTTTCAGGGGTCAAGGGAATACATTTTGAAAAGTAATCAATACAAATTTTGATTTATTTTTCAACAATCATTCCTTTTTAAATTAAAAGATTTACTTGTTGTGTTCGCCATGTTCATCTTGTGGGAGTTCATCTGCCGCTTTGTCTCTGATGACCTTTTATTTTCGACGCGTCACAGTAGAATTATCAAAGCAGAGGCTGTAAAATGGGTCTTTACATTTGTTTTTGTCATCTTTTCTTTTGATTTCATCCACACTATCGCTTTGATTTGTCTGTGTTTGAAATCCTTTTTTTTCTATTTTTCTTATTATAGTAATTTTTGTTTTTGAGTTATGTAAGGGATAATGTATATTACGCAGGTCATTATCGGAAAATAAGTACCGGCGACAGGGCGAAGCGGACCCTGACGCGCTTGTTACACAGCTTTGTACCAACAGACCACACAAAATAAACTTCAGTCCACTCTTAGGAATGCCGAAAGGTTTATTTATTGACAGAAAATAAAATTGTTGCCAAAGGCTTTCCCAGGTTTATGCGAGTAACAGCTAGTCTCGTAACAGTTAGGCTAGTAACAGTTAGTCTAGTAACAGTTAGGCTAGTAACAGTTAGGCTAGTAACAGTTAGGCTAGTAACAGTTAGGCTAGTAACAGTTAGGCTAGTAACAGTTGGGCTAGTAACAGTTAGGCTAGCAGCAGTTAGGCTAGTAACAGTTAGGCTAGTAACAGTTAGGCTAGTAACAGTTAGGCTAGAGACAGTTAGGCTAGTAACAGTTAGGCTAGTAACAGTTAGTCTAGTAACAGTTAGGCTAGTAACAGTTAGGCTAGTAACAGTTAGGCTAGTAACAGTTAGGCTAGTAACAGTTAGGCTAGTAACAGTTAGGCTAGCAACAGTTAGTCTAGTAACAGTTAGGCTAGTAACAGTTAGGCTAGTAACAGCTAGGCTAGTAACAGTTAGGCTAGTAACAGTTGGGCTAGTAACAGTTAGGCTAGTAACAGTTAGGCTAGTAACAGTTAGGCTAGTAACAGTTAGGCTAGCAACAGTTAGTCTAGCAGCAGTTAGGCTAGTAACAGTTAGGCTAGTAACAGTTAGGCTAGCAACTTCCAAACTAGAACTCTCTGGAACTGCATGAAAACTGAACAAAGAATTCTGAACATCAGCGATGAGTGACCTAAACATAAACCTAACCTAAATCCGTAATTCGATCCTCTGCAAATGTGTCCGAAAATGTCCCGGAATCTACTTCCGGGTTTTTCGCAATCGCTTTTTCTCGCATTAAAACTGTATTTTTGTCATGAAAACCTTTACAGAAAATTCTGAAAACCTCCATGCATGTGTATTAAGAATGTATTTGTATAATGTATTCTCCGATTAACATTTAAATGTGTTGTTGATTGGTATTTTCGTTTATTGAGCGTGGCTAACTCCGGAGTGGCCGGAACTACTTGCGGAGTAATCTACACCTGAATTACAAGCAGAGTTCATTATTGTTTTGAGAGGTCAGTTATCAAGAAATAATGACTGGTTTTGAAATTACATTCAAATCAATGGAGTTCTACTGCTGCTGTGAGGAGCCATGTAATAAAACCTTTTAAAGTCAATACTATAATTGACACTTTTCTGTGAACACATGTTCAATGGCTGGAATGTCTCTTACAAAGTGTGAAGAAACATCAAACATGCGAGGGTTGTTTTATAAACTGGTCTCTCCCTGCCAAGAACATACTTGTCAAACGATGACTATGATTTATTCAATGTACAATGTTTTAAATAGGATAAAAGGTAGAAGTACAGCGATCAAAGGCCCCCAGACACAGAACATTTAAAAAATAAGTGTGGTTTTGTTGGCATGCGTTTTGGAGTCCTTACGGTCCAGTTAACAATTGTGATTATGAAATTATATATTATATGTTGGTATATGGCGACAGTAGCTCAGTTGGTAGAGCATTGGCCTTAAGGCCTGAAGGTCGTGGGTTCAATTCCCACCTCTGCACCTTCTCCACCGACTCCCACTGACTGCTGTCGTTGTGTCCTTGGGCAAGACACTTAACCCCACTTTGCCCAAAGCCCCCACTGAAAGATCAAGGCTATGCTCACACTCAGAGCAGCCGTCCTCCTGTGGACTCACCACCTGCAGAGGGTCAGTGAGGGACTGGTGCTATGAGACTTGGGTGGCATCTCTGACTGCCACCCCCCTGACCCAGAAATGGATTAAAGGGTAGAAAATGGATGGATGGATGGATGGATGTTGGTATATTAGCTGACTTGTCTTTATTACTCAACAAATCACTGCAGCTCTACTAACGTACCTGAATCCGAAATTAAAGGAAAATTTGAAGATGGATGAATAGAGGGTTGACATTTTGGAGGTGCGACCGGCCTGCAATTGCATTAGTGAACATCCGTGAATCGGAAAGTACAAAAAATGAAACCAAAATAGGTCTTTACATGTATCATAGCTACTGACCACTCTAACTGCTAAACACGTGAGATCATTATGAGCTGTAACAAAATCCGCTAAAAGCATGCCGACCACTGCGGGAGCCAGAGGAAGAGCAGAGGTGTCGCGGGGGAGATACCCAATTTCTAATCGAGTGTAGAACTGTGGATGGATGGTAAAAACACAGAGAAGCGCATTAGGAGTCATCCAAGGGCAGAGTCCAGACTAACAGTGCTGCCGCTGTTCTTCCTGCAGCGTAAACGCATGAGTCATTACAATGAAGGAATGTGTCATATTATGAGCCAAATGCAAACACAACTATCAATGAAAAAGCGGTTGATCATGTGAATATAGTTTGAACATTGAGGTTGTTTTTGTAAGATTTTGTGAGAACATGAATTAACTTTCTGGAGGTAGAAAATCAAATGATTAAATAGAAAAAGAATCGTAAAACTTTTGTGTTGTAGTTTAGAGCAAGATTCCAGTCCCGGTTATCATGTATTTCGCTCACCGCCACCACTGACATCATGGCTAAATCTCTGAGTACATTCACTGGGGTCTGGTGGTGCTTGGAAGGTTTGAATGACAGAGAGCAGTTTCATAAGAACACGAAGCCCATAGTTCTATGTATTAATGACGGACATTTTTTTATATTCTGCTCACTTGTGGAAGGAGCCCTGTGAGTGAGGGTGGTTCTCTCTTTGCAACTTTTCAAAGGAGAGACTAATCTAAACTGTTTAGAGAGCAAGGAACAATTAATTTTTTGGGTTTGAACATTAGGGATCCCAGCTTTAACAGAGTAGGTTGTAAGTTAAAAAAAATCTAAAGAATTTTTTTTTTTATTGCTGTCTTATAGCATGCCTGTTGCAGTCAGAGCTGGTGAACTATGAGAGAGTGAAGGAGTACTGCCTAAAGGTGCTGAGTCATCAGAGGGACCACTTCAAGGCCATGTATCGAGCTGGCATTGCCTTCTATCACCTGGGAGACTATGAATGTGCCCTGCGCTACCTGCGTGAGGCCAAGAACCGGGAACCAACAGGTGATACAGCACTGCTCGTGTTCCATAAAATACATTATCACCACACTAGTCCATCTTCTACTCACAAACTAAACATTCTTCCACTCCTCTCGCATGTCTTATAGTGTGTACATTTTTAGACATAGCTCATTGTATAACTTCTTTCAGACACCAACGTGCTCCGATACATCCAGCTGACAGAGATGAAGATGAGCAAATACGGACAGCGGGAGATTGGCAAAGAGACCCCAGCTAACCCTTGACTTTATGACCCTGAAGCCCTCCCCTTGCCCCTCCCTCCTTTCCTGACACATACCTTTGGATTGCAGTTTCACGCCAATACAGGAGGCCTATCAAATTCCTCCATTTGTCCTCTCTTCCCCCTCAGGTGCAGTGGTTGGGGTTTCTTCCCTTTGAGAAAAGAATTCTGCATAATTATCATCAGTAATAAGTTGGATGAGGAGCTTTCAAATGAAACTACTTGATTTCAATTATATGCCTCATTCAATATTTGTTCTGCCTTTTGATGGAAGTGAAAGTTACAGATTGGATAAAGACATCCTCTTACAAGAGCGAGGGCTATTCAAACCGCAAAAGCATCAATATATCTGATCGTCCATAGATCACACTAGCCAGACAGACTGGCACAAGAAATATTTGCATCTTTAAATGAGTAGAAATGTCTGCATTACTTTGATACTCTCACTGTTTCTATTAGACGACTTCTGTCTCAGTTAAAGGGCTAAATCTATTGTTTGTAATTGTGGTGTTTTTATTTGCATTTGTGTGGTTACCTCAAGTAAGTCTTTTATTATGATAGTCCCAAGTCAACTCAGATTGTGAATTGTTGTTGCTGTTGTAGTAAAATGTATATGGTGGGATTCTCTAAGAAACAATATTAGTATTTGGTTTTTGAAAATGTTTTTAAAAAGATTTTTTTTTTACTAATGTAGAATCACCACATGTCTCTGAAAATACCCTGTATAAATACAAGTCTAAAAACAAATACAAGTCTTTGAAGCTTTGGGACTTAACCTGGAGAGGCCTGGAGAGACCAGATCTCTCCAGTCTTATAGATAAACAAGCATCTTGGAATGAGAAATTATTTATCAATTCAACATCACAGTTCAAATGGGATGGTGTGGGGACTCTGGGGAGCACATAAATCAGTCTGCCATTGAGATTTCAATCTTTTTTAGTCTTTACTTTTTCAGTTTAATTTTGGCAAATAAAGTAGCTTTATTTATTTAGAAGTTGTTTTAATAACAACCACTTTTGCTCATATTGTGGTCATAGTGGTACTAAGCATTCTATATGTTGGCTACTGTTCTCTTGTACAATTTAACCCATCAATCGCAAGATAATTGTACAGGAATAAATTGACGTATGAACTATGTCAAGCTGTAGCGCATGAGCTGAGTAACCATGATGCACTGAAACCCAGTTTCCTAGAGCCCACCTTTTGCATGTAAGAGCGCAGCTGTGGAAAGTTTCATTGTACAAGGCATAGAACTGAGAAATGCTTTTTGTCATGGCATGCGGCCACAACAGTTTTCTCAAAAAATACTCTCAAATCTTTTCTGACCATTAAAACCAGTAGTGTCAGTGCTCAAATTCAGTCTCCATGTGCCTTTGTGTTAAAGATCAGAACTAATCCAATCCACTGAAACAAATTCGTATTCTGTTATTGCTGTTCTCACCGTATTAGTGAACAGAGCGCAAATGTGTGTCAATGGGACTCTGGAGAGGTGGTGTTATGTACCAAGGAGACTGGAATGATTTAGAGAGGTTCTGGGAATAGAGAAGAATGCCATAGTTAGAACTGCTGCAAACAATGGACATTTTAAACATGTTAAACATATGAACTGGCAAGGGAAGTATCATCACAGTGTCATTGGCAAATGCCTTTTAGTACTTTAAAATCAATGTGGCAAGTAAATCTGGGATTTATGCCACTTTTGTGACTTTCTCACAGTTCCTCTAAGTCCCGAGGGAGAGGTTCATATGGGGACAGCTAGTGTCTCCATGGCTGCTCACTCACCAGCAAACCTCTCAAGGATCAGCCTCCTCCCATCATGCCCCTCTCTCCATGGCACCAGGCAGCCAACTTGTTTTTGTCTTGCTGTGAAAAGTCCTGAGGGAGGATTGATTGATTCTTGGACATGGAAATGTTACGCAGAGACGGTAAAAGTTTCAACACATTACTTCACCGGTGCGTAGCTCTAAGACAAGCACAACAACATGAGATGGAGTCACATTACCATTGAGATACTTTTGGCGCCTTGTGATGTCATTTGAGGTAAATGTTTGTCAAATGTCAAGAGTTGTTTTTTGTGGCTATATATTACAAATATACAAAATAATGATCAAAATGGAACAGTTCATGGTTGTAAAGCTTTACATTATATAACTTAATTTATCAGATGAAAAGGAAAGGCTTCAGAAATGTTGTGACTGTGTCCGTGTGTGTTGATATTTTAGCTGGTATCAAACGAACTTAAAGTTTGTGCAATGCCCTTTGTCACGGACTGACGAACTCATCAGAAATGTACCTCTGTCAAGAGATCAACAGGGACAAGTTATTCTGAAGAACTCTGCAAAAAAGATGTGAGGAGGGACCTGAACATTCCTCGCTGAGGCCTTCTTCCAGTTCTAACATCAGAGGCCTCCCTCACTGGTCCTTATGAACCGCTTAGCCTGGGAATGCACTGTTGATTGGTAAATCTTAATAATGAATAAAGTTTGAGATAAAAATATAAAAAGCTTCTTACATTTGATCTATTGAACTTTTCTGAAGAAATGGAGACATTCTGCTATAGATAGATAGATAGATGCTTTATTGATCCCGTAGGAGAAATGCAGGTGTCCAGTAGAAGAAGACTACTGGACACCCTCCGAAGAACATCAGCCTCACATAGCCTCCAGGGCCATCCAGGAAGGACACAGATCGATGGAGCATGTAGAGGATGGCGTCGTCCACTCCCATGTTCTCCTGATAGGCCAACTGAAGGGGGTCTAGAGGCTGCTCAACCTGTGGCATGAGCAGTCGGAGCACTAGCCTCTCAAAAGTCTTCATTATGACAGAAGTTAGTGCCACTGGTCTATAGTCCTTGCATCTTGTTTGCCTTGCTACCTTGGGGACGAGTACCAGGGGGATGGGTACCAGGCAGGAGTCATGAAGCTCTGAAACTGGAACTTAATTCGGGTGTATAAAACTATTTAGGATGATATTTTGAGAACATTTTACTCATTCTGTCTTAGCCCCAGTGCACTAATAGTCACCCCTGTGCCTGGACTCTGCACTCACTGATGATGAAACCCCTCACACCTGTCTCTATGGTGTGTATATTTTTATTGAATTCTATGAAACGAGTCTGTAAATACATGTATAAATAAATACAAGTAAACCGGGGTGTAGATTAAACAGACCTTAAATGCATTATAGAATAACATGCATTCCTCAAAAAGTCAACACTTACAATCTTATAAAGGTGTTTAGAATTTACATAATATTCCCCTTTACAAAACATGAGCAGAAACCATGTTTGTGTTGATGTTTTGTATACTAGCTAGATGTTGTGAGCTGACATTTTATCGCCTTGGGAAGATGGCTAACACTATATTTATTCAGAACCTGTGACACCAACTATGATACTAATTCGGTTTTTTTGTTTTCGTTTTTCATTTTTCTAAAGAAATAAGCAGCCTCCCTGGGCAGAGAGGCATGCATACCATGGACTGTAAATATTACAGTATACCCTCTTTTCTCATGTTTTCATCTCACCGTGGCTTTTGTTGGGTCTGTCAACGGCAGCGGACTAGGGTTGCTAGGCAACAGGCATCTGAAGGGGTTTGATTGGCGGTCAGACTGATTTAAATAAACCATTATGTTTAACCCTATTCTCCTATCTTAATAAACAAAGACTAAGCTAAGATACAAACATAAACACTTGACTTGCTGCTCCCATAGCTAGTTTGATTTAGCTTAATCATGAATAAATCCGACTGAAGAAGCACCTTATAATAGATCCATGAGAAGCACCAGCACAGGAAAAAGAAATGACCGCATTCCGTGAGAACTGCAGAGTCAGTGGAGACCGTGGAAGACATGACATCATGCTAAAGGCTGCCATCAAGAGGAATCTTTCTGCTACTACAATTGTCTTTGTCATCCAAAGGAAAAATTCAACCAATAATGTCTGTTTTTATTGAACTCTCTGATCATTCATCACATTTCACACTTTTCTTTTTACCAGACACCAGAATTATGATACAATATTGACGTTCTAAGAAGTACTTGTTCAATTACAAATATATACACATATCCCCAACATTATTATTATATTTCAGTAGTAACAAATAAATACTCTGTGTTGTGAAAATGGGAACTCATTTAAATAATATTTACATTCATACACACACACACACACACACGCCCCACGCACGCTCAAACAATTTGCAGAGTCAAGTAAATATCATCTGCGACTTAATAAAAACAATGCAGATACCATGTCCAAAAATGTTTGATTTGTCACAGCGTGCCTCCTAAAGTGCCAATGATGCTGGAAATAGGGGGTAAAGGACATTGATGTGAGGTTGATGTTGTCAAGTAGTTTCAGAATACAGTGATTCTGTTTCATGAAATTGATGCTCAAATGCTACTAACTGCTGAATAAGTCATCAATGCCGAAGCAATGGTGGGCCTATCTGCCAAACATTCTCTTAAAAATTACATGCTCTCAACAATTACGCACAGAATAATTTTGGATTTAGAAATTGTCAAAATGAAACTTTTGCTCAGGCACATAAAAACAAAGGAGGTCCACAGTGGTACAAATGGACTCCACATGTGAGGAATTACATCAATCTGCATGTTTATACGTGTGAATACAAATTTCAAATTGTTTAAGGATGACAAGATGCAGGCAATAGAAAGAAAGACAATAACACCAGCAGATGGCAAAGATAGATTTCAGAAATTAAAAATAGTAATGTCAAGCATTTCAATGGCCTTTGGGGTAAGGGTAAGATGGAGAAAGGGGCTTGGCTAGAAATGTAGAAAGAGCAAAAGCTTACAGGGTGTGAGAGGAGTGTCAGTAAGGTAGAATGGTGAGCACAAGGCTGAGGAAGTGTCTATGGCCTTTATGTCCGGGTCATGTGCAATAACAGGGAAATGTTTGATAAACAGTTTTGCATATTATTTATATGCCAGGGAAAGCTCCAAAGAACACAACTCGGCTCAGACATCGATAGGCATTTTACTCTGATTGCAACCACAAGTTGACCAAAAGTTACTATAGGTACTGTTGACCACATAGAGCCTCTTGTTGTTGTTGTCCACACAGAGGGACAGTACTGTCCAGATTCTGACCATCCATGTCCATGTCCATCAGGTTGGGCTTGGTTGTGCTTGCACTACTGTCTGCAGACCCCAGAGGGCTGTCGCAGCCGCTTCCTGGAGATGAGCTCATAGTCCGTGACAGAGAGCTCAACTTCCAAGGGTCCGCTTTCCGGGCCGGTGTGGGCCGCGGTCTTGGGGCAAACTCCAGTGTTTTAGGTCTTTCCAAGGGACTGATGAGAGCATCTGAATCTGGCACAGACAAAGGAGGAGGGGGGGCTGGAGCTTTACGCCGTTGAAGCGCTGGATGAATTGGAAAAGGGTCAAGGAAGGACGTCCCACCTGTAAAAAACCAACACAAACATTTAGCTTATGATAATCAGCATGATTACATATAGAACAGGCAAAAAGCAGCTATAGATTCTGTTGAAATCTTGCCTTTGCTCGTGCATAAAGTCTGCGCAGTTGGCGGAGGAGGCATTGGCATGCTGCCGTCTGACGGTGAGCGACGGTGCCCCAGAGTTTGAGCACGTGGCCGAATGGCACCATCTGATGGTGTACGTCGGTGTCCTCGGTTCATAGCCATAGCAGCTGACACGTGTGTGGGAGTGAGGGACTGGTTTGGCTCCTTCTTAAAGCTCTCTGCTCGCAGGTCCAGAAGTGGGTTCAGTGCAGGGGCAGAGCCTGCTTGAGTTTTGCTTACCACTGGGGTCATTGGATATTCGTCTGGGTCAGAAGGAAGCAGAGACTTGGTGGAGTTGCAGTCTGACAGAGAGGACAAAGAAAGCAGTGTGACAGACGGGGACGGGTCCAAGCAAGGCAGACTCGTATCCTGGTGTCGAGACAGGGACAAAGACAAGTTCCGGCTTGGTGGAGATGTGCTGCGGCGAAAACGACCTGTCCTCTGAAAAAGACCCTCTTTCTTTCGCTCTCTGACGTCCTGTTCATCCTGAAGCATCTGAGTGACACAACAAATGCCTCAATATTCTTTGCCTTTTTTCTGTCCACATTTATATACACAAGTGTACCTGCAGTTTTCCCATTTGGTACAGGTCTTGGCCGAGGCCAACAGAGGCCAGCAAAGATCCACATCCGAGAAGCAGCATGTCGTTCTTCTTCCTCTGGCTACAGCGCCGCAGTGTGTCCCCCTGGTAAGACCCCAAAGCAGATGTTCCAGTAGAGTGCACACAGCCAGATCCCAGTGAGCTCCACAAGGACCCAGAGTCCTCCACTGCCCCATTACTACTGTTGTCCGAGGGCATGAGTGAGATGGGTGACTCTTCCAGTTCAGAGCACTCCTCTGCAAAAAGAAACAGAATAAAACTGTACATATGTCCTGTACATTTTCAGTACTTTATCCACTATGGAACTCACCCATCTCATTGAGGCTGGAGAAACCAGCCGTCATAGGGGCATGTTTGGGTGACTTTCCCAGGTTTGGTGCACTGGATGACCAAACTTTTGAACCTTCTCCTAGAGACTTCAGTCTGTACATACAAAGACACTCCGATATAATTTACAGTAAATATATATAACAAGGATAAAAATAAAGACCACATACTTCTCCTCTCCACCGACTCTCTCCTTTGATTGTGTGGAGCTCGGGCCCCAGGTACGGAGCTTCTTCTTGTTGGAAGACATGTCTTCTTTCTTACACACTGCGCTCCGGCCCCATGTTTTGCTTCCATCACTGGGGGTCACTGTGAAGCAACATATAACATTCATATTCCAATTTCATCTCATATTGTCCAGTCTGTTTGAACGCATTGGTCACACACATCGAATTGCTCTGAGCCGAGGGATGACCCCAGGACTAGCTGGAGGAGTGGTCGTCTCAGTGCCCTGGGGTTTTCTCTTGTCCACACTCGGAGAAGCCTGCACTGTAATTTTGTGCTCAAATCCTGGAACAAACATTAAAAATAAAAAAGTGGTCAAAGGGATGATTAAACAGAAATTGATAGTTAAAATTGTAATGGCTCTGTAGTATGGTCCAGCTGTATTACTTATCTTTGAGAACAACATTTTGAAATGCAAGACGTTGTACAGTATGTGCAACATACATTACTGGTACCATTATGGTATTGGCTTCATTGGCTTTAAATTTTTCACAAAACTGTAAAGCATTTCATGGGAGTTCGTCAAGAACCGGGATATGTGGAATTGTGTCTGAATTTCTTTGATGTTAGATGGTACTTTCTATGTTCGTAACATAAAATGCATGCAGTTACAATGATTACACACCAGAGGGCAGGCTGATGCAGTTGCTGTCCCGGCCTAGTTTCAGCAACCTGCTCTTTTTGAAATTGCCTTTTCTTTTCTTGACACTTGGCTTCTCTTGATACATCTGATGAATGATTATGTTGAGTTCACGCTCCACAATGTCAATTTCCCTCTCAGCCAACTCCTGCTCTCTTCTCTTCAGCTGCTCCTCCTGCTCCCTCTGCTCCTCAGCAGCTCGGGCCAGAGCCTCCTCCCAGGACCGCAGCTCCTGCAGTGACACATGCAGTTAGCACAGCACCATCTCACACCTTGTCTGTTGATACTTATGGTGGTGACAAGGTAATGCAAAGTGAAAAAGACATCTCTGACAAGCTCTGACAAGGTGTAAATACTGTCGTACTTTTGTGTGATTTCTTTTCTAAAAAATGCAGCATAATGATCATTGAACGCATAGGAAAAAACACAGTAAGGCATAATGCTGTATTCGAAGTGCCTACCTTTTCTTTGGCCCGAAGCTCATCAAACATTTGCTGGATCTCCAGTCTCCAGTCTTCTTGCAGAGAGTGGAACGACTCTAGGGGCATTTGAAACATGGTGGACTGCTCGATGGCCAACAGACGCCGCAGAATGCTGCTGAATGGAGGCCTGCTGTGGGGTGTGGAACTCCAGCACTCTATTCAACACAAGGCATCAGTGGACTGAACTTCCTCTGATCACCAAGTCAAACTGTTTCCCCGTATATCTTTATGTTTATTAGATACAGCACGTGATTTGTAAAATGTGAAATATTTAATAATACGGGAGAGTTACAAATAAATAAGCTCCCAGACAAATTGAAAACGTCATCTCATACATTACATAACATTGATATGGAGTGATAAGCAGGGTGTTATCATGGAATAAACAAACATACACAATAGAAGATGAAAATAAATTTTACTTTTCTTCTTTCTTTTATGACACATTGACAGACAGACACCCATAGTGTCTTATAATTAGGATATCTCTCATAAGTTCAGTCAATGGATCAGAGTTTTGCATAATGACGGGGCTATCTAAAAATATTCTTTTGTAAAAATGCCTATGGAACTTTGGATTGTCTTTTGAGTTGTATTGTTTTAGAAAAAAAACTCAAAAGACTATCATTTGATTCATTTTTTTCAAAATGACAACAATAACAAGAATATTGTGTCTTTTGTATGTTTTAATTCACTACATCTTAATCTTATAAAAGTGTAGCACAACCTCAGTCATTTAGTGAGAACAATGCAGGATATTATGAAGCAATATATTAAAAGTTTGAATAAAATATGTCGGAAATGCTTACCAGTCAGCAGCTGAGCAAATGGCTCAGGACAAGTAGAAGGAATGGGCAGAGTAAGTTTGTTCATTGCAACTCCATATGCCACAGCCAGAGCATCAATCTCTCTGTAAGGAACCTCTCCAGTCAGCAGCTCCCATAGCAATACCCCAAAACTGTTGAAACCCATATCAGTAAGCACAAATGTCTCAAATGTGTTGGTCTGTCACACTTTGAGTAGGTACCTCCACACGTCACTGCTCTTGGAGAACAGGGAGAGTTTAATGACCTCTGGGGCCATCCAGGCGTAGGTTCCAGCGGCACTCATCTTAGTGGTCTGGTGCCACTCTCGAGCCAGGCCAAAGTCTGTCACCTTCAGGATTTTACCACTCAAGTCGTCCCTGGTCACGGGCTCCAAGATCAGAACTGGGAGGAGAAAAATTAATTATTATTATTATTTAATTAAAACGTAAATTTGCTAATTCTACTTTTTACACTTAATCTTTAAGAATCACATATTCTTTGGGTAAGATAGAAGTTTAGTGGGAAACATATTGCCAGGTGAAGCGTCTTTGAGTGTCCAAAAAAGCGCTATATAAAAGAGATAATTTAATTTGATTTAATTATCTGTACATTATTGAATCATTAACAAAACAGCTGATACCATGTCTCATCGTGTCACAAAAACATGACATGGTGAGACATGGTATCAGCTGTAGTCAAACACTGTATAGTCTGCATTTTCTAGCTGTTTTATTTGGTGCAACAATGCACATTAGACAAAAGTCCTCTCTTCACATCATAGATAAACCCTATACACAGTCTTTTTGGCCTGCATATTTTACTTCCTTGTTTGTTTCCAAGTTGGCGCTTGCTAGGGAAATGTTTGAATCGTGCAGGTCAGTCATCAGGACTTTATAAACAGTCGTATGCAAAAGAAACAGAGCTCTACACAGCGCAGACTTTGTCTACATGCACACACAATACACACACACACACACACACACACACACACTTCAAAGCAGTTTTGACATTAAAACAGCAACAAACAGACAATATTTTCCAAGCTCAATTGTATCTGGTCTTTTGCACTTGGGCTGCACGCTATATTGATACATACATACATACATATATATGTATGTATGTATGTACAGTATATAGCAAACACATACACACAAGCTCTGCCATTTGCTGCCAAAGCCGACAAACTCTCTTATTTGAGTCGTGGAAAGAACAAAACACATAAGGAGTGAGGAGGTGAGCAAACATCACAGTTCTGACAAGCATTTTGAGTTATTTGGGGAAGGAGAAAATATATTATTGTTGCAATGCTTATTGCATATCGCACTTTTGTCTCTCAATGTGTCATTTACATAATAACAATAATAATAATAATAAATTGCTACTATTATAAATTATTGTATTGAGATTTTAAGAGCTTGACAGTAGAATGAAGATGAAAGTATGAAAAGTCTAATTAATAATTCTGAATTAACCATCAACATTTGTATTGACTAGTATCAGGTGACTGTATACTATCCTCATGTCATTTTTGGAGAGCTGCTGTTTGCTGAAGGACAGCTGTCTGCTTCCCAGAGAAGAGCGTCTGCCAAAGTCCACACGTTTGCATGTTTAGTTGGGTGTGTCGTTCTGTCCCTCACCACGTTTGTTTAGTGCATGTGACAGTCTGCATTGAGCTTATTGTATATGGCACTGGGAGAGCTACAGGTGTAAACTTCAAAGATACAGAGAATAGAGTTGTGTAGTAATACTGTCCTTGTGAAATTCTTCTGACAATGAACTCCTCTAACCCAAGTCATTCAAAAATGATAGATGTAGCTTGTACCAACAGATAGAGCTTTTTCAAAATAAATGTTGAGAACAAAAAAGACCACAATATGCGGTGTTAATCTAATTAAAAAGTTATCTTAAGGGAGTCCTTTTAATCAGAAACTAGCTGCATGAATTTAATTACAGCATTCCATTACTTATCAGATTCAGATTCAGATTCATTGATTTGGCATTTGCAGTAAAACCACATTGTGTGCACATTGTGTGCACCAGACAGAGAAGACGGCACACACCAGAGCTCTTGCCACGGCGCCATCTTTACGGCGCCATGCGAATATTATTTGAATATTATGCTGTAATTTTGTTTCCTTAAATATTCTCAATCAGTAAATTGGTTTTTCTATTTATCTTAGCTTCAATTATAAACTACCAGCTGCATTTATTCATCTCTTCTAATGCAAAGATTAACATGTTTAACAGACTCTGATGGGGGTCTATCCTCTGCCTTTGACCCCTGGACTGGGGCACTCCATCAGGAGCAGGTCACCACAGTGCACCCCCCACTCAGTAAATGTTGATGCTCCGGTTGGTCAGGATCGAAGCTGGATAATTTTACCCATAAAAAGCACATGTCCTAAACTATTGTACTGAACTATACATAATAGCAAGCCATGTTTTTGCATGTAAAAGAGGAAACTGGCAACTCCTCATTAAATTGGTCAACTAATAATAAACAGTATACAGGTCATAAGGTCAGATGTTTGACAAAGTAAAAAGTGAAACCAACAAGATTGTTTGAGCAGCTGTGGAAACCCCAGAAGAACATATCTATCAGAGGTTTTTCCACTCATCAAAATGTGTGAATAACCTTTAAAGATTTGTGTTTTGCACACTGTCCTTGGACCCTGCTCTCTGCCGAAGGAAAAGAAATAGCAGCAGACAGTGTTTGAACTGCTGAAACACTGATAAGTAAGCATCAAGCGCATGGGTGACACATTAGTCCACAAACACAACATGCCAGAACAAAAAGGTCAAAGTCGACGGGAATGCACCTGTTCCTGGTTCAAATAAGTTATCAGATGTTATAGAGAACACACCCCTAACAATAGAGAGCGGGATCCTGTGGTGTTTGGTAAATGAATGGAAATGTTACTCTCAGCTGTTTGATGTTAAATAGAAATAATTACCGCCTATTGTGTAGCTAGCTTCTTCAGTTTGTGAACTCACAAATATCAATTAAATTCAATTATTTTTTGTATAGCCCTACATCACAACAGTAGTGCAAGAGGACTTTAGAAAGCTGTTGACTTGCCAAAACAAATCAGAGAATCAAACAGTTAAAACACAGGAAATGCAATGAGAAAAACCACATACGTAAGAGGCAGATGACCAATGTCAAAAAATGTTGTTGAAAGTTGAGTGTCCTGGATCATCACCACTGTCCTTTGACCCATATCACAATAATTAATCTTAACGGCCCTTAATATTGGCCTGACGAAGACACTGTGTCAAAATGCATTAGCTCGTCTCATGTAATAACAGACTTTTACTTTATCTACTAACAGAGTGCCTCGGAACTCTCTTTTGATGCTTTTACACACATTTTATGAAGTTTACACTGCAGCACTGTTACTGTTCACTGTTGTTTTGAATGTGCAACGTGGGAAAAAATCGTACACAAATAGCAAACATAAAAACTCCTGATCGATCTCAACTTCCTGAGTTTTCAAATTTAGCTCGTTTAAGTTTCAACTCAGCATAAAATGTTTCTCATTATGGGAGTTACTATTGTGATGCTGTACTCCTTTCTATTCTGTGTGTTTATTTGTTTATTTGGGGGATTTTAAACAGGTCCATGTCTTTGTTTGAAGATTCTCATCCAGGCCAGTAGCAGAAAGAAGCACGGGCTCATGAGAACATATTGACAGACATTAACCACAGGTGTTTTTCTGCTGGGTCATGAACTGTTGTTATGGCAACACGACAGAGGTCCCAGCTGGGAACAGAGGTGTTGTGATGTTGTACTGTTCTGTACGTAAGTAAATAAATACTGTGTCTCTCCATGTATCCTAACCATGTTGTTTTAGTGTGAATAGGGCGAGTTTCTGAGGGACCAATATTCCAGTTTTTGACCATTTTGTTTACACTTTTGTTTCATACATTTGTTCATGGGTAGACACAACAGTGCATTTGCCCTTGGTATCTACTCTATATAATACTTGTTTGAGTTGACTAAATATTTCACTACAGGAGCATACTTTTTACTGTGCTACTATTTAAGCAGAAGTATTTATAGACTTTTATTATGTACTCAATGTTTTCTACATTAGCAGTTTATCAATATTGCCCAGCGCTATAGTGGAACACTAAGTTGTGTATGCTGGAGATTAAAGGCAGTGTTGGAGAGCAGTGAGGAAGGAGGGATGCAAAAATGACAAGGCCCAGAGAAAAGAAGGCAGCTGAATCCAGGCCAAGGATGAGGAGCTGGTTTAAGAGGCAGCTGGAGGAGAGGAGGAGGACAAGGGGGTGTGGGGGTAGAGGGCTGTGTGCAAGGAGCCAATGATGACAAAAAATGGAGGTATGACTGCAGGGAGATTTTTGTCATGTATTAACAGCGCATACCACAAGGCTTTGTGTCAAAATACACCACACTTTTGTTTGCCTGACTTTCAGACACCTTACACTATTGTTTAATCTCTAACTTATAAAGAGTAAACAATGCTCTAACTGTTGATCCTTGAGTATTGGGGTTATCAAGAAAATCAAGACTTTTTATACAGCAATGTTTTATTTGCTTATGTCATTAAAGAATAACTTGTTTTAGTAACTATTTTCTTTACTATTTTCTTTATTTAAGAATTTTTAAGAAAAAAGATTTTTTGCTGAAACTGGGGTTTGATCCCAGCTCTGGGCACTTGATTATTACCATTTTAAGGCAGTACTATAATCAACTATAGGCTTTTTTCATTTCACAGAACAGTTATATACTTTGCTCCCATGACACTGATACCCAGGGTTGGCTCCCTTCGTACCACTACGGGCCATTGTGGCTCTAATCTTGAGCTGCGCAGTGGCACAGTTTCACCCTGGAGCCATTCACTTTGTCTGTGAACAAATGCAGCTGGCTGGTTTGTGTGACCATGCCGCTTCTCTTTTACAGTGATGATGGAGCTATTAAACAAAGTGCACGTGCATGTGAAAGAGTGGGACAACAACATCTGCACACTTGATGTGTATTTACATGAGACAACGGTCAATTTGTCCAAAATCAATGTAACAACATTTAAAAGATAATTACTGCTCATGTGTCATTGTGATAATATAGAGATATTATGTGTCAACAGGACAACTTCTACACCAGTGGTCACATTCAATGAGAATATCCAAGCAAATGTATCATCAATGTAATGCATACAATCTAAACATCATTATTTACAGCTAATCCAGTCTCAATTTAAAAATAATTTGACCTCTTCACAAACTGTCCTAGTGGTATTCCAACACACAGTTGTCCCTCCCCCATTCATCTCCTTTTCCCCTGAAGGCTGCAGGACTTCCTCCACATCCACCACTGCATTCCTCCTTCGCTCCTCTTTCCCACCCGGACTGTCGACCTTCTCTGTCGATGCAAGATGGATTATGTAAATACAATACATTAACACACTTTGAGATAGAATTTCATGTTTAATAATATACTGCTCTCAATTTATTGTTCCCGATCGTACAAAAAAAACATGAATTTTTCTGTGTTGTTAATACGCATCATAACTGAAATACTGATAAATCCAGTGTTCTGCCCAGTCACTTATGTGTGGCCTTTAGTGTCTGCCTCGTGCACGTGCCCCCACTCCCCTGCAGTGACTCCTGCCATTGTGAGGCCTGGTCTTCACTGTCTATGAGAATGGGGTCATTGTTGATCTCTCCACTGGACAACCTACAAGCAGCACACATGCACAGGGCGGCTCGACATGGTCACAAACCATGCAACAAAGCTCTTAGTATAAAACCCAGAACAGGATCATTTTCATGATTTTATACCCTCATGATTGATTTTTACACACCTACTCTGCAGTTCTTTCATAATATAAAACCAACAGGTGTTATCAAAATTATTATTTTTCCATGATTAATAAACACACTATACAGAGAGATGGTACACCTGCAAATATAAGTAAGTATAATAGCAAACATAAATAGCAGATGAATAGTGACATGAAAACATATTCACATTTTGTCTTAACCAGAAACATTAAGGCATTACTGAATATGTCAAAGGACAACACAAATTGTGAAGTGACACAAACATGACAGACAACTTTAATTTTAGTCAATACAAAATTGTAAGTATTCAGGGACTCGAGTATCTTGAGTCAATGGTTTGAGGCTCCCCATTTGATCCCATTAGAGGAGCAAGTCATTTGGGGGTTGTCTCTACCAGCTCGCACATCTTGATAATTATTCTGGTCTGGACTTTAACTGGGCCATTCCAACACATTAATACATTTAGTTTTTATATTTTTTATATTTATGTTTCAGGAAATTCCTCAAATCTCTGAGGGCATCACATGAACAGCTGTAATTATACTAATTGATAGACAAGAAAACAATTATTTGGCACTTGTGGGGTGTGGACATATGGAGTAAACACCATAAACTGGATTCTGAAGGAGACTGACATGTAATATTGTGATATTGTAAAGTACAGTATATTATTTTATTATTAAAAGCATCAAGTGTGGGTTGACCAAAAATAAGGGATTTATTCTGGTCTGACCTGATCTGGAACTGAATAAAATAATGAATACTCAATCTCTTTAGGTATCAAATATCAGAGATCACTTTTATTTTCATAATTTGTGAATCAAAAACTTGTGTGTAGCTGGAAATGTGAACAGACTTGAAAGCTGAGTGTGGCTTCTGTTTTTTATTGACTCTGTAAACATGACTTTCAATGCACTGCACCTAAGCCACCACAATACACCTTACTCAGGCCTTGGATAGTTGTTTTCGGTAAGACAAAGGCCTGCTATCGAATATTTACTACAAAGCTCCCAGAGTTCTGCATCTGTGTTGTTAGCAACAGGTGAGAGCTTCAATGTATTGCCTTACATTCAGCATCCTTAATTCTCTAGAGCTCTGTACAAAGGTATCAGTGACTCACTTGGGCAAATAATAGAGCTACTTTAGTGATTAGCAATGACTCATCAATTTGTATTTTTTGAAATTCGCAGAGTATATGTGAGAAGAAGAAGATATATAACTACTTTTAGGATTATTCATGGTATTTTACACCATGACTAAATAAGAGCAAAATTCTCTTCTTTCCATTTAAATATGACCTAGTAGCCAAAAGTGACCTTAATGTTGGCACTCTGTCAAAGATCATAGCCACACTATAAAAATAGGTATTTATGACAAACTATGAAAATAAAAACAACTATTAAACTGTGTGATTCACTGTATTGATCTTCCTCTTGTGGCCCCTATGCTTTCATAACAATGCTTATGCAATATGGCGTCCTTAAACAAAATAAGGTAATTATGATAGTTTCATCTGACAGCCAGATTAAGAAAAAAGAACCTAAGCAAAGTTTATGCCTATGCACCTACAGTATGTATTCAAGGTATTGCTTAACTCACTACAATGACTGAGATCTGAGTTTCAGCTGTGACAAGTGACGGCCAACCTGTAAACACGCTGTGGCATCACTAAGAAGAACACGGTAATGAGATTATCAAAGTTACACAGTCACTTTAATGCTAAGCCTGCCAACGGCAACGCTTTAGAACTCACAGAGATGAAACCCTTTTGGAATAAATTTAGAAATGTTTGCTAAAAATGGAAATAGGGCTGGTATGTTTTGCCCTTTATAATTTCTTCTTAACGCTGTGTGTCACACTTGTGATAGAGGACAGTGACAGAGAAGAGAGTCTATCTGATGATGAGAGGTCTGTGGTTCAGAGAAGTCACTTGAACCTCTGGCACCTGGACAATGAACTGATGTGTAACCCTACCCCAACTTGTTTATTCCTGCACTCTTTTTGTTTATAGCCTTCTAAACTATCACACTGATGCATCAAACCTATTTTCGCTTGTGCGTTTCTGTCAAGGCCAATGTAGACATAGGCATTAGTCATAGGTTAAACATACACTACATTTGCCCTGCACACTTTTCCATATGACACAATTATTAAGCTACTTGCTCCTATTCTCTTGTACAATGCTCTTTGGTGAACTGACATTGAGAGAGGGAGGCATTGGCACAGACACAAAGCCATAGCGAAGTAATTGACGATTCTTGCATTCAGATCAATTGCGATCATCTATCACACATTGCTAGTGTAATTTGTTACCAGGACTACAATTCTAACAGATCTATCAGTGTTGTATAATACCATAGATGGATGAAAAGCAGTCACCAAATCCATATCTTTGTTTGTAGCTAAAGTAGCACTTGTTTTCATTTCAAACTAGCTGTCTTTTTATTCACCATAAAACAACAGATAGTTGAAAACTGTGTAAGACATCGCCTGTGTTTTCATGTGAGGACAAACTGAAACAATACCTGAGGAACTGGAATTTTGATGCTAACTGGGGTAGGTCTTATTTGCTGACCGTGAGACCAATCTACGCACTGGTTTCCCTCAGGATTGTATTTCTATGTCTACGGTTGGCCTGTTACAATGTTTACTTTATCAACTTATTGTACAATAATGGATGGATGGTACAGTATATTTTGATGGTCAATATTTATCAATTGAATATACATGATTATTCAATTCAATTCAATGCATTTTTGTACGGCCCTCAATAACAACAGCAGTCATCTTGGAGGATTTCACAAAGTTGCGGATTTCTCATCAACAGAGCGGAGAATTTGGACACAGGAAATGCAATAACAACAAATGCATAGACGCTATTGGTCCCTAGGGGGATGATCAATGTCCATAAATGTTAATAAATGTACATAAATGTCCTTAAATGTCCCAGATCATCACTGTCCTTAGACCCTGACTGTACAAGTCACTTAACCTGCACCAGGACTGAAAAACCGGCACTGCTGTGCCACTTTTATTTGTACATAACATATCCTGCACAGACTATATTTGTAACCTTAACATGTTGCACACTTCATGTCTTTTCGCACAATCTAAGTGATTCTATCAATGCCAAAAGTGACATGTACATTTTTCCATTGTCAGATCAATAAAGTTTCTTATCTTATCATATACATTATTTGCAATATTGAGAGTATTGATTTTTTTTCATTGCCGTTTTGGGTATTAATGATTTGTGAAATAAAAGAATGATTTAACATTTTTATAAATGTCTACTGTTTCAGTGGCAAATATAAATAAAATTGTTAATTGCAGTACTCAATACAGTATATAGTCCATCCAAACCCATGGACTATGCTCTGGGTTATGAAAGTTAGGAAAAGTGCTTCTAAACTTATCGTTCTGAATGCGGCAAATGCACGGACACCACCGCAGATTGTTTATAATTACATTATAATGTTTTTTAAGGCCCTTCAGTGTGAACGTATTAGTTACAAAGCCTGAGTAATTCTTTATATACTATTATTGTTTTTTGCTTTTAACCCTAACCCTTCTTTATTATGAAAAATTCTGATTAAGATATAGTCAAACGTGTTGCATACACTAATAGATTTAATGGTTTGCTTTATAACTGTTACCAACAACTGCTCCTGCAACTGCATCCAACAGCAAGTGGCACAATGGACCAAAAATAGCTCAGTGAGTTGCAGAGCAGAACAGAAGAAGACGAGCAGGAGGAGAGGCAGGAAAAGAAACATGTCAGAAAAGATGACACATCAGATCAACTAACTCCACAAAAAGTCATGACCCTCGAATGTGCACATTTTAGGCCATAAATGCTTCTTGGCAAAACTTGGATATGAAATAAAAACTTGTACCTATAACATTTGACATTATTGTGTAATAGAATAGAAATCAGAGCACTTACTGTTGCTGGACTTGAGGTCTCTGTGGATGATAGGTACAAATGCTTGGTTATGCAGATAGTCCATCCCTGTGGCAATCTGGACAGCCCAGTTAACCAAAACTCTTGGTGGTACTTTCTTCCCTGCAAGAGCCCGATTCAGAGCTCCTCCTCTTGCATACTCCATCACTAAACAAAGGTTGGGTTCCCTCAAGCACACACCTCTAAGTGCAATGATGTTGGGATGTCTCAGCATCCAGAACAGCCTGGCTTCCTGACGCACACTTTCAGCTGTAGCACTAATGTCCTCGTCAGGGTCTTGTCTGGCAGCTTTTACTGCTACTACTTCTCCTCGCCACATTCCTTTGTAAACTTTCCCAAAGCCTCCAGCTCCAATCACTTCCTCCAGTAACAGTTCTGTGAAGTCTATTTCCAAGGGACATTCATCCACTCCATCAGGTACCAGCCCTCCAGCTGTCAGTTGATAGCTGGCAGCATCACCTCTTGTTACATAGTTGCTAGGGAAAATACCCACTTTATCCTGAATTTTGCCAGTCCACCAGCCCTCATCCCCAGACACTTTAGAGTCTTTTGATAGAACCTCCAGCAGATCCCCTCTCCGTAATGTTAATTCTTCTTCTGCTGTGGCCTCATAATCAAAAACTGCAGTCCAATATGGATTGCCAGTCCCACACTGGTGACCGGAGTCTGGGGACACAGCGATCCAGGTGCTGCCATTCTCTATTTGGACGACAGGAGCAGGGACCATGAGGGGTGGCGGGGTCATGTTGAAGGGTGCAGAAGTATTAGATGATGGATGGGCAGGTGGGATAAGATTTGGAGGTGGTGGGGAACAGCAGCCCCCACAGCTGCTGCAGGACACAGGGGCGTTACTTTGCACTCCACGGTATGGATTCATATCAGCTCAATTGCAGTTTGACACTTAAGTACTCAGGCACAAAATCCATAGAGTACCCAATGGGTGAGACAGGGGTCCATGAGAGGAGGGGAGGAGATCAGAGGATCAGAAAGTCGGGATGTCCCTCCCCCCATCGTATATCCGGCTGTTGAAATTGTGCTAAATCCTGTCACTGGCTTCTGTGTTATTGCCCTGCAGAGTGTAAGTAACATGTATTCTAAAAGGCAAGATCATCCAGGGACATGCAATTATATCAAAGAATGCCAGTCCACCCATGTCACTATCCCACTGACACACATTGATTTATAACATTGAACCAGCTTGTTCTGTTGTGTGAACTGCATAGAAGATAAACCGCTGTCTGATAATCACAAAAACTTCAGTAGGATTTGAAAGTAACTTTACACTACACATTTGCCCTGATAAATTATCCATTGGTCTATGATGCAGTAGCTTGTAAGTGTAAAGCCTAAACTATTGAATTCAATGAAATGTTCAGGCCAAAAACAAAAATGGATACCATGTACATTTTAGCTGTGTATATATTTCATACAGCCAAGCCCTAATACTTGTATTGCTTTCCATTGGAATCCTTAATCTATGCTGATGATAACCAGGACCTGAGAGCTATTTCAATTCATAACAGGGTATATTTAATGAATGAAGTTGACCAAAACGCCTGATCAATCCCAGAACTGCTGCACCTCCCCCGCCAGCCATCTACATGAACATGAGACATGAACGTGAGCTGTAGTATAGAAATATCACAAGAATTTTCGCGCTACATCCAGACAAGCCGGCCAGCGCCAAATCCAACATGCGTGGCCACTCATGGGGCGGTTCACGCTCCTGAATAGCCCTTAGTAAAACGCTCATCCATTTCAAGACATCACGGGCATAGTTACAGAGAGATGACAGCGGCGTGGCAGGTACACGCCAAGCTGCAAAGAAGCGGCACCATATTCCACATCATGCCGACTTCAGGATAGCGGCCTGGTTTGGTCGGCTCCACGGGGCAATATTTGTGATGGCATTGAATCCTGCTAGAGAAGATGCCGTCCTTCAGTGACGAGAGAAAGCCTTGTTCAGTATTTACCATTATCTTGTTGTAATGGACAGCAGTGTCTCACAACTCTGCGTGTATATGGTCAATATTACATGATAGCTGACGAGGCTGTCATTGAAAGATCTCTACAGTCCTTATGGAGATGTTGCTTACGATGTATATTGATATTTGGGATTGAGACGTAAAAAGAAAAGGCGGTGTTATAAACGCATTGTAGCATTATTGTACCCACGGAGAACAAGTCCGTGCATCTTGGCGATCAGCTGTATCCGTAAACACTGTAACCCAACCTGGAGACTGGGGGCTGCAAGTATCGTCGTCGCACAGGGTTTGCATCCAATAATCCAATAGTCCATCAGCCACTGTAGAAGAGAGTGCGTGGTTTATCTTCTTCGATTCGTTACTTCATCCCATATAACACGTCTTTAATGGTCAGTGGATATTTTGTCCAAGAACATTCCGAGCACCGAGCTGTCAGTCTGTTGGTTGACTTTGCATCCAAACACACCCGGGCGTCGTTCGCAGACGTGGGGACAAGTGCCTGGCCTGTCACTAATCTACAACCGACGTGGATGAGCGAAACGAACGCCCTCTACACTTCCACATCACATACATATCTGGATGCAGGAAGTAGCGAACCGAGGGGCATTGTGGGACATGTTGTTTGTAGATTTCCTGACCTACATCATCATGGCAGGTTTTAGCAGCACACACCAAGTTCATGTAAAACGCAACAGTAATATCAAAAATAAGCCTTAATTAAGTGTTGTGTTATCATCCATAAAAATGTCGTTATGATCCAAGTACAGTCGAACAAAGAGGGTGGTGACAGTGGGTCATGCGTTCAGCGTTGATATTAATTTATCCAGGACCCGGGGAGGCCAAAATTAATGCACTCAGGGAACCCAGGACAAGCATATGTCTGTCCCTAATTGTAACATATTCACCACAGTGACACCTGCTGGCTCTCTCTCTCTCTCTCTCTCTCTCTCTCTCTCGCTCTCTCGATATTGCGTTGTGCCTGCCTGATAATATTTTTGGGTGATATAGACGGGTCTACTGATACAAAATGAAAAATAAAAAAATACAATAATGACAACATAAAATACCATTATTCACATGATATGAGACATCCTGAATCAAATGTTAGATTCGAGTCATGAATAAAACCGATATTTATCAAAACATACCAGTAGCTTTAAAGCAACCAAATCATAACATATGAATGAATTTCACATTGACGATTTCTTGCACCCACGTAAGCGATTTCAACCAGAGGAGGGCGCCGTTGTCCAAAAACGGTGCATACAGTGTCATGTTGGCCACGTGGTGCGCTCAACTCTCTCTTGTCTTTAATTGTAATATTACCTTGACCTTATCTTAAAACGGTTTTTTTAGGTTCCCGGCTGCCCATGTACCATGCTGACAGTCTCAGTGTTACAGTGTGCACGTGTGGCTCCCAGGGGCCCCTCAGTCAACCCTGTGCCATGTCTCTCTGAGCTGCTGTTACTACAGTGGACTGCGCATGCGTAGATGGCACGGGCGCAGCTCAGCGAACAGTGGACTGACGACTGCCTCTACAATGTCATCTGCTTCATTTTAACGGATTACGAGTGGAGTTGAGACAACGTTGACTGTTCGGGTAAGGGTTTTATATCTACACTTCCATCTGTGTGACTTCAGCGAAGCAGTTGTGTGTGAAGCGTGTGAGAGTAGTAGCTTTAGTGAAGTGAACCCTCGCCTCCAAGACAAACACCCAACCTGAGCAACTTCAGTCCAAGGATTGTGTCGCTTCACCACGACTGCATTCATGAGTTTTCAGATCTAATTTGTGTGGCGCCTTTTCCTATGCCTTTCCCTACAGCCCTGTGTTGTGTTTTCTGTGCTGTAAGGACAATAATAAAGTAGCGTAAGCCTACACAGTAATCCAAAATATCCCTCTCGTCGCGGTTGCGGTGCGTTTGCTCTTTGTGCTCGACATGCTTCGAGTTTATAGTATTCTGTACTTTATCCCACTTGCTGTGTACAAAATCAAATCGGAAAACTACAAGTTCCAGACAATAGTTTCTTTGTTTGGTGGTTAAACAGAAAGCATTTAGCCTGTACGAGCTTTGAATTTCGAGTAGTTGTGGTGCAACCGGAAGTTGTCTTGGTCAATGATTCGTCTCTCGTCGCCTACCCGTGGATCTACCCGTGGATCTACCCGTGGATCTACCCCGACTCTTACGCTCCGCAGAGTTCATGCATATGTGGCGTGCAACATGTTGATGTTATGATAAAGAGCTGGTGCATGCGGTGTTCAAAGCCCCCGCATGAATCGAGTCTTTGTGAGTGATTATGGCTGTACCTGTCGCTTGCTTTCAGTGGAGACCCCCGGGTTTGTGTTGCATTCCCCAGACATGAGTAGATGACACTCGGCTGAATGACTGATCCGCACCATCAGCTCTGAACCTCTGCACATTCACCGCACCATTCATTTATGATAGGCCAACTACTGAAAACACGATTTATTTGGGGGAAAAAGTGATCGCGTTTGAGGGTTCTGTTTCGCTTTTGTTTTTTTGAAGAAAATTGTACATTGTGGTAGTGACTTTGACAGTTATAGTGGGCTAAATAACATTGTTTAAGTTTAAGTTATAGATGTCACTATTGGACACCCCTCCCCCTGTGTATCTTTATGATGTCACAAAGAATCCACCTGATTGCTGGATTGTTTGTGACATCAATTACACAAGTCAGCAATTTCTTGATAAGAGGCGTACTTGATGAAAGCTGCCAACTAGGGCTGCAGCCATTGATTATGCCTGATAGATTACTCAATTACCAAAATAATAATTGATAGTTTTACTTCCTACAAATATTCTGAACTACATATTGAATGTGTTTTAGAAACACTTGTTCAAACAAATACTGTACGTTTATGTATGAAATAAACGTGAATTACAAAATCTGTATGTTACCTTTAGTGCAATACAGCATTAATATTGCAACAACACATCATCAATAAGATAAGAAACTTTATTCAGCTCACAGTGGAGAAATGTCACATTTGTCACATAGAATCACTCAGATTGTGCAAAAGACATGAAGTGTGCAAACATGTTACGGTTGAAATTATAGTCTGCACAATTATCTTATTGTGTACAATAAAAAGTGGCAATAGCAGTGCTGGTTTTTTCAGTCCTAGTGCAGGTCATCAGTGACTTTGCCCTTTATATTTAAATACTGTTGGAGCATTAGCATAGTTTCCTCATGGAAATAAATTGTATTGTTAAAATTTGTATTGACTTTTTAAGTAATGGCAGCTCACGAGTTGCTGTTGAGAGTGGGTGCACAGTGCACACACAGTTGTACAGTTGTATCATAATCGCATGCTGTGCTGCTGCACCCCCCATGCCTGATCTGTGATATATTTACATCTCCTGAGGATCTTTACTGCACAGTGAGGAGGTCAGAGATTTACAAGGAGAGAGCTGCCTGAAATGAGCCTATGCTTTACTGTCCTTGCGTGGCTGTGGTAGTTGATCTATGGGGACCACCTCCTCATCCTCCACCAAAGATTTCCTCAGGGTGCTGTTTACCAATCTCTGAAAAGGATAAATCAGAGTGGCCGTACAGGTGTAACATGATTGAAATGGACCTGCAAACAGCTGTGCGTCTATTGATGTGATCCCAGATGGGTTCCTGAGGCTAAATATATTACAGGGCAGTTCTGGAGGCTTGTCAGGGGCCCGGTCCTGCAGCCACATCCTAGTGCTCTGGACCTGCTGCTGTTTGGCCGAGGTAAATATAGTCCGCTGGTTTGAGCAGAGTATAAACACAGATGTGGAAGAGTCCTTTCTTGCCACACAGTTTGCCCTGGTCAGCACTAGTCTTCTCAACCACAATGCTCTGACCAGACGTTTTGGACATAACACATGACGGCATTCAATTC